TAAGATGGTTTATTTCCCAGGTATTGGTTTGATATATGATTTTGTTTGGAATATTTAATCTTGGTTCAGCGTTTTCTCCGTCCTGATATTGAGATATTAGTACGTTCATTGCTCTTTTCGTAGGTTCATTATCCTCATTTAGGAAAGTTGTGTGGACTAGTGATACCTTCTGCGTTGACTGCTGTTGACCATTGGTCGCCGGAGGTGAAGGTATGAGATTCCCACCAAATGATTTGACATGTAAACTCGCATAAAATTTTGCTCATTATTCAATACAAGGTGCATTTGAGCAAGGTTCTCTCTGGTCTCGTCTAATTTGATTAGAAACTAATGATGGAAGGTAAAACACCCTTCAAACTAAGAAAGATATGCGTGTGAATTTTGGTATGGAAATAAAATCACAGCGGAAGCATTAAGCTATATTTAAGTGTTTGCTTTGAGATTGCACTGTAGGTTGTAACTTGTAAATAAGAACCGTATGGAAGCGATTAAAACTTTATATGGCTCAGTTGTAGTCATACCAGTCTGGTCTATTATTTCAGGGACAGGGTATGATTAGCTTCACTCATCTAGCAAAAAATGTGGATACTACTGAGCTCGGTGGGTATGCAGATGTAATTCTTGATGCTTGCTGCCAGAATATTGCAGCTAGCGATGAGATCTGGTGCCATGTTGTTGAGACTTCAGTAGTTTTTGTAACTTATGTTCAGAGAAATAATCCCCGTAGCCCATGGTAGCTGTACATTCTTTCACTTTTTGATGTCATGGACTCTGGACGTTTTTTCTTCATATCCTCACGTTAAATACCTACTGGTTTGCTTTTTGATGGCATGGACTCATAGTATTGACCGGTTTTCAGGCTGAAATTTGAAACATACTTTTGGAAGAGATGTTACTTAAGAGGACTGTGGACTGTAGTTCTGATTTTTTGGCTTGATGGATAGAAGAAATGATGCTTATGAGATAATGAGCCATACTTTCGTTTCTAGATGACTAACTTTATGCTTATTATAGGCCAAGAGATGATAAATGCTACTTTGATTATCAGAAATTTAATTCTATTGACTTAGTATTTTCACATGATTGACTTTGAATCCTATCCAGTTTGTTGTGTCAAAAGATTTAATTCTATGCATGGACATCGATTGAAACATTCTTTGCTCTAGGCAAAGAACCTTTTTGCCACTAAAGAGAATATTAAATATTTATTTTTTTTAACAAAGTTGTACGACAGTCATTATCAGCTTTTCTCTCTGTTACTATCAGAGAGCAATTTGTTTCCTTCAGCCATTCTCATATTATTCTAACTAAATATTTATGGTTTGTTGAAGTATGTTGACTACTGGCATGTGTTAATTTTATGGGCATATTAAATATGTGCTTGTTGATTGATAAGTGGTGAGGCTTTGAAGGTTACTAATTTTTTGTTGATTGATAATTTTATGAGCATAGTAAGTATGTGCTCTTTTGCTGAAGGTATGAGAGAATACTAAATGAGATGTTAAGTCACTTGGAGCGCCAGCCCAGAAACAAAGAACGTCGCATTGCTTGGCTTGAATATGTTGATTCCTTATTCGATGCGGTGGCTCTTGTGTTGTTAGCTCACTTTAGGCGCATTTTCCCATTGTTCTTTCAGTGGATGCATGCTGAGGACGATGGGACCCTTATATTGGTGGGTATCATTTTATACATGTCTTTTGGAGTTCATTCTCATTTTACTTACGAATGCGGAAGTTTTTGGACTTAACCAAAATGTAGTCTGATTTTTTGGACCGCGTGATTCAAATTTAATGTTTTGATTTTTACTAATATTTCATGTATATTTGGCTGTTTGCAAATGCTGAACTAGAATCATTGGGTGCCAATTGCAAAATTAAGCATGTCACATTCAGAACATAGTGCAATTGTTCAAACTTGGCATCGGTCTCAGCATCGGTTTTCTGTTCTCTTTATAAGACCTTGACGCTTAGTTTTGTTCTTTACGTTTCTTATGGTAAAATGAGTTCCAAGTCATTTCTGATTAATCCTTTTTCATTATACTGTTACTCGCAGGTTCTGAAACGTACTTTTACAATTCTGAGACAAACGTGGATTAGGAACTCGCCATATATTGAAAGGTGAATTAAATAAATCAGTATGTGAAATATGTATTTCAGATAATTGTGGCATTTAAATGATGAAAGCAGCACTCTGACATGACATATTACCATGTAATAAGCGTTAGTCGTGAATTCCCTTCAAAGATCATATTGTTCTTTCCGCAAGTTAGCATTGCATCGATTTTATCCCGTCTCATGATGCAAATTGTTTCCGTGTCATGATATGAAATGTTCGATAGTACTTTCCTTTGGAGTAAAGGTTAGGGGAAAATGATTTTTAAAAAGAAGAAAAAAATAAATAATTGAAAGTAACTGATATTTCTCTTTATTTGTTTCCAATGATCATCATGGGCATATACCTAAACCCCAAAAAAAGAAAAAAAACAAAGTGATTATTTATAATTTATTTTCATCTTTATTTAGTTATTGAGATTTCAGACTTTGCTTGATGTAGTCTTAAGACTGCTTGAAAAACCTGTTAGCATCATCTTTCCTCAACGCCTGCCTCGCAAGGAATTCTGATGCTACGGAAAATAATCAAGACTTATCATTGATAAAATGTTGTCCTGCTACGAACATTCATCTTTATTTGACTGGTATTTATCTATATTTTTTCCCGGAACTGCCCTGTGGCCTTAATTCCTCAGAACTACATAAATTTGACTTCAGATTGGTAGAGGAACTTGTTCTCGTGTACAAGGAGGCAGCACTAAGAAAAGCTCGAGAACAAATTAGAGCACATACCCGGCAGATGCTGATCCTACTTCAACAGTAAGACCGTTATTTTTCTGGATTAGTTCCAATTATGATTACCTTCCTGCCAGCCTGAGAGAAATTTTATTTTGGTCTACCTAGAAGCAAAGGCCTGCAGTTTGAAGCAGCCTGGGACAAGCATAGATCGGATCCAGACTTGAGTGCACTCGGTCAACCTCTTATTGGAAGAGACTATTCAAAACTTGATACTATGCCAGCGCATTCTAACGAGCAGAGCCCAGTGCCTCTTGAAATTCCATGAAGTTTTTTGTTGGTAGAAAATTCCATGAAGTTGACTGACATGCATTGCTGATTCTTTTAGCCTGCCCACACAGTTGAAATATAATTACTCTTTTACTTGAGCTTGGTAATGAATGCAAGCAAAGTTTTCGTTTCATTTTTTATTCTCTGATTTTCTGTCCATTTCTGTACTCCATCTAGCTAGCCTTTCTCCCTTCTATTTTGAAGTTTGGTGTCCCTGCATTCAAGTAGCTTAACGAAGATACATGTACTATTAGCATTTTTTTTTTTGGGGGGGGGGGGGGGGGAGAGCAGTTTAGAAGCCAAACACCGGAAAAGAAAAAAAAAATTGTGTCAAATCCTCAAAGATGCTATCGATTTGAAGAATTCCGTGCCAGTGCCGCTAGATTCTTAACTTTTAAAAGAAAAAGAAAGTGTCATTAGATTTCTTGAGGGTCGGGAACTACACGTTTTATTTATTTCAAAAAGCTCAAAAACAAATATGCATAGAATAGAGATATTCTAACCGTCCAAGTAAAGAACTGTTACAAATAATGGAGAAACTAATAAGTTTAAATAAGAAGCGACGTAAAATAAATCAAATTTGATACCTGAATATTCGGTTTGATAACTTGCTACTAATTCTTTTTCTGCTTCTGGTAAATCAAAAGGTATTTGATACTGGGTTATTCATAGCATTATTATACCCTTCCTATTTATTGTGGGTTGGTTATTTGTCAGCATGGGATTAGCTTTGCGATGCTGAACTGAATTCTTTCTGTTAGATTTCTTGAGGGTCGACACTAAAAAATTTATGTAATGCGAGCCTGCTCTGGCGACGTAGAATTGGAGCCCTTCGGTGAAGGACTGGGGGGTTAGGCTGCGGAGGGTGTGTGATGTGGGAATTCAGATCATCCTCTTGTAATCTCCCCTTTGTCCCTTTTCTTTTTTGAGGATACCCTTTTTACCCCAAGGCCAAAAACAATGGACGGTTTGGATATGCTATTTTATTTGAGATGTTGCATCTGGATCATTTTTTTAAATTTAATTGTGCGGAAAAGATTTTAAGGGGGGGAAAAGAGAAAAAGGATTCTGAAAAAATTTGGATTGGTGATGCCAAATGCATCATAAAGAGCCAATGCCCGGGGAATGGGAGTGCCCTAAACTGGTTGTTTGGTTGAGTCTTCTGTTGCTACTTTGTTTGGGGACTCTTCCTGGGTGGGGCTGTGGCGGATTCGGCTCAAGAAATTACTCGTATCATGTTTGCAGAAAATTTCGAGCATAAGATACCCTTTTTAACCTCGTAATTCCGACCAAGTTCTGTGAGTCTTCCATGAAACTCAATGGCACTTAACTAGATTTTTTCTCTTGAAAAAAATTGATAGCTCATAACAGCTAGTTAGCTGTAGTGCTGTCGTGTCTAGATGATCCATTCACCAAATAAGATAAGATTTTTTTTTGTTGTTATTTCTTCTAGAATTATTGACTAACTGTAAGGTTTTAGGAGATCCCAAAATTTTTTTTATTAAAAATAGCTTATTGTCATTTTTTTTATTCTAAAAGTTGTATTGTAAGTTGCTTATTTGCGGAAGTTTTTTGTGAATATATTTTTGAAAACGTTATTGCAATTCTCCCTTCTGTTTTTTTAATGTATATGGCTCCGAAGGTCAGATGTCAAAAGTGTTTCTGCCAAAGAAGAAAAAGCTTATGAAGGTAAACGCATCGCATATTCACTGATGCCCCGACAAATGATTCAATTAAATAACAAATGGAGAGAATTTTTCTAGGTAGCTTCCATTTTCAAAATAGAATAGAAACAAATATGCATACACCTTGGTAGTTCAGTCCGACCGCAGAGCTCAGAAATCATAACTAATTAAACTAGAAGCTAAAGAAATTCTGTTGCGCTTGCGCGGGAAAAAATTATAATACATCATTAGCCAAATCCAATGAAATATATGTTAACAACAGATGCGAGATCCAATTCTATAGCTCTGTCCCCAAAGAATATGAGAAAAAGTGGCATTCCTCTATAATCCCAACATGGGAGTGTAGTTATATAGACAGAAATGAATCACTTATTGGAACTTTCTTATGTGGGCTATCTCTGATCAATAGATAATACAAAGGGAAACCGTTAAATGAGGCATTCCCCGCGATGGGAAAAATATCAGAAGTCTCCGAAGTGTGGTCACCAGTATGATGCACAAATCTGCCTAATGGAATCTGCGTTGTAATGAATAAAAGATGCAGTTGTCTCTCAGTATCACTTGTTTCGTTTTTTGGCTTCGCTGTAAAGTATAACTCCAAGGACGGTAAGGGAGTAACCGAGCATTCCAGTAACTGAGACTGGGTTTCTAAATATCATAATAGAAACCACTACCGCCACAGCACCTTTAGCGTTCCCAAGCACCTGTACAAGCCAACTCTAGTATTAACTAGTGTATCAAGACTTCCAAGCTAGACCAAATGCAGGGCTTCAAGAAAAATGTACATCTTCCCACCTAACTGTTGTACCTATCCCAATTACCCTACGCCCTAAGGTTTATAAATTCACCATAGTCTTCTCACGGAGAAAAGGAAATATTCCCGGTTCCATCATGACTTGAAAAACTGAACCTCGTAGACAGAATTTTACAAAACAGGCAGTTTTACATCTCAACCGCCTATCAATAGAACAGTCTAAAAATAACTGCTTTAGTTTTAGATCACTATCCAGCAAAAAAGCAACATCCTCAAAACTATTTTTGCAAAAGGTTTCAATTATTAGCATCCAACTTTTTGGCCAAAAAAAAAAAAACCAACCTCTCCCCTTTATTAGCAAAACCATGTAGTCATGATTTTTTTTCAGAAATCAGGTTTCATATTAAGTATATAACGTAGAAACTCAAAGACCTTTTTCATTCATGAAGAAAGAGAATAAGACAACAGAAAAAGTCTGTTGAAGTAAAATAAAATTAAAAATGACAAAGGGACATAAGCCTACATGAATTGGTGGGTTATACCTGAAGAGTAAGAGCACTTGTATGTTTAGTGACCAAAAAATTGGTCAGGTTGACAAAATAAGCAAGTGCTGAATTAAATAGCAGATACCAAACGATCTTGACATCATCTCTAGCAAGAGCCACCGTGATGCCAACCACATTTTCTTCCATTATAAGGGTAGCTGGAAGAAGGAAGACAACGGCCATCGGAGCCATGTAAAGAAGAAGGTTCATAGAGTTCAATTTCTCTCTGAAGCAGAATAGTAAAGTCAGTGCTCATTGACCCATTTTAATATATAACTCGAAATAAAATGTGCAAAGAAACTAATGAATTAATGCAAAGTTTCTTACCCTTCAGAAGAGAGCAAAATTCCTTGTAACACTGATTTTAGGGCCCGTGCAGCCGTAGCTGCAACACATATTATGAATCCAAATAAATGGAAACTTGGTTCACCCTATGACCACACAAAGAAGAGAGCAAAGGATCAGAAGCCAGAACACTTTAACCACCGATATTACTCCACAAGACATAAGAAGAAGAATATCTAACACTATACTTGGAAATTAAGAAATTGGGAAGCATCAACTCCCAGCAAAAGTTGAATCTCAGTCCAGCAATTACTAGACATTTAAATGCATTTGAAGATTGAACATCAAATAAGTTTACCAAAATAATATTAGATAACATAAGCTATGAAAAGCTGCAATTTGTTATTGGATAAAGCGCTACATTCCATGCAATCATCTAATGTCATATGCAATCTTAGGGCTGCCCCCGGACAAGATACATTTTCCTGGTTTGATAGGGGAGTTTTTTTCGGCCGATAGGTTTGACATGGGAGTCAACAAATAAAACAAGGAATGTAAAAATAAAAAAAATATTCCCTAAATCATCGTAAGTAAGAAAGTTATATTCATTCTAAATAGCAGCACAAACGAAGCAAAACCAAAGCGTACAAATTAAAACGAATGATGCGGAATCAGAACCGTAAATTGCAAAAAAAGAAAGCAATAGCTCTGGTACCCCGCTAGCAATGACGACCCCGGTAACAACAGGAATAAGTGTGACATAAGTGAGCCAGGCCTCGCTCTTGAGGGTCATGAGGTAAGCAAAAACGGCAGTGAAGAATGGGGTCGTCGCCCCGACAGCCTGATTGAAGGATACAGGCAAGTAACGAAGTGATATGTTACCAAATACAACGGAGACGCAGAAGACGAGGCTGAGAGCTGAGATCTTAAAGAATTGGACTCGGGATCGAATGGTCTGCATAGGCACCATCTTCATCCACGCTATAGCAATGTAACTGAACAAGGAGCAAGCAGTCATGTGGCACATGGTGAGGAAGATGGGGTACTTGAAGCCATAATTGCTGAGCAGGTATTTGTTGAGCAAGAGGACCCCAATGTTGGAGGAGTACCAGGCAGAGACGAGGCCGATGGTGAATAATTTACCGGACCCCTTCATCGTGAGAGGCGGGTTTCGATCAGAACCCTTTAACTTGGAGGGGTAGAGGGGATTAAAGGGGGAGGGGCGGAAGAGAAGGGCAAGGATCTGACAGGAACATGGAGGGAAGGGATCTGGGCAGAGGAGGAGAGAAAGCGAAGGAGAGGAAGGGATCAAAAGAAGAGGCGGATGGGCTTACTTCCATGGATCTGGGGAGGTCGAATCATGGAAGATGAAGAGGAAGGCAGAAGCTGAGAAGAGGGAAAAGGGAGGGGAGGGGAGGGGAGGATTGGGGGGCCGGTGTCGAAGAAGGGAGAAGGGTCGAGTAAGGAGGAAGAGAGAGCGGGAATGGGCGGGTGCAAACTATGGAGGGAGTGAAGGAGGAAGCTGCGGGGGAAGGAGCATTTAAAGCCCGGATGTGGTATTCTAGGGAAAGGGAGGGTCGTTTCCAAATTCAGTGCTTTTTTGTGTTCTATGTAATTTTGATCGATGATTGATGGCTGAGTTCTGTTCAGAGTGGGAGGGAGAGGGAGAGGGAGCGCCAATTCTTTCACATTTGGATGCTTGCTTGCTTGCTTCAGCTGGCCGAGAAGCCTCGCAGGTGAATCATTATGTTCCCAAATCAAGAGTTTGTTTGATACACCGTGGAACATAACAATCGCGCATTATCTCATGTGCATATGCCCTATTTCCTCCTCATCACATCTGTTCCCATTTATTCAATTCCCCTCAGAGGGTGTTTGACTTATCCTAGAAATATTTTTTAAAAACACATTGGAACTCCTCTATATATTTACTTCGTATACCGTAAAAGCACTTCTGAAATCATAGTTTTGTTCTTATCCAAATACCCTCTTAATTTATTTGGCTCATTTCTTAAACAAAAGCATGCTTTATATTATCAAGTCATAAAAAAAAAATCAATTAGATTAAATAAGGAGAAATTAAAATTAAGCCTCACAGAAAAAAATAATTAAAAAATCTCAATAACAACCTTAATAGCTTATAATAACAAGTCCTCTAATAAAAATAAAAACCTCTAAAACTTATTTTTTAATTATTTTTTTGTTTGGAACTTTATTATAATTCTCCCGTTAAATAATGATTATAGAGTCGGAGAGTAGGTCATTTTGGCGGTGATGAAATAGCACGCGTCAGAGGATCGTGTGCATGCATTTTCCGCTGACCTAGAAAATAAAAACTAACCCATTGGATTGTCATCCTACTCGCAGGCGCACATGGCATGATCCTAAAGGAAACAAATCAGATGCCTCCCCACCCCCCCCCCGGGGGCGGGGTTCACGATGCGTCTGTCTTCTCTATTCCAATAATCAATTCGGTCCACGAATTGATGATTATTTAGGTGTGCAGCACTGTTGGAGAAACATTCCTTAACTTAATAAGCACCAACAATTTATATTAATTGGCAAACATACTTATATTCCTTTTTAAAATTACGTTTTCATTGTTTTTTCCCGACTTATTTTAAGGCCTTTCGTGTACATTCTGAATGCATTATATGTCACTGGCACTCATTTAATAAAAACTGCTCAGCACTCCATTATAATTTATACGTTCGAATATGGCTTAATATATAAAATATAATTTCACATGGCGGTTCTTTATGTAATAGTATAATCATTGTCAATATACTAGTATTTAATAAATGAAATGAAATCTTAACCACTCATCCAATCCAATTCTTTCTTTTTCTTTTCTTTTTTTTAAAAAGGCTCTTCGTCGTCGGAGGTCACCATCAAACTTTAAAAGTTAACTAGCTAGTTAGCAACAATGACTTCAACAAATCAGATGATATGCCAGAACAGACGTAACCCAGAGATCGAGATAGTATGAAGTATGAAAGGGTCATTTTGAGTGAAAAACTAAAACTAGGAGTGGCTTTTTAAATGAAATGCGGGCAGGTGCAAAACATGCAAACGGGGCAATCAATGTTCATTAGTCAGGAAGCAAGCTGTGTGTTTTGCTGCGGGCGCAACTTCATGGCAAAAATATAAAACGGGCATACGTGGCTTTCTTTATGGACATGTCAGACGGACTCTGACGAGTAGGAAAACTGGAAAAGGGGCGTAGTTATGACTAGAGATGATTGCAGGAAGCCATTGTGGAAATCTGGCCACAACAAGAGCTTTACCTTTACGAACAGGGATGTGGTCCCAATCCCAATCCTTAGAAACGTGCTTAATTATTGTTTCTTCCAAAGTGGCCAGTTGCGAAATCAAAATCGCCCAATACGTGATCGCTAATACATACGTCTCTTACCATCGGAAGCTTTAAAGTTTAAATGTATAAAATTAATTAGTTATATAGACTGAAAATATATATATATCCGCCGATTCTTTGAATGTTACCTCTAAAAAATAAAGTCATATATATATATATACACGTCGACATTTTTTGGGTGAAAAACAATTTGTTATGACCGAATTAAAGGATGGGGACTTTTCGACTTGAAATATTTCTGGGTGCCAATAATGAGATGTTGTCAAAATTTGCAGAATAGACAAGGCAGATTCATTTGTAGGATCGCGGTGGGGGCAGGGATTAAACTTACAGAAGACGTACGTATGGTGATATGGGGTGGTTGGTGTTGCGAGAACATGAAGTGAAGGGACCTATTTTTATTCTAGACGGGAGAGATTATGAAACACAGAGCGTGCGTCGCCTTGCAAGTCGCTGGCCTTGAACCCCGAAAAAGCACAAAGAAAGAAGGATACTCTCCAGCCTCAAACTCACCGGGAAGCCCTGCTTATCTCTCACCTCCTCTTTCTTCGATTCATGTCACATTTTCCTCCGCATTGATCCCTTTCGTCTCTGTGCCCGTTGTTGCGGCTTTTGATGGCAACACTGCAGGCAAGGAGGGTTGTGTTGGAGGGCGGCACAGAGGATCGTTATGGAACCAGAAGCACCGCCTCCTTTCGACGTAAAATACACCATTGCCGGAAGCTCTTTAGGCTCCACACAGGACGCCGCTTGTCTTGGGCCTTGTTGTTTCTGGCTTTCATGTGCGTGCTCGTCAAGTTTGTGCTGCTCAATATGCTCTTTCAGCTCGGATTAGATCCTTCCATTCGTTCTAACGTTGTTCAGGATATACCCTCGCCGTCTATTTTGCTGGTTAGCTTGAAAACAACGCTCATATATCATTAATTCATTCCATTTATTAATTACTCACATGTTCGTTCATTGGCATTTACAATCTTCCTTAACGATCAGATGAAAAAGGTAAATTCCTGAAATGGATCATACTGTTCTGGGAAGCTCATGATAATTATGCACTTAGGCCTGAACATAATGCTTTCGTAGTGACTAATTAATCGGCCGGGTTCCCCAACAAACCACCAGCTACTTTGACTATGACCTTGCACCGTAAAGTTGAGTAGTGGAATAAAATAGATGCTTGCCCCCGATTCAAATAAGGCTATATTGATCGCATGCGTGTTTGATGAAAAATTTATCTTCTCCAAATGCTGCATCTTGATTGTGATGTTATTGTCGGTTTAATTCATGTTAGTTAGACTCCTGAAGTATGGAAGCAGCCTAACAGTGACAACTATTACAAATGCATGGACGGAGATCGAAAAAGTACGTACGTCGTCCAACGGCCTTTATTGTGTAAAGTTTGAGTGTAGGTGAATTCCCCACTCGGCCATCTTTTTTAAAAAGCTAAGAGTTTCTATCCTACAGGGAGATCAAACGCCACAAATGGTTACCTTTTGGTTCATGCCAATGGAGGCTTAAACCAGATGAAAACCGGCGTGTGTAATCGATCAGTTCCTCCTTCTAGTTAAATTTCTTCATTAATGTCCTTCAATGCGTGCTCCGAATTATAAATTAATTTACTCTGTACCGCTCGCAGATCAGTGACATGGTTGCTATTGCAAAAATAATGAATGCCACGTTGGTTTTGCCTTCATTAGATCATCATTCCTTCTGGACCGATCCTAGGTTTGAATTCTCATCCGTTACAACTGTGTTTCTTGCCAAACAAGTCCGGATCCCTTTCTAATTCTTCCTTTTGTTTACAATGCTGATGGTTTCAGTGGTTTCAAAGATATTTTTGATTGGAATCACTTTATCGAAGTTTTAGCAGATGACGTTGATATAGTGGAGACTCTACCTCCCCAGTTAGCACAAATTAAGCCACATGTAAAGGCTCCAGTTTCTTGGTCCAAGGTAACACATTAGTTACTGATGAGTGAAGAGACATGTGCACATAAAGTGACCATATGTTAAGTTTTAACAAACGCAAAACCAATATGAAACATGTAGGCCAGTTATTACAAAGGGGAGATATTGCCATTGTTCATGAAACACAAAGTGGTTTCGTTCACCCATACTGATTCCCGCCTTGTGAATAATGGCCTGGATAATTCCGTTCAAAAGGTGCGTTGTCGCGCAATGTACGAAGGACTTAAGTTCTCGAAACCAATTGAAGAGCTCAGTAGGAAGTTAGTAAATAGACTTAGAAAAAACAGCAGCAACCCATACATTGCACTCCATTTAAGGTAATGTATAAATAGTTCATTAGAGATTACCGTGAGTTTCGAAGTTCTTTTCATAACACTAGCTAGAACATATATATGGTGAATTGCAGATATGAAAAGGACATGCTTGCTTTCACAGGCTGCAGCCACAACCTGACAAAAGCAGAGGCCCAGGAGCTTAGAAAGATGAGATACGGAGTTAAACACTGGAAGGAGAAAGAGATCGACGGCAGAGGAAGGCGCCTAAGGGGACGATGTCCCATGACTCCGAGGGAGATGGCTGTGTTTCTGGAGGCTCTCGGCTTTCCACTTGACACGACAATTTACATAGCTGCAGGTGATATTTATGGCAGAAGTGGGATCAATCCCCTGCTAGCTAAGTACCCCAACGTGTTCTCCCATTCCACTCTAGCCACCTACGAAGAACTAAAACCATTTAGGCTCCATCAGAATCAACTTGCTGCCTTGGACTATGTCATCGCGGTGGAGAGTGATGTTTTTGTTTTCAGCTACAATGGGAACATGGCCAAAGCAGCCAGGGGCCACAGACGGTACCAGGGTTTCCGAAAAACCATCGACCCGGACAAGTAATCAGCATTCTCTCATCATCGATACGCGCACACCACACGCACTTGCCCGAATCCGGATCTAAATTGCGTATGTCTGTGTTTTGCAGGCAGAAGTTTGTGAGACTTATTGATCAGTTTGACAATGGTGTGATATCTTGGGAGGATTTTAAACAGAAGGTGGGGAGCCTGCATGTGAACAGGATAGGAGCACCGAGTCTGAGGAAGAGCAAACGACACCCAAAATTTGAGGAGAGCTTCTACGCAAACCCTTATCCCGGTTGCATTTGCGAGAGGGCAAGACATACCCCGGAAATCAGTGATTAGCCTGTTTCAGGATCTGTGAAGTGGGGAGCTGTTTGATTTACCGGATTCACCATTGTATATTTGTGTAGAGAGAATTTTGGCCGCTAGTTTTGCAATAGCACCGTAGTCTTATTTTTCACATTAGTCCTAATCTATCCTTTTATCCTCGAAAGGTAGAGGTCCAGTTCATGAGTCTTTTCCCCCCTCATACGATTTAATCCTTAACATATTTGGGCTGCTGATTAATTTATTTATACATCGTCAAAACAGACAAAAACAAAGCAAATATATATTTGTGTAAGAAAATGAGCAGAGAGAATGGGATTATTTTGTGTTGAAACAAAACTCAGACAATAGCGTAGATTTAATATTAATCAAAATTATACTATATTGTCTAATTTCTTGTTGCAGTAGGTTGTGCTTGAGAATTCAGCACGTAGTTTTAGGTCGATTGATGCTGTGTAAAATAATGTATATGTTTTAAATTTAATAATAAATCAATATATCATGTAATTATAAAATGGGAGAATCCAGGGGCTTCATCGTTTCTTTTCGGCCTGCCATGTGGTGCTCAATGTTACTCCAGCAAGGGGGAAAATTCAGGTTAAAAGGCTTTTTTTGGGGGGGAAAAAAGATTGAAAGGTGGGTTTGGGCCATGGTTAGATTTGATAAACGGGAGTTCGTAATTCAACATGCAGCTGGCCAGAAGTAAAACCAAACCCAAAAAATGGAAGGCATGGGGCGGATCGGATCTATCCCTCTATCTTCGCGGGCAGCCGGGCAGGTTGCCTTCTCCTCGCTTTCTTTCTTCGGCTTCCAGTAGATCTAGGATTTGCAGTCATCAGCACCGTTCTCCATCGTTTTCTCTGTTTTTCAATTGGAATTCCTCCTTAATAATTCTGTTAATTTACTTTGTTCTACTTATATATGGTAGTTGAGATTTTATTCTTTAAAATGTTTGCGTCTGCCTGGGCCTACGAATTGATTCGGTGCTGTCGAAGGCTGACCTTAGAAGTTTGAGCTGAAATTTAATTATCGACCCTCAAAAATCAAAATAGGCCAGAGGGAAGAAACGTAATTCCTTTGCTAGTTTCTGTCCTTACAATTGAATTGGAAAGTTAATATTCCAGGTTAGCAGTTTTGCCCATGTTTCTTTTTGCGTTGTATTTCAAGGGTTTCTGCATTTTACTTTTACGCAATTGATGCTCTTGTCTGGAATGAACTCCTTCTTTACTGCTATTTGCTACCCCGGTGATGCACTAATTTTTAAGATGGATTCTTAAGAGGAGTCGTTCGTTTTGAACAAATCTTTGTCCTCCAGTCCATCTGGATGGTCTATATTTTTAATAAAAACATATTTTTAACATATCTAAACCGTTCCAATTACAGAGAATGACTGATTGAAACAATTCCAGGCAAGTTCTAGAGCATCACTCTTTGCTCTGTCATATCATATCTTCTGTTTAAGTCAGCAGTAATGTTCTAATTAGAAGAACCATGAAGAAGATCGAGTTTAGTTTGATAAAATAATTTAAACTTCCATTATTTGAAGTAGTTATTGGGATCCACAGGACGCTAGACCGTTCGTGTGGTGGAGTTTATGGGACAGACCAGCAGCTTCTTTCCTAGAAGTCTTGGATGATGCATCTAGCTAATTGTTATTTTGTTGATCTCTACTCTTATGCGTTAAACTCCATTTGCTATGGCAACTGTAAATGACCTGCGGCTTGAACGTTTTAGTAAGTTGAATTGGATTTCTCCGCAATGCAGGAAAATGGGACTGTGGACAATACTTGAGGGGTTCTTGCTTCTTGCAAATGCACTAGCAATACTAAATGAGGATCGGTTTCTTGCTGCTAGAGGATGGAGCTTCTCAGCTTATACAGGTGACAGGGCAAAATCATTCAAAGGCCAGCTCATCGGCCTCATATATGCAACTCAATACCTGAGAGTTCCTCTTGTACTTCTGAATACCATCTTCATTATCGTAAAGTTGGTTTCTGGATGATGCCTAGCAAGGTGAGATATCAATGCTTATACCCATTTGTAAGGTTCATAATGATTTTTTCAATATGATCGCATAATACTGTGATGACTATTAAGTATTAATTAAATTGAAATATATATATATATATATATATATATCTGTTGTCATGTTTGTACGCTCAACTTTTAATATGTTTCATCAATAAAAACATAATAGCACATAAAAAATGAATTATAAGTTGACTATTAGCGACAAGGTGTATTTTTCTCTAGCCATATACTATGCAGTCCAGCACGGCCATGTACATTATATAGGCAGAATTTAGTTCACAATTCTAGTCATCTGGAGTTCTATCTTCTCATCCATTTTGATTGTGAACACAAGTGAGAAATTATTGATGGAATGTAGTTGTTTGTTTGGATTGAGGTTCTAAAATAAATACATTGTACACTGCTTATGAATAGTGCAGCTTAGCTGGGCTCTATAATTTCATATCGATACCAAGTTACATGTTTTTCATACACGATATTCTAGTGGAAAAAATCATAATTAGAATAAAATGTATACTTAAAAATAACCCTGAATTGTAACATTCAATCTTGATCATTTTAAACGTAGGAAGTGGTGTCCATGTTGGGGGCAATAACCCATTTTTAGAGCGGTTGGCTAAACCTTTTGCCATTCATCCTTTCTGTAATGAAGCTTAATGAACATTGATTTTCATTTTCTTGTTTAGAGAAGAGGTTCATGACGTCATGGTGTAATGCAAGTGACATAATGATTTCACTTTCCCGTTTCCTTATGACCGCAGGTTCACAGATTTGCATCGAAAGATTCAAGGACGATTTTCTTTGATGGGTGACTATTTCTGTGGGTAGCAATTGCTATTAAAGTGTTTGTTGTAGTTGATTGATTCTTTTATTCATGAAAACTATGATGTTTACCAGTTACTTAGGTAGGAATTGGAGACATAGTGACTTTTTCTGGGTGTTATATTCCCTTTTTTTTTTTTTTAATATTAAGCCGTCAGTTCTCGATTTATTGTATTGAAGTATTTTATGTAAATGATTTAGATTGATAACCTGGCGGCTTGTGGAATGCATATTGGCTCATATTATCGAAGCGTATCCAGGCCAAAATATATACACATATTAGGGAATCATATGAAATCATTATTGGCGCCACATGTCTGAGTTGGATTATGATTTTGTGACTGGGATGCCTAAAACCGTGGAATTTTATTGCTGTAACTCAGTAGCTTTGAGGGAGTACAGCGTCTTGGCGATAAAATACAACTGATGCAAAACTTTCAAGGCAATGCTATTGTATATTTTAAGTTTATTTTTATTTTATATATAATACAATAATCGCAGGCCTTAGTGCCTTACGATTGCTGAAATATTAAGGAAGAGTGGAATCATAAATCAGCGAAGACATGGTAGGTTTTGGAGTCGACTGCAATGAGGCGCAGGGCTGCAACTGTTGCAGCGACAGACAAGAGGCCGAAGAAACAAACATTGAGCCAGTGCCAGAGCGTTTGTAAGGATGTTAGTTTGTGCTTCATTGCCACCAGGTACATGTGGTTTGCGAGGATAAATGTGAGGGGAAATGTGCTGATGGCCCCCGTGAGGCTCATGAAATCTCCAAGGAAGGGCAGTAGTGCCGACACCAATGTGTTGAAGGCCAGGTAGCCCCCTCTCACCAACACCCGAAATGATATATTCTTCAAGGCCAGTGCGCTTCCTTTGATGCCGTATCTAGTGTCTACGTACTCGTACATGGGACTTGCAAATATCTACCGTCAGCCACCGAAGTTAAAAAAAAAAAAAAACAGAGTGAGGGTTATTCGGGCAACAAGACAATCTTAGCAGAAAGAAATTCAATTCTAGTTTAGGCGCAAGTACATGCAATGCAACGACCGATTGAAGGAACGCCGCGATGTTGGCGGCGGCCTTCGCCCAGAGGGGACCATTCACGTTGTTCGGCAAATAGGTCTCTGTGGAAGATCCATAAGCCCAGTAGCCTGCGAAAGTAACGAGATAGAGTGGCAGAACCCCAACAGTGAACTGAAAGTAGAGAGCCCACATCATGTTCTTCACAACTGGCTGCCTGATCGTTGCCTGTTGTGTCAAAAACCAAACACAAGAATCAATGTCATTGAATGCTTTCGATATGATCGACGTGATAAATCTACGCCATTATTTATGGGCTCCTGTCTTGCCTGAATCTCAGGAAGCATTCCTGTATTAAATGAAAACACGAGATTAGCAGTCGCCCCGATCGTTGTGAATATTTTACTTGTTGATGTCCCTGGAATGCTATAATCTCTTGCCGGAGACCTTATTCCTGGTGATGCACTGATAGTTAGACCTAATTCAAGGCGCTAATTCGGAATTTATCAACTCAATACCAAAATATTAAACATAAAAGTGCGTCTTAGCTAATCAAGCATATGTATCGAGTGTCTGTTTCAAACTTTCGTCTTCAACAATTAGAGGCTTCATTCATATAACAAGGTATACATATGTACAAGAGACGAGAGAAGTCACCATCTCTGAGCGACAGCCAAGTTGCTATAACAATATACATCAAGCTGAATACTGTTGAAAATCCCAGCCAAATTCCGAGAGCCGAAAGATGGGGAATGCATACGGCAAATATTGCGCACACAAAGCCAGCTATGGCGATAAAATATGGAAGCTTCATCTCATGGTCATCCCTAAATAGAACATAAACAGCCTGGACCACAGTGAAAGGAGCGTATATTCAGAAAACGTGACAGCCATCAAGGCTGCGCCAAGAAACAAAAGAACATCATGGGGTATTTGATGGAACATATATCCCCCACCTTGAGGGCCGAACCAGCTAAAATGATATAGCCCGTATTTATCATGAAAAGGTTGACATATTGTAGCCCCCAGGTGAGCGAATAGGCTCTTCTTCCTGCAGTTAATCTGAATGAAATGAGTAGGAGGGCTAGTACGTAGTTGTTAATGTTATCGTTGTGGAGCGGGCGTACCGTATATAAAACCAGCAAGGTCTCTATATCTGATATGCCTTTTGCCTCCATATTCATGGAGCCTCGCAACAAGCGCATTCGCATACAGTGATACTGCAGTTGCCAGGATTAAACCAACAACACCAGGTATCCAACCCAGCGGAACCATGACTGTCCCTGAGTATCCCAGTATATAAGCGCTGTTGATCCCCGTCGTCAGCACAAAACCCACTTGGAACCATGAATCTATTCAAATTTTGCACAACAACCGTAAATACATATACATATATCAGTTAGAATATGTGGAACAAGCAGGTGCTTCTTGTCAAATAAACGGCCGCAGTTCAACCGTTCAGAAAATTGAGGAAAACAAGTGATTAATTAATTTCGTGTCTAACAGAAAACGTGATCAGTAAATATAATGATTTAATTAGAAGAATGAAGCAGAGGGGAAAAGAAAGAACTCAGAGGTTTGCTCGTTAATTTGTGTTCTTCTAGTGCTCCTCTGCTCTCTCCCCCTCTGGGTTGCGATTATACGTATGGTGCCTTTATTATATATCTCAAAGTCTGATCTCTCTGGGAAGGTGTTAGTGTATGTGAACCGAAGAAAACTCTTCAACACCCAGCCCAGCCCCACGATTGCCCAGTTGGATTTGAGCCTTCCTCATTTGAACGCTCACACGTTGCAAAGCCTAAAAATAACCTGAAAATATGGGAGAGGAAATAGAGGAACCAAACCTGTGCTGATCTGATGGGCAGTGTCAGGGGATTCAACGTCGACTGCGTTTTTGAGGGAGCGGCCATTATTGTGGGAAACGAGCTCAATAGGGGCTCCTTCTCTTCCCATCGCTGCTGCTGCGGCGGCGACGACGGCGATGACGACGACTGCTCTTCCTTCTCCTACTTGTGCCTCTCTCTCTCTCTCTCTCTCTCTGTGTAACAGACTACGCTATTGTCGCGCCTCTTCTGCTTCTTTCATATATAAGATTTGGTCACTGCCTCTCCATAATCATATTCCGCATGCCCCACTTTCTTTCGAAAAAAATTTAATATTTTATCGTGAAATTTCACCCTTTTTCCTACAATAATAAACATGAAGCAGAAATATTAATTTATAGACACCTTTTTTGGTTTCACATTATGAAAACATAAATGCAAAAATATGGATACACTTTTTATTTGATAACTAATCCTACCCATTCCATAAACATACATGTCATCGCCAAATTCGATTATATTTATTCACTCTCTATTGTTTTTGGCTTTGATTAAAATGTTACTTGGCTAGGAATGACCAATCTTAAATGATATACTCAATAAAAATCTTTTACTCGCTAAAAAAAGCAGTGAAGCTATATAAGAAATAATATGTATTTTTCATTAAAAATCTTGAAAATAAATACCCCATAATCGTCAGTGCAAAAAGTAAATATAATGTGTATATGTTCCCATTCGATGATCTGTAACTTGTCCGGTGATATCGCAGGGAGCGCGGGGGATAGAGATGTGCATGTGTGTGTGTGAGTGAGATCAGAAACAAAGTCGAAGGGAAACCATGTTTCAGTAACTCACGTATCATCAAATTCTACCATCGACCTGCACAGTCTTCATTGTGATGATGAGCACTTCCACTCCTTTTCTTTTACGTCTCATCTCATCGCTCCACTCACTTCTTCATATTCTCATTTTTGTTACCAAACTCTGTATTCCCATCAATCAATAATTCATTATATATTGTCCCTCCTTTCAAATTTATTGCCCCTTCGCCCGCCCCTATTTATTTATCTATGAACCTCGGACTCCATCTTATTCACAAAAAATACTTTTTCAAAAAAAAAATTTACTACCTCCGATCCTTAATATAAGACCCTGTTTGACTTTTATTTTAGTCATAAATATAAGACCCCAATCCATTTTTTCCTCATATTCACTCAATTTTTTTTATGATAGTCTTTCTAATAATTATAGTTCTAGTCAATACACTTGATTAGCAAGGATATTTTAAGAAAAACAATACCTATTTAGGACAAATAACTAATTCAACTTACTTTTTTAATCTCCTCAAATTAGTCAACTGGCTCTTATAATTAGGACCGGAGGTAGTACTGATCATCAGCGGATAACCAGGCCTGTGTATCGTCTTAATAATCTTAATTAGCATGTAGTTCACATAACCGAAGTTGCCAATATATATCGTAACGGGTGCCATATGCCCATGCATTTGGAATAAATAAATAGAAAACAGGATGACTTTATATATATGGATTATAAATTTGTAATAGCCAAATGATCCGTGACGATAATGACTTTTAAATTAATCAAGAATCTAAATTGTGATGCTTGATTGGCATAAAGCGGCCGGTCATGAAGTAGTGGGAGGAAAACCGGTCAAGTGAATAATGATATTCCGAATTCTTTACACGCGGTCGAGATTAGCCCCCCCCCCCCCAAAAAAAAAACCTTTCTAGCTATACTGCCGAGATCACAACACTAAACTAAACTTGAATTGTTTAGATTTTAATTAATTGTACAATGCCTTTTATTTTGAAATAATCACAACAAGAATGATGTGTGGATTTTCAATCTTATCATTTTTTTTTTCGGGGAAAGACAAATAATATGAATCAGTCGATATCTAGAAAATTTGTTTGCCTATAAAATTTGACGTGCAGGACAGAAGGAGACGATAGTAGTTGGATATGACTCTTGAGGACAGCAATTGGCAACAAAGTTCCGTCCTCTGTATTCCTTTTTGCCTTCGACGGCAATCATAAAGGGCACCACCATTCGCGCGCTTCTTTTTCCCCACTTTTCGAATTACTTCTTTTTTTTCCTTTTTCAAAATAATTAATAGTATAAACTTCAGATATTTTGACACATAAAAAGATGGCGATTTAGGAAAATATTCTGGTTTCATATATATATATATATACTACCTCCGGTCCTAATTATAAGAGCCAGTTGACTAATTTGAGGAGATTAAGGAAATAAATTGATTTAGTTATTTGTCCTAAATATGTGTTGTCTTTTCTAAAATATCCTTACTAGTCAAGTGTATTAACTAGAACTATCATTGCTAGAAGGGCTAATTTAAAACAAATGTATAAATATGAGAGACATAGTGGATTGGGTTCTTATATTTAGGATCAAAATAAAAGTCAAATAAAATCTTATATTAAGGACAGGAGGTAGTATATGATAATTAAAAAAAAGGGTGGGTGGGTATGAGATTATGGTGTGTTGGGATGGAATAATCAGAGTTGAGCGGTAGGGCAGGGTGGGAATAAAAGGGGAAGGATGAATTATGAGGAAATAATTAAATGAGAGGGAGAGAATGCGGAGAGAGCATCGAGTGATGAAGATGGCTGAGAGGCAGCTTGTTGTTGAAGTCGCATCTTCCTTTTTCTTTTTCATTGCAACATGCTTTCTTCTTCATATGAGTGGGCGTCGCTTTAGCTTTCCACTCTTTTGACCTCTAATTTGACCTCTTTCCCAATTCACTCGTCCACTGTGAGCAGCTGGCGCGGCCGCCCACTTGAATCCCTAGCTATTACTAACACACGCTGCTCCCTCCCCTTTCTAATCACCTTGCAAGTTGCTGCTTTGCCTGCTTACGTCCCAATGCTATTGGAGTAATGTAAAATTAATTGATGATAGTTGCTGATAGTGGTTAATGTTGGCCACACCTGCAACAAAAAAAAACACAATTAAATATAAAATATATGATTCGAGTCGTGTCCTATAAATACTGTCTTTAAGAGATATTTCGCAGTCACTCACTAAATAAAAAAGCAACACTTCTTATAACTAAAAGAAACATTCCTGCTTAAAGCAGGGTGACAGAATAGCAAGAAGATGATAAGTGTCACCTTAGTTCGATTGGCCTTGACCTTAATACTAAATGTTTCTTTTTATAGGTATAAATCATCTGATTATTAGGCAGCCATATATATAAGAGCAAATAAAGACGGCTTAATGACAATTAAAAGAGTAGTTTCAAAACAATGACTAATGGTTCTTTTATTTATAAGAGCAAATAAAGACAGCTTTGGCGTGTGTGATAAATTCTATCTTTTCCATTCCCCACTTTGAATCATAAGCTTTTATTTTGAACAAGTGCAAGGTTTGACGTGGTTTTATGCCAGGATATCAATTATTTGTTGTTCATCTCAAATGGTTAGTTTTAAGACTCCTCTTCTTACCTTTTTCATTAGCTCAACTTACATTTTATCGCTAGGATGCCTCTAATCTTGAGCAATGTTAGACTTTTTCTTTTGAAACACACGTTATTTACAATAGTTAATCAACACACATTTTTGAAAAAGAAGCCTATAAAATCGCTTCCTGCACTTTTTCATGTGGTGTTGTTATTTAGAAAACAGCTCCACCCCTCACTCAACAGGCGCTTGCTTAGATTATGTTATACTATCTCCGATCCTCAATATAAGAGTTAATTGACTAACTTGAGTATATTAAAAAAATTTATTAAGTTAATTATTTGTAATAAATAGGTGTTGTCTTTTCTAAAATATTCTTACTAAACAAATTTATTGGTTAAAACTAGTATTATTATAATAATTATCTTTAAAAAAATAAATTAGAATTTTATATTTAAAATAAAAATAAAAATAAATTGTTATATCAAAGACTAATATAGTACTTGATTTGATTAAACCAAAAAGAATCAAATGATGCCGCCGTTTTGAATCCCTGGTGGAGAGATTCGTTTTATGATGGACTGCAAACGAAGATTCACTGCTGGCGAGGGTGCTACGCTGTGGCCTACGAAGTCACCACTTGGAATAGGCATAGGGTCGCGTCTCTGTGTCAGATAAAGCTGCGGCGGGGCGCCGGAGCGTTCTGTTTACCAATTTGCCCTGCTCCATAACAAGAAAGCGATTTCGTTCAACCAAGTAGCCCAATATCGGTTGTCCGGCCCAATAACCACCAAGTTTGTTTCTCTTTCTGCGTATGGCATAGTGGCTGGATGCTATGCCTCAAGGAGGAGGCCGAGCCCATCATAGGATGAGCTGGCCTGCCAACGAACTTTTCCTCAGGTCAGACCTCTCCGATAGCGCTATGATGCCCCCCATATTCGACGGTTTCTTTTTTTAAAAAAAAACTTAGGCTTTTTTATTTATTTTTAAATAAAACTGCATAATTTCAGAGTTTAAAATTGTAAAATTTTCATATTAGTAAGATATTAAAATATCACCAGATTTATATAGAATTTAATAATCAATAGGAAAAAAATATTTGGGATATTAAAATATGATGAAATCCGTGCCTAAATCATTGAATTTTGGAGGAATACTGACTGGATAGTGGATAGGGCAGCCGTCCGTACAAATCCTGTATTCTGAATTATAAACAGCAAAAATTTTCCGTGTGCCTGTTATTTCTGTGACAATCACTTATTTCATCCCAAGAAATGCAAAAGTAGTTCATAAAGATGCACGTGTGTGTATACATACATACATACATATATATATATATATATATCCATACATCCATAGACAGCGCCCCGTAACATTTGGTGCGAGGAGACAAACCAGAAATAGATATATACAGCCACCGATTAACGAGAACTGAGATCAGCTTAGGATAATGATGAGGAGAGGGATTAGCGACGCGCGGTGGCGCGACTAACATATACTAACACACTTGTATTTAATTTGGTGATTACCAAGCAAGGAAAAGAAAATGAAACCAGTTGTTGGAATTGGGAGGCAGCTGGTCAAGGGTTCAGGGCCCCAGCCCCAGGTGCGGCCAAGTCTTGTAAACTTGACGTGAGTGCCCAATTTTCTACGGGAGAAGAAACATCTAGTCGAGTCATTTCTTTCGGCAGCCTGTGTAGTCCAAGAAGGAGACATGGACCTACCAATATATTTCTCATTCTTCCAACACAATCTGTACACTCCATTTCTCCAAAATTTCTTCCTCACCACGTCTTGTGAATTGCCGTTTCATGACGAGCCCCCCACGACCTCTATATCCATATATGAACCGAATCCGCTGCACAAGCTTACGTATACATAGAAAATTTTCACCTGCGTACGTAGCATACATTTTCATGAGGGATCATGTCCAGAATACTTACGAAACAAGGTTGAAAAATGGCATCAAATATTAAATCTGCGAGGAAAGTGCAACTTTCACTGCCTTGGATTCTAACTAAATTAAAGGGTTATGTATCTTGGGCACATTTGAGTAGGGGCCGCCACCGATGGATGCTAGGCTGGTAGTGTACGTTTAATTTACACAACGAGCATCAACCCCCGCCCCGCCCCGCCCCGCCCCGCCTGCACATATATGGCATAGCATTTGCAACTGTTTGGTAGGAGCCACATGTCGGTCCGCCCAGTCAGCTGTTTGTGCCACAAAACATATCATAATCTTCAATGCAAACAAAAGGTGCTTTACTAAAAGCTGAAATCAATTCCCTTGCATACATGCAATGATCAAAAGCTTCCAAAGCCCGCTACGTTTTTCGCCAGCACAAAAATCTCCAACGCCCATCGTCCCACTGTTTCATCCCATTCACTTCTCTCTCCATATTTTTGCCAATACTCTCATCCTTTTCTTTCCTTTGGCAAAGGCTGCCGTACGGGCATCTTCACGTTTAAGCAAACCTAATGGCAATAGGCCTGCTAGCTAAGGCTATTGACTTACGAACTGCTGAAGGATTTCTACACAGACATGTATACGCATTTCACCAACTAAAAGCTGCTTCCTAACTTGGACGTTGTATTCTTTATATATATATATATATGTATGGGTCAGCAGGCAGCAGCGGTCTCCAGTTTGGAGGGTGACATCACTCCCAAAAATATACAACTGACACTCACAGAAACCACTCGTGTAAAATACAGAGCAGAGAGATTTCAGAATTCCCATAAAATTAAACTTTATCGGATAATAGTTACCTATTGCTCCAAGGGTAAGATCTGGCCTCCCCCGGACTAAACATACGGATCTAGCGGATGCATGTGAAATTTCATGGTTGAGGCGCGAAATTCGACAATTTCCACCGGCAAGCGTAGATGAGTTCTCTTCTGCGATAATTAACCTTGTATCACTGGATCCAGAAGCAAAACTAACTACAAAAAGATACAAATGAGAACTGTATCTCGAAATAATGGACTAATAAATTAAACAAGCTATTAAGAAGGAAGAAAGGGGGCGGAGGATAGTCATAAGATTCGGAGGGGAAAAAACCAGGGAGGTAGAAACAAGGGAATGAATGGACTCACAGGAATCGGATGTATGAGGCAGAGAATGCGGTGGTGGATGAGGAGGAGGGATTAGAGGGAAAGCAGGGCGCACAGACACAAATATAAAGGAATACATAGTAAGAATGATGAGAAGCCACCGAAGGAGGAATCCAAAGGGATAGCATGATCCCAGAATGAAGGGAGCTGGGAGAGAGGGTGAAGGCTCGGATTTGGGATCAATGCGATCCCTTTGGATGCCTCCTCCAGTTGCAGTTTTTGAATTGCCAAGCTAAGCCTCTTCTTCCTTCTGCACTCCGCAGTCTAATCTGCAAGGTAGCAGGGTTGTTGCGGAGGATGAATAAGGGCTATGACGCTTCGCTGTAAGAGGACAAGAGCAGCGCTTCAATATTGAACGACCAGTCTCTTCACTTTCACTCACTTATTCGAATTTGATTTGATTTGGCAAATCAGAGGAAAAACTGTGGTTTTAATGGGACAAGAGATATTTATTTAGAGGTAGACCCCATTGGCATTCCCTGAAGACCCAGAGAGTACAGAGGGAGAGAAATGGGAGCCGGCCATTATTGGCAGTTCTCAACAACTTGGGCCCCCCCCACCCCACCCCACCCCACCCGGCCCTTCTTATTAAGAATTCTATTCTCTCTTGTTATTTAATTAATTCAACCCTTGTGGTCCATACCCACTCACCCAAGCCACACTACTCTCCCAAAAACTTAAAAAAAAAAAAAAAGAGCATTTCCCAAATCACACGGCGGTTTACATAATACATCAGCTTCATCTATCGACTGACTGGCTATAAAACGGATGCGTAGTGTGCGCGGGTCAATCATAAGCTGAACGGAGATTTTGAGGGAGGAGGAGGCCGACTTTTGGAGAACAGTGAAGTAGAAAGAAATATTTGCACATGCAAGGCCAGCAATGAATTTCTATCAATCTCCCGGAAATCTATCCATCTCATCTCCGCCAAAAGGCCAAAAAAAAAAAAACATAATTATACGTTTGTTTCAACAAGATTGCCTTTCATTTCGGTTGATCTGTGCGGCAACAATCATGGTTGTCAATCCCAGCATTCCAAAAGTTGAAGGATTTATGTTTTTGCTTCGTGTGTGCAAACAATAAAACACAGGAGACCTGCTTTCATAATTAAGTCTTTCACGTGGAACTGTCTTGTAAGTCCGGGACTTGCATCACTATTAGCTTTCTCATGCATTCTAATGTCTTGCTTCATCATCTTATTATACGGGTTGACAAATCCATCAATTTCATTTCTACAGAGTACAGAGAGAAAAGAAGAGAGGGTCCCACCACCACCCGACGCACAAAAACATCTTACATAGATTGATACACACACACCCCACTCTCTCACAGTCTCACTGTCTGACGTGATGTGATCGAAAGCAGTGTAGGGTTGTTGGTTGAGCGCTTACGGCATATTTGTGTCTGTTATTTGAAGGACAGCAATGTTAGTTCCCCTCCTGGTCGGCCACCTCAGCTTCTTCACTCACTGTGCCACTGCCAGCCTCAGTGCCTCACTCACTATACGTACGTTGGTGACGCCATGCCGCCTCTGTGTCTGCACTTTCTACTTGCTCTATCACCAGAAAATGAATGTACTTGCAGTAATGGCTTGCGGCAGAGTGTTGTCAACATTAATTCTTACAACTTCATTTTAGAATGGATCAAAGGAAGCAGGTTGATTGGATCATGCCTGCCGCTCGACTTCCGTCTCATATTCATGGTTTTATTGACATATCTTCCCTCTCACACCGCAGCAGTTTGTGGCGGTCCTCCCCCTGCTTGCCTTACCCACTGCTCCTTTATTCAGTGTTTAAAATAGGCCCTTGTATGTGGACCACCTCCAGCAAACACTAACTTTCCCGGCCCTTCACATATGATCTCAGGTCATAATTATAAAATTTTATTTGTAAACTATAAATAAGATCTTATATTTAGAACCGGAGAGAATATAAATGTGCCCTACTTGTTGCCCATCTTACACACTTTGTAATACTACCTATATGTCCTTAATTAGTATAAGAGATAATTAATTTGAAGAGATTAAAAAATTTGTGTAAATTGATTAATTGTAATAAATATGGGTTAAGTGACTTGAAATATATAATTGCGGGCATTATCAAGCATGTATTGATGTCATGGGATTCTTTTTTTTTTTTAATAAAGGAACCATAATCTTTTAATTTACTTACACTACAACAGTACCTTCTATGGTAATTACTGTAAAAACATGACCATTTAGTGCCTAAGTTCAGGGATAAAATAGTTTCCTGAGACAACAAATAGGTCAAGTGTTTAGTCGTGCTCTAAAACTTTTTCTGGAGTTATTGTTAGTCTGTTATTCATGGTAATGCCAATGCCATGAAAGTATGAAGAAGCTCTCTAAGTCATGATCGATGGTTATTCTTTGACTCTTCTGGTTTTAGAAACAATGCTTTAGACTCTAGAGTGTTTAATTTAAAAGCAAATACTACTTCCGGTCCTTAATATAAGACTTTGTTTTACTTTTATTTTGTTTCTAAATATAAGAGCCCAATCCACTTTGTCTATCATATTTATACTTTTTTTTCAAAGTAGCCCTTCTAATAATAAGAGTTCTAATTAATACACTTGATTAGTAAAGATATTTAGGAAAAACAACACCTATTTAGGACAAATAACTAACTCAACTTACTTCCTTAATCTCTTAAATTAGTCAACTCGCTCTTATAATTAGGACCGGAGGTAGTATTAAACGTGGACATTTTTGCTGGCCAGGGTCAGAAACAATTTGCGAAAAGATGAAAGTGAACATAATTTAGTTAAATGCTCTGGATTAATTATTATGAGGATGCATGGGACATCATGCATAACAGAATGCTAAGGATTATTAATGGTACAAACTACTACTAAATCTAATTGTTGAAGTTAGCGGAGAAATTTATATCTGTCCTACACACACGCACACACGCGTCAATGTCTTCTATCTTTCACATTTATTATGTTTTTTTTTTAAGTACTCTCTATTTATTGCAGCGGAAGTAATTTAGAATGTGTTTAATATAATTTATTGAAAGAATAGGGAGTGTGCTAGGAAAATTAACCTATATTTTTTAAGTAAAAGACTAAATTAAGTAATTTTTTAGTATATGTGAATGAATTATGTAGCTATTGAAAGAAAGAAATATATTGGTTATTTGTTTGGTTCAAAAGAGGAAGAAAAAGAAAAGACGTGATTGGGGAGGGATGAGACCGCAGTAAACCCAAATCCAAAGAGGCGTAGGGCAACTGGGGAAGGCATGCCGAGGCTCGACTGATCGCGGAATGCTTGAAGAGCAATATATCTTGGATCATTTATTTACTTACTGCCATCGCTCAAATAATTTATGTCCCGTTTCCTATGTCGAAATTGAGATAGATGGATAGAGAAATGGAATTCATTTCCATGACAAAACTTGTTTGGTACGAGGAAAGGGTCCTGGAATTGGATTCTTTGTGGAAGTCAAATCTATCAAAAGTGATGGAATTAGCTTCCATAGAAAAAGATATTTCTAATTTCATATCCTACCTTCCTCTTTTACCCTCGCAAATCATGTACTCATTTTTATAATCGAGCTCAGCGTATATTTATTTAAGGGTTAATGCCACTTCTGGTGTCACAAATTTTAGTTTAATGATTTATGTCCTACATGCGCACATATAAGGAAAGAAGAGGCGTAAAGTGAGGGGAAAACTGCGTAGGAGAAAGGGGGAGGGTCACGCCGGTCATTTAAAAACAACCGCCAAACGCAATGGGAAAAAAAAGTAGTCTTCGCAGGTCAATTCTACTAGTGCGTGTCCCAAATTGCGGTTAGGCGGGTAGGTATACACTCCCCGGTCTCTCCTATTTGCACATACACAGAGAGAGAGAGAGAGAGAGAGAGAGGGAAGAGAAACCCAAACAACCAAACTAACCCAACTGACGCTTTCGCCATATCAATTAACCGCTATGTCTGAAGGAGACGCTGCCGGCTCTGCCTCTCCCTCTCCTTCCCTCGAACCTCCCCACAATGGCGCCGCCGACTCGGAAGTCGCCGGTTGTTCCGACTTGGAACCCGTCGCGGGCGATGCCGACTTTTCTGGGCTTGGAGACGGAAACGTTGCCGGTAGAGTGAAGGGACCGTGGTCCCCGGAGGAGGATGCCGTTCTCAGTCGATTGGTTAGCAAGTTTGGGGCTAGAAACTGGAGCATGATCGCGAGAGGAATACCCGGCCGCTCCGGCAAGTCTTGCCGTCTCCGTTGGTGTAATCAACTTGACCCTGGTGTTAAACGCAAGCCCTTTACTGGTAATCTCCTTTCCCGGTCATTCTCCCATCGTTGTCCGCGCCCTTTTTTTAATTGATTTCATTTTGTGCCTTTCTATTCCCATTTTGGATTTGATGGCTAGCTAAGCTTCTTGCTCTGTTTTCAAGTGGAAGAGGTCCCGATTCTGTTTTTTTCGTCCTTTTTATCCGATATTATCGTTGTCACCCTCGGGGGCGGGCAATTGGGCCTGCATCACTGTTCGTTCTGTGGCTAAGTTGACGATCTGTGTTATTTTTTGATTTATATTGGAGTAAAATTCTCTATACTGAGCGGGCTTCATAGTCATTGAGAAGTTGAGGCCAATAAGAACTTATCGTTGGTTTTTCCCTCACGACGCATTACATAGATATTAGTTCAGCTGCATTCATAGCGATCTTCCGTTGTTGATTTCAATTGGCTGTCAGCCTTTGGTTCTGTCCTCCGCATTTGAAATCAACTAAAACCTGTATTTCTATCTATCTTGAAAATGTTGATAGAATGCACAAAAAATGGATTGATTAGCTTCTGTCGGAGTAACGTTTAAGTTATCTATGTCCATATGAATGACCTTCTAATTGCCCACTTATTGTTCACTTGGCTGGTTTCCTTAAGAATAAAATACACTATTTACCAAAAGCAGAAAGAGGTAAAAATACGCTAGCTACTTTGGTTCCCATTAAAATATTGTGACTGTCCCTATCTTGGATGCCAAAAAGCAATGATTTAAGAGAAATTTTTTTATTCTCAACACTCAGGAGAAAGTTTTGCATGCTAATGTTTAGTTGAGATTTAACAGCTTACTCCCCTTGATGTTTAAATAAAATTTGTCGTGATTAGGGACTTGAGTGATTGCTTAGTTTTAGTTTGTTTTGTGGTTTTATTGTCTTTAACTACTGAATTTGAAGAAGGGTCTGCACTATTATGGGATACAAGTCAAATACAGTTCAGTACTGAGCTAGCACTTCTTTGGTCCTTTCTCTAACGTCATAAGATAGGAATATCTAAAATCGAAAGTTGATCTCCACAACAGTGTCAAATTTGTAGGCAAAATTATATATGAATGTGTGTACAAATAATCTTTCAGGATCTTATTCAATGCCCTTAGCAATAACTTTTCCAGTAAAAGCCTAGCAACCGCAGTGGTTTATCAGAAAAACTAAGTGAACAAGGCGTGGAACTTCATGTGAAATTGACAATTCTAAAGAGATAGACAAGAAACTGAACCGGTAATGTGGAACTACACAATAGTGGAAACAATTGGTCGACAAAGTAATGTTTTGCTCGCTACACCATGATTCAACACCATTTGAGAAGTTTGATGTAAGGAAAGGTAGTTCTAAATTCTAATATCCAATGAAGAGCTATAAATGATTCGTTAGAACATCAACATTCCAAGCAATTAAGACAAGGTGGTGGATGGAGATTAAAGGAATTGGTAATGACTTATGAAAGTGGTTGATTGATGGATGGATGACATTGAAGTGGTATAAATATATTATTTGAATAATTTCCAAAAATACTAGTATCCTATGTTTTAAATATATGAACACTGTGTTGATGGTGGAAAAGAGATACCTGATCTACTTATCTATGCCGTTAGAGTGGTACAAAGTACAGTTCGGTATTCTTCATCCTGGCAATTTTTGAGTGTATGACAATTATATAACGGCGTACTGCTTTCATCTAATTTGTATTTGCTTGCGGATTCAAGAGTGCTTAGTGGATCATCTTGCAATAATGTTGATGATGTTTTACTCCTTTTGGGGAAGATAAGTTGCTGACCCACCCAAATTACTGCAACCAGTCATTTGTCACCACTTCAAGCAGTGAGAATCTATCAAAACAGCTTTGAAAAATGCCAGAATGGTATTAGTGTTGCTCTGATCATGTTCTAACTTCTATTATCATATTGCAAGATCAGTTGGGAGTCTCGATCTGGCGCCTTAACATGCCCCTAATGAAGCCGATACCTGAACAAGATGGTTTAATATATCAACAGAATTTGGTACTGTTTGGCAAATAGTGTAGATGGTGGACAATGTCTATGTTTCATTTAATCCTGAGTAATTAAATAATAAAAATATTCTCAGATGAGTTTTAGCTTCTTTGTAGCCAGTATCTCCTTGCTTTAGCCGTATTTGGAGCTGGGACAAAGCAACTCAAACCTTTTTGATGTAATTCATATTCCAGGCTTTCGTTAGACCGGGAGTTACTTGAAATATTAATACTAGGATGCCAGGAACAAAATTCCGTGTATTTGTTTGGTATTTTACTCACGGCAAGAAAGAATATCATACTTGTCTTTCCATATCCTGCTGCTTTGGCGTGTGTGATAAATTCTATCTTTTCCATTCCCCACTTTGAATCATAAGCTTTTATTTTGAACAAGTGCAAGGTTTGACGTGGTTTTATGCCAGGATATCAATTATTTGTTGTTCTTTGGGACAATTAACATAAGCGTTGGCATTTTCTGCTTAGTCATTGCTCTATACTGTTGCATTCATTATTTGCATATCATTTATGGATTTTTATGTGAGACCAGATTTAGGGACAACTTTCTATCCCGTTATTCAATAAAAATTATGACAAATGGATTCATTTTACAGCCCAACATCACATGATTGGGTTTTTCAATGAAGTGACTTTAGTCTTCCTCTTTTTATGGGGCCTCCAGTGAGTGGAAGCTCATACCAAACCTTCATCTGTGTGCGTTTTCCTGCTAGGTATTTCTGCTTTGCTTTGTATGTTATGTGTTTTCTTGTTGTAAACTTGTGTTCATTCAATTAACAAATTAGTCTCGGCCCCAAAAAAAAAAGTCCACCATGATGAATACCTTTTACCTCAGAGTCTAATGAAATGTAAATTGCTGCAGAAGAAGAAGATCATATTATAGTTGCAGCCCATGCAATGCATGGAAACAAATGGGCAGCAATAGCTAGGCTTCTTCCAGGAAGAACAGATAATGCTATAAAAAATCACTGGAATTCTACACTTAAGCGCAGGTGCTTGGATCTTGGAAGATGCATACCGCTGGGTGCTGGCATGGTGGAAGAGGGCAGCCAGGACGCCCCTGACAAAATGAAGGCATCTTCTGAAGAAACCATGTCAGCAGGGGATATCAATTCATTGAATCCTACACAAATTAAAAATTTGGGGATGGATGGTGGTATTGATCAGCATGAAGATAATCCTCCAAGAAACGATGGTGCTGAAGTGGAGGAACATCCTACCCTGTGTCAACCAGTAGCACGTGTTAGTGCATTTAGTGTCTATAATCCCCCAAGCAGGGCGACAACTGGATCCGCATATTCAAGGATGCTCCCAATGCAGGGCCCTTTGATTCAATCTTCCAAAGTTGAAGTGGGAGCGTGCAAGCTATTCGAAGATGTTGGCTGTGAGCCCATGGTTCCGGTGCAATGTGGTCATGGCTGCTGTTCTGCAAGTTCTCAGGAAAGCCATTCTCATGATTCGCTACTAGGTCCTGAGTTCATTGACTATTTGGAGCCTCCCTCCTTTTCAAGTCACGAATTGATCTCTATAGCTACAGATTTGAACAACATTGCTTGGATCAAGAGTGGCTTAGATGCCAGAGTAACGGAGAATGCAGTAAACTTAACAGCGTCTCAAGATGTTGCTACTGCATTTCAAAATGGATTCTTTGAAGAGGGAGCAGGCAAGGTTGTGGGTGTGATGCAAGATATGATGTCAACTCAGATGTCTAGCCATCCATTTGCAATGCCTGCAGAGGTTTGATGGATGATTGCTGATTTCACTGTCTTTCTTCGTGGCTTACTATGGTGGGTGGATTGGTGGTTGGAAGTTTGTCTCAACAGGGGCTTAAAAATTAGCATCGAGTTGTCCTTCCTCGTTGACGCCAGGTCACGATAGTTTCCTTGAAATACCTGGTGGGAGGTTTTTGGTCTGAAAATATACATATGGAAATTTTGATTCAGTCAAGAGTTCTTTTCCCGCCTTCTCAGTATTGTGTCCCTATGCCTACTTAACGGCACTATAACCCGGACCATTGCATATATTCCAGCGAGAAGTTAAATGCAGCTCTTGATCTTGTAATTGGGCCGGACTCGCGAGAGTTTATATATATATATATATATATATATATATATGTAGTTGGATCTTTTTAATAACTATTTTGTTAATAAAACATTTATTATATTTTATAAAAAATTATAGGGAGCAAACTCATGATTAATTATTTTTGCTGGTCATGTAAGAGTACAAGGTTTTCACGGGGAAGCGTGCATTACCAATTATGAAAGAGAGTTTTGCTTTGAACAAAAGTTTTCATGCTTATATATCACCAGAAAATCAGATTTGGGTACCCTGACATGAGAAAAAGGGAAACGATATGAGAGGCAGTTTTTCTGATGTCATCTATCCTCTATAAAGCACAATAATGATAATCTACGAGGCAAATTTAATATACATTTTTGCGCCTGTTTAGTCACGGAACAAGAAAAAGAAGATCGATTTGCGTTGGCGTTGTTTCTCCCTCTGCAGGGTGCTAACGCTGGGTGGTGCAGAGGGTAGTCGGCTTGCTAGAAATGCTGAGTTATTCCCATAATGATGATATCCGCTATTGCAGCTGGAGACCTGCATGCCTCACGTGCTGGTGCTACTTGTCTTTCTGAATCTTGACATATTGAGGAGACGTCAAAAGCTTTATTTACTCGTCTCTCTACAAGTTCAGGACAAAGAAACAAACTACTGCTTATTTACTCATCAATTTGGATACAATCATTGTTAAAGGAAGCTGGTTGATTTCCAACGTGTTCCACTTCCTCAGAACGCCAGATGATTATACACTGATACACTCCATTTCAAGCCGAAGTAATAAATCAACAAGCATCAAGCATACATATTTTAAGATATGTCCCATGAGGAAGACATTCAAATTATTTTTTCCCTCCCAGTACAGCCTGTAGTGAATTGAGTTCATTGCAGTGTAATCAGCGAGTTTAGAGAGAGAGAGAGAGAGAGATGTTTCACTCTCTCTTCTCACTGGGATGGGTCTGTCTTCTAGATGAAAAGATGTGAGTGATTAAGCGATCCAGGGAACGACGAGAGGAGCCTCCTTGTTGTAGACACAGATCTGCCTTCTCCTTCAACTGTAAGGCTCTCTCCCTGATAGCCTTCCCTTCGTCCTCCACCATTATTCTTTGAATGGCCTGCTCCACCTCTCCTCTCTGAAGCTCATTCGGTAATTGAATCCCAACCTTCCAAACATCACTCACATATTTGGCGTTCACCTTTTGGTCTGCAAAGCATGGCATGCAGATCATGGGAACCCCTTCACATACGCTCTCCAAGGTTGAGTTCCACCCATTATGAGTCCAAAATGCTCCCACTGCCGGGTGACTCAACACCTGTCCCTGTGGCGCCCACTTCACCACGTGGCCCCTTCCTCCCAAGCTCTCTATGAACCCATCCGGCAAGGGCTCAAGCCATTGAGAGCCCGGCACCAAGCCCGGTCGAAGCACCCACAGAAATGCCTGCTTGCTGTTGGCTAAGCCCCAAGCCATCTCCACCAGCTGCGTCTGGGTTATTGCAGCAATACTGCCGAAGCTGACATAAACAACGGAGTTGGGTTCCTGTGTGTCTAACCAGGGGATGCAACTCTCATCGGGGGTCATCAAGGCGGTAGAAGCAAGCGAGCCTGAAGTCAAGTGCTTGTGGAAGGGGCCAATTGGGTAGATGGGTATGGAAAATTCAAGCGTGAGCTTTTCCAGTGCATATGATTCCAACTCTTCAAATGTGTTCCAAATCACTCCCGACGACAACTTGAGTTCATCCACCATGCGACAAACAAATTCATAAAATGCCTCCGGATCTTTTGTCTCTATCTTTGGAAGGTCTTTCACTTTTAGCGGCGGAAGCTCTGCCACCGCTTCTTCGCCTCTAGACTCTGAATACACAACACAAGCACATTTGGAATCTTCATCAGACAAACGATTTTCAGTTGCAATTTCAGAAGCATAATCATATCGTCGGCACCCAAACTAGCATTTTGCCCCATTCAATACACATTAGTAGTCTTTGAAAATAATAAATCATTTACACAAATAGCCATTTTGTCGGGTAAAATAAAAAGAACAATGGGACTACTGGTGTCCGAACTATTTGTTGTTTTCATGTATTAAACTTTACACATTTATTCAGTCCAATGACTCAATAAACCTAAGTATCTAATAGCTGCAATTATATTTGACATAATTATTCAAAAACTTAAAAACAATATCCGTTCATACCCATATATGTGATAACTTCAAATGTTTAACTTTGATATGTAAAATTATGATTTTGTGATTCTTTATCAACAATCTCTCTTTCTAAAAATTAAAGAAAAAATTACTATCCTAGTCCCGATAATTTTATCTTGTTTAAAACTCAATTCCTCATAGTATCAAAAAAAAAACTCAATTCCTCAATATAACTCACAGTCATTTAAAATTTTTGTATTTCTAACTCGTTTAAATCTCAATTTCTAATCTTTTCATTATCTATAACTTTAGTCCTTATTGTCCTCAATCCATCTCATATTTAGCATATCAAAATATGCCATATCAGAGCATAAATCAGCTTGAGGAAAAGAAGGGGGGGAGCGCTTATAAAAATGTTTTAGATAGTCGAAGCCACATCCACAAGGATTTTCCTCGTCAAAATCACGGACCCAAATCAGAAATTACTTGTTCTCATTTACTTCCACAGTGGCGCCTTCTACTCCCCATATCATATCATCACAATTACCCCAACTCCATTAGTTCTCGGGTGAACGTCAACGGCTTCTCTGTCGATTACCTAAGGGCGTCGGAGCACCCAGTGCCGACAGGCCATCATGGACTGCCATGAAATCAAATGGGTCGCTTCCCATTTCGGCGGCAAGAGCCCGGCGAGTGGCTAAAGCATCAACCCATTTTGGGAAAGGTGTACTGGGGCCAACGATCCGTTGATCCACCCACAGATTCAGCCGCATTGTTTCTTTCATCAAATAGGACTAATCAAGTTTCTTTTCTTATTCATGGCTTTCATTGTTAGCCTGTTTGGGTTTTAATACTTGAATATAATACAAACAAAAAGACAAAGGGAAAGAATGGCTGAGACTTGCAATGGAAAAAGAGGACAGGGACAACATAAATGGAGAAAAGATTAGGGATAAAAAGTTGCATAATAAATCTTCAAAACAAAAAAAGTGAATTTTAAGCGGGTTAAAATTAAAGGGATAAAAAAATTAATTTTCTCAAAATTAAATGACAGCACAATTTTAATCATTGAAAGGGATAAAATGCGAAACGCTCATCTACAAAATATGGTTAGGGAGAGAAGCGTGATTGAAACAATTAGATATGTAATGAAAATGACATTTGTAAACACAATTAATTCTTTTTTTTTTTCCCAGCGGTGTAACCGACAGGGCCAACTGCTGGTAAACGAGGAAAAAAAGAAGGAGCCCCGCCCCCGGGGGGGGGGGGGGGGATGAGACTTGAGAGCCAATAAGACAGCAAAATATTGGAATTGCATGAGGCCCCAATCTATATATCAAATATCAAGCATTATGGGAATAGATAGAGATCAGATAACAGGAAGATTGATAAACCCGGTGGAAACATATTTCATCAGAGAAAAGCGAAGGTTATCATTAAATGCGAAAGGGAAAAGGAGGCAGGAGGACGCACCCTCAATAGGAAGGTAACCTCTGCTTCTCAAAAGGGGGAACAGAGAGAATACCAGAAAGGAAGAGGCGCCGCCAGTGCGCAAGACAAGACGAGGGAGATGGAGAGAGTCGCAAACAGATCGAGTGAAATGAAGGGCGGCATCGGAGATCAAGCAAGCGATAGGGTCGAGAGAGGGATCGGATAACAAATGAGACAAGCAGCGAGAGAGAGGATGGGCGCATCTGAGGTTGATGAGGTTGGTGAGGTGAAGAGGATCGGAAGTAGAGGCTTCGGACTGGGATAATTCATCGGAGAAGGGAACGAAGGTGAAGTGAGGATAGGCAGAAGGGTTGGGGGAGTTGAAGAGGGTGTGGCTGATGATGATGGAGAAGCCACTGCAGTAGAGGATGTTGGCAAGCTCCAGCAAGGGCGCGATGTGTCCCTGTAGTGGCGAAGGGATTAGAACCAGGGAAAGGCCTTTGCGCTCTCGCTCCATTTCTCAAGCCTCGTCTTTTCCTTTGCCACATAACTATCACTGCTAAATAAGAGTTAAGACCCGCAAAAGCGTAAACCACAGTCTGCTCAAATTTCTTCCTCCTTCATTTTTTCAACGGCCGACACATACTTGGATAGTTCGATTTCTCTTTCGCTTTCAAAATGATTTAGCCGTCTATAGGATAAATAAATATACAGAGAAGTTTATCTTATTTTATACAAAAATAATTTTAACAGGTATTTTTGAACACATCCAAACACCTTTTTAGATTTATAATTAAAGTTAAATGAAATAGAAAGAGGCTGGAAACGGGCTTCAAGCCTTCAAGTAGGTCTTATTCCTTTATATATGATTGCAGGTAATCATAAATCTGAACTACTACCATTTTAGTTGAGTGTTTTTTTTTGGTGTGTAGAAATGTTAATTTATTAGAAGAAATATTTTAGGAAAATATAAACAAGTAAACAACCGCGAAGACCCGAACACCATGCAGAATATGGATCTTATACATACGAGAAGTCCGTTAATAATGATGAGATAGAATGAAATGATGAGTCAAGTAAGACAAACTTGGTTTCTTTAAAATAAATTATATTAGAAAATCTACCACGAGCCTGATCTGTAATCACACGAAAGCCGCCCTTGAATGCGATGCATTGCACCTGATTTAATTTGACACATTCTGGTTTAATTGGGGGACTTATTAATTTTTTAAAATATTAATTCTTTTAACTGTCTCCTAATTCTATCCATTCCTTTCTCAATCTTTCTAAGAATAGGGGCGGCGGGTTGGGTGGGGGGGGGGGGAGTTTGATGAATGACGGTGATGACGCAGTGAAGCATTTGAGGCGAAAGGATAGCCATCATGTCACCCCAAAAAAATGAAAGAGGGATAGCCACATAATGACTCTTACGCCCATGCGACGAATAAACGAATAATAGTGATTGAAAGATTCATAAATGGCGCGTGATAAGCAAGGATTCGCAGCAGAAATCTTTAAATAAAATGGCAATCTGGTCAAGAAATCCTGAACTAAATATTCCAGGAGGAGCCAAGTAGTTTCCTTTTACAACATTACATGGCTTGTTTATATCTGCTCCTAATAATAAGTGGTTACAACTTACAAATACTTTCATACCGAGCCAAAACTCTCATAACATACTTACATCATAAATCACAATTAAAAAACTGCTCTTGAAAGCTCCAATGACAGTTCCAAGTAAGTCCCCAGTCTCCTCACATGTTTTTGAGAAAGAATACAAGCTCCACATAGCATGAGAATAAATCAGCTGCTACACTGTTGAGTATAAATGTTGCCTATCTACATAAGGCATGCAGCCCGAAATGACGCATTTGATGTGGCTTATACTTTCCCTTCTAGCACCTATTATAAACAACGAATGCGTCGCATATTCATGAGATTGGCGAGACCATTGCATCGGAGGGAAGAAGAATTTCACGGATCAGTGTTCACATCAATGGGAAGAACCGCAGAAGGTTGACGTCGGCATCTGCTCTTCTCCAAAGATATCTGAGTGGCCACCCAAGAAAATTACAATTATAACACTGAACAACATCAACTAAATCACGTAAAAGTTGTCAACATCTGCTGGAAAAATGAAACACGAAACACCTGAGACACCCATACAAGCAGCAAATCATGACTTACACAAAGCTTATACTACCTCCTGTCCTTACTATAAGAGCTAGTTAACTAATTTAAGTAGATTAAGAAAGTTAGTTAAATTAGTCATTTGTATTAAATAGATATTGTCTTTGTTAGAATACCCATACTAATCATATTTATTAGCTATAACTACCATTTCATGAAACCTTTAACATGAGCAATTACTACAAGGACTATCTTGAAAAAAAAAATAAATACGAGAGACAAAGTAAATTAAGATATTATATTTAGAATCAAATTAAATGTCATACTAATTCTCATATTAAGGACCGGAGGTAGTATCCAAGATAAAGTGAATGGAGAGCAGCCCACAGATCCTTTTGAAGTCCAAAATGAAGATGATGAAATTTGCATTACTACAGCATCTGACATTGTATTCAAAGTCTAGCATAGCACAAGATAAAGGATCGATTGAGTTTTCGAAGTTAAAAATCAAAATAACAGAAACTACAAGCAAACAACTCGGAGTTACAGTTGGGAACACTTTAGTTTCGTTACAGAGGAGTAACTTGGGATTTTCCTCCTGCTCATTCCCGTTTCAAACTATTTCTCGGAATGCATGATGCCCCATCTGGCATCCACAAAAGAGGGATTTCCATCCCACTGTACAAAAATCAACGCATGTGATATTTATTTATCACTATTCAACCGAAACAGTATTTTTTTTACTACTTTTTTCCCATCAAGATTCAAGATGGGATGCAAGAGACATTTCTCGTCTACAAAATTATTTCTTTCATCCCATTCAATTCTGCGCACAAAACAGGCCTATGATGTTTCACGAATAGAATGGAGAGAACTAGTGTGTAAAAAATGACAAGGTATATGATCCGGTTCATTTACTTATCAAAAGAAGATCCTCATCTGTACCAAAGGCTTTGCGAGCTTCTTCCAAGGACTTTGAAGGTATCCTCTTGTGTTTCCTGCACGAAGTTTGGGGAAAAATTGAATTTATATATTCATAAAATTGGCCAAACAACTCGTTGGTATGGATGAGTGGATGACAAATTGACGATCATAAAAAGTGACTAATCGTTGAGTATCATTCATTCACCTAAGTGCTGCTAGGTAATAAGACGCTAAATAAATCATATCTTGCAAATTTAACAATAAATTATTCCATATTGACAATAATTTTCAAGGAGTCTGTAACCCGATGACAGAGATATCATCATGATCAAGTCTTATTATAGAAAGATAAATTCTAGTATCTAAGTGAAAGAAAAATATTCTCTGGTCAGCAGAAGAGGGAGAAGGTGGTACTTAGAACTGGCAGGATCTCTAATCTCAAACATATCTGCTCCAGCATCATAGCCACATATCAACACATAGTGACCTGTCAAAGGCAATCGTCTCCTTAGGAATGGATTAGTTTCATAATGATCTCATCTATCTTTAGAACCGAACAAACTTCTCTTAAAAGCAGAATATACACAAATTTCCTTCAAATTATTTTGAAACCGCAGATACTTCTCATTTGTTTTAAAGGGAGGTTTTTGTATATTTTAAAAATAGAGTGGAAGTATGTATAATTTGAGGGCGGGAAAAAACTCAACGGATTTATCCTCATATAATATGTCTTAGAGGAGGTTTATTAAGGTTCTAAAGAAAGAGGGCAAGTTATTTATTTAACAAAATTTAAAGATAGTTTGAATTGATCTTGAAAGTAGACAAGAGGACTGTCAAATTTCAACAAATTCAGGAAAGGTTTTTGTAATTTACTTAATCCCATATATTTTATACATACTTCATAACAACCACAATATGAATACCATAGGCGTTCACTAAATATGATACTCCTCCGGTCTTTAATATAAGACCCATGTAACTAATTTGATTAGATTAAAGAAGTTAGGTAAGTTAGTTAATTATAAGAAAAGTGACACATTTTTCCTAAAACACCATAATCATCTTTCTTAATACCCCATCTCTTTCTTCTACTTGATTATGGTTGAGAAAGTATTCATAGGGGTAATTTAGAGAAAATTGATAAATATAAGAAATGGGTTTTATATTTAGGACCAAAACCAATTCAAAAATTGGGTCCTATATTAAGGACCGGAGGAGTATTATGTACACATGGAGGGAGTGTGTAAACAATATCTTCAATGTAAAAGAATACAATTTAAAATACTTTAAAATAACAAAACCAATAGAGTGGTGGTAACCTGTGTATCCAGAGCTGTCGCAGAAGATAGCTGGGACTTGAACATCATCTTCCCACACACAACTAAAACAAAAAAACTATAAAAGCGTGTAAGAATATTCCATTACCAAAGAAAATGGCATGACTACAGAAAAATGAACAAGATATAGGAGGACTTTATATTGCATGGTGGAGTAAAATTTTGTAACAGCAAAGGATATCAATGAACTGTCATGGTCAACCCCAGGTGCTATCTGAACTTGCAATAACACTATGAGCATAGTCGTGCAGATTATGTGTCCAAGCCAATGCGAAAGAGGGCGGAAAAGAAACTGTACCTCAATTTGTTGTGGTCAACTAATGCAATAGCAATATATGTCCCAGACAATATTAGACTAGAAATCTCTTCTCCTCTAACTGATCTACACTGCAAAAGATGAAATGCTTTGTTAAAGAAAATAAATTTATTAGCATATTCAAATTAATAAAGCTTGAGATCAATACCATAATTCGTGGGATTAATTGGTGTTTATCAGATTTATGTTATTTCCTTCTTTTAATTTTCTGTTACTTATGTCGTATCTTGCATCTTGGGATATTTGTAGATCTAGTGTTTTCTTTTCTCATCGATTCTATCATTAGGTTTGTATATATGTCCTCGTAATATGAAATATAACAGACTATGCTTGAGAAGCAATTGTGCTCTCCTCATTTTTCATATAATTTTAGACAGCAAACATGGCCACCCAGTGAACATAAAATTCTGCTAGTCAGTTTCTTCAAATTCCCATAAATATGCTGGAAATTATTAATGTTGTAGTAAAAGTGCAACCCATTTCATTCCTCTTAATTATGATCCATCAAGATAAGAGTACCAAGAGCAACACTTATTCACAAGAGGAGTGGCAATTGAAAGAAAAAAAAAATGATCTGATGCTATTTTACTTCTTCTTCAATAATCGACTATATCAAAACTTATGGCCCAAAAATTTGATGCTACGGGGAAGTCCAGAAAGAAACACCCTACCTGTATGTTGATTCCAGCCCCCACGGCTTTCTGAAATAGCTTATCAACTCTCTCCAGATCATTAGGTAATTGCTCCTGTACAATATTGAAAACACAATCATTTTACATTATTGCAAATAAATTGATAATGTGTTGAATTTATGCCAAAAGCATGAAATGAAATTAAAACATTACAAATTATATAGCTTGATAGTGTGTATGAGACAATAGGATGAAGGGAAATTGGATTTCTCTTCTGGATACCACATTATCAAAAGGTAGGCAAGATGGCATATTCTAACCAAATACCATTTAGTTGTGCACATCAAAAGAATGTACTCTTGAATACTATTATGACACCAATATACCTCAACCACTTTCCAACCTTTCTCAAATGGGAGCGCATGAAAAAACAATAAAGAGCTTGTGAATGTTTTATGACGACAATGAGTTACCTTGTAAAATGATTCGACACAATAGTTTGGATTTGCACCAAAAGTTACTGTGAAGTAGCAAAAGCAGACAGAGAACTTCTGTAGCAGATACGCCAAATCAACAGTCCAAATGCTGAACGATAGCCAGGAATGAGATAAATCAGAAGTCAATTCCATATTTTTATTTTAAATTGAAGTCAATTACACATTTACAAAAAGCCAACAACTTCAATTAAGTGATGACTTAAAGGCAAATGAGTAGAACTTAATGAACCAGATCACAAGCATTTTCTTTGATCTTCAAGCATCTCACATAACATGGTAGCTAAGAGTTCTGAGGCTGTTTAGAAGAAAAACCTGGTAGTGCGGCATAGTTCAGCCAGTTCTTGAATATTGCAATTGTCGACACCAATGGTTTTCAAAACCATCAATACACAAGCAAGACCGCAATCCCATGTGTATGATTGGTTTATGTGAGGTACCTATAAGCATGATAGTGATAAAACATGTTTAGGATATAATAGATAAAGAGAGAAAATTTGCAATTTACTGTACAAACCAAACACTGAATTCATTCACTTTAACTGTCTGGAAATTAACCCATTCAAACTTTCAACATTTGGAAAATAACCCATTCCATTGAAATTTGACAAAGATTAAAACGCTCTAAAATCTAAAATCAAGAGAAATTTACCCTGAAACACATTTGTTCAATTTGCTAATTTAATTAATCTGATTTCCTTTCCTTCTTTTGCTTCTTAGTGAAGGAAAGGGGTTAATTGCCACGTTTGAAAATTCAAGGGGCTCGCTGCCAAAATCGACAAGGGGTCATTTGCACAGTACCAAAGCAGAAAGGGGTTATTTTCATGCTAAACTGAATAGAAAGCTACCATCCAAACATCAGATGATACTTACTTCAGCGAATCGTGAGCGGGGTAAGGCAGGAGGATGACAAACTTTGTTACTCGTTGGCTGTTGAAACAGGTAGGGATCTATTGCACCTGACATATCTCCTTTTAGTTGCTTTTCATCTTCTGTTTTAAAATTTTTGCTGAATATAGAGTACAAGGGCCACATCGATGACCAGATTGATTCACAGTTTATATGCTACCTGCAGCAGCTTTGGCAGAAAATTATTAGAAGTCAAAGATAGGCATTTTCTGTTTATCTAATCGGTCTTCAGTTTCTAGAGCCTCTGCAAGGCCATGACACAGAGAAAGTGGGAATCAGGTATTTATGTTCCTTAAAGGTAAATGAAACAAACAAGCTTGGTCAATTTGTGGCCTCGATTTTGATGTAAACTCTAGAATGTCTAGGATGAAAAGCCTTTGACAGTTGACATTGAGTGGAGGGTAATTCCACTGAACTAAGACAAGGCCAGTATCACAAATAAATGAAACCTTTTACAGTAAAGTGAAAATATAAGACGTGTAGGAAAAAAAAGCAGGTTAAAATAAATTTGTAGAAGGATAACACTAGTTTACATAGAAAACGAAAACGCAACGCTGAATCACATTTACTGCAGATAAAATGAGTTATAGCTCTGGAAACACGATAAATTGCAGTGCTCGGATCACCATAACAGAGACAAAAGGAATTCTCAATACGAGTTGCTTTCCTTTTGTTTTGGGTTTTCAACCAAAAAAAAAAAATTCAAACCAAGGCAGCTAGGAAATGATCAAGACAAAAGAGAAATCGATCAATTTTTTAACATTCCAACGAGAACACAACAACAAAGCCCAAAGCTTTACGTCCAAAAGTTCAAATTTAACAACTGATATCATGGTTCGGTGAACTAAACCCCTCCCCCTCTCCCCCCACCCGACACCCAAAAAAAAAAAAAGGAGGAAGAAGAAGAAGAAGAGAGCCATTATTGGAATCAAAAGAATCCACACTATCAACTGAATCTACGGTCTACATCCAATTCAAAGAAAGTCAAGGTATTGGGAATCACAAGGGCAGAAAAGGGGGGCGAACAAGAATCGAGAAGGACGAACAGGAAAGAAAATCGGAGATATTTATTACATACCAGAGGGAGGGAGAGTTGTTGTTAAGTAGACGCTTGTCGCGGGCAGGGGAAGACAGGCTCCGCAGTTAGCTTGGGGCCTTTTTCTGTCCTCTTAATTTTACCTTCTTATTTGATGTGCGTTGACTACTATTTTCGATCATTTGCCAATTGCCACCTCGCCGGGCGGCGTTCATCTGCCCACCCCCGCCATTTAATTAAGACAAAGAAAGAGTGATATTTAGAAGTGATTGAGTGCCCTCCCGAAGGCGGTTGCGAGCTGCGAATCATTCATCGTGAGCTGGCTTTCCCTGGCATATTTAATTGAATTTTAATTTTAATTATTGATAAAAAATAGTATTGGATCTCTAATCTCCAGTTTTCGCGCGAAGTATCTTATAAACAGACCGCCAATTTCTGTCATAAAATGACATGCACAAAAGAGTGGGATGGGTGTTTAGGCGGGACATATGGGTGGTTTAAATTCGGCGATGGTCAGTTAAAGAAATCAATAGGTAACATGTGGTTAGCGGTGGATGGAATGATGGCAGCATATACAAAGGAATCAGTAGCAGTGGTTCGGGTTCTTTTGTTTATTATGGTTCACATGAGTGTTTAATCCTGATCTTGATCAATTCGAGACATGACAAAAAAAAATTCAAGAAGAAACAAGAAATTAGATGGGGTCGTCCTGTCTTATCTCAAATTTTTTTAAAAAAATTATTTATTAATAATTATTATTAGATTATTTAATTGACTTATTAATAATAATTATTTTTATAGTGATTTTTAGCTCTTAAGTTATAGTGTTATCTCAACAAAATCTTTTTTCTTAATAAAATAATTCATAAAACTATTATACAGTGTTTCTTTTATGATTTTTTTACAATATTGTTTTTATTTTTTTACATTACATAATTGAGCTTTTTACATAATATTTTTATTTTTAAAGACTTAATAAAAACAAACGTCATAACATAAAAAAAATTCTGACCCAAAATTGCAATGTTTATTTTTATTCTCGACCAAATCAAGACAATCTTAGGATGGGACGAGACACGGGACGAAAATCTCATCCTGTCCCTGTTTATTGAGATGGGACCGGAATAGCCCTATCCCGTCTTGTGAACAGCCCTAATTGGTTTATATGCTTACAATTAATACTCACAAAAAACTGCCATCATGCTTGGTTTTCTTTCCAAATCAATCATCATCGTGATATTTACATGATAAACTTTTTTTAAAATATGAAGTACTGTCATGCAAAATAGCATTAATTAACACTAAACTTTTAAAAAGATGATATTTGGTTTAAAAGTAGAAAAATAAAATGATGAAATTTGAGCATGGTTCACATGAGAAATGCACAAGCATCAAATTCGGACGCACGAACCCCCCCCCCCCAAAGTAGGGAATATCTTTTGATGGGTATTTGAAGATAATGGATATGAGGAGAATTATAATGAGATTCTTTAAAAAAAATACAAAATAAATTTTAAAATTTGTTATTATTTACTCTATAACTTATAATTATGGACTATTTAAATTATTATTAAATTTTTTTAATAATAATTATATTTTTTTTCAGAAGTTAATTGTAATTCTTCCCTGATAGACCGCGCGGAGGGCGCGGACCTACATGTGTTGACTCTCCCTTATTCTCTTATTCACGACGTGACGCTTAATCACCTTAACTTTTCGGTGCAGCAAGAAAAAGAAGCAAAACCGGAAATTCCTCATCTTAAACTAAATAATGCAGGCAGCGTATTTGTTTTTGGGGTCAAACAGAACATCCATCAGATTTAAATATGAATTCCAGCGTCTCTAGCTTAAAAAGCAAGTGATGATAAATGCCTCTCCTTTTTCAAAAGCAACCTTGCTCCACTGTTGTCCGTGGATTGCCTTTAGTTAGTTGTTCAAAATTAAATGATATTTTTTATCCTTAATATAAAAACTAGTAATATATTTAAAAAATTAATTAAGTTAATTATTTGTATTAAATAGATATTATCTTTTATAAAATATTTTTACCAATTAAGTGTATTGGCTAAAACCGCTATTATTACAAGAACTATATTAAAAAAAAGATAATATGAAATACAAAATGAATTGAAATTTTATATTTAAAATCAAATAAAAATCAACTAAATTTTTATATTAACAACCAGGAGTTAGATGGCAGTCCGTTGTAACTTCACAAGCTGAACGCGGTCCATATTTATGGGACCCCAGTTTGCTTTCTAAGTTAGTGTGGTAGTGATCACATGAATGAATTTGAGTAAGCGAACGGCAAGGACGAGGGAAATAATTGAGTGCAAAAACAGGGAGAAGAGAATGAGACTTTTATTGACTTTGTAGCTTACAAAAGCGAGGAGGCAGGCTTCCACGATATTATGACACACCACCAAAAGGCACACTACGCCAAAAACTACTTCTCCATTCTCCACTGTGTTCTCTTTCCATCCTGCAAAATTTGTCCACAAATTCCATTCTCATTTCTCAAACCAAATACACATCCATGCTTCCCTTTACCCCTACATTCCCACCAAACTCTGCTCCCTATCCTCTAACTAGTTCCTCAACATGTTACTTAAATTTCTATGCTTCAAGTTCCCTTTAATTAACTCCTCTGAATAACATGGCTAAGATATATTATTGCCGCTGCTCAATCCGATGTATGTAGCCGATCGAGGAGAAGGAGAAGAGTGAGACACAAGGAAGTAAAAATACTTTACCTGATCCACAACCGGAGATGTTATGGCGGAGCGAGGTCAATAATAAAGGGAACCTGCAAAGGATCAATAAAAGTGAGCAAACCATGCTGGACTGATCACTCGCTACGGTGAATTTTTGGCCTACCTTGCCACCAGTTCCCTCTCGAAGCGCTGGGTGGACTGTTTCCGTCGGGATCATCATCATCCCTATCCTTCTTGAACTGCGATCGTTACAGCTTTAGTCCATACCGGTGACCTCTTAGACTGAAAAAGAAACAAGATAGGGATTGTGACGAGACTTACAACAGGATGGGAGTCAGTGGTACGGGCTCTCTGACAATAATTTTCTTGGCCGCCATAGTAGATGGAAGAGCTATAGTAGCTGGGTTCCACTGTCTCGTTCTGATAATTGCCGCCCGTATTCTTGTTACTCGTGCTCCTGTTGCTTTCACCTCCCCTGCTCTGATTCCCTGAATACAGTCCCACCATTAATCTCCAAATAAGTTCAGTCCAACGCTAGTGATGGAAAGAGCATGTTTAGCTGTTTGAACTATGGAGTGGGCATTGATTACAATAATCAACATAAAATTTAGTAAGTATGGGAGTCATGCTGCTCACAACAGTATATAGGGCTCATTATAGATGCGCAATGCCTACTCTAATTGCCACGCAAGCAGTGACAAAAACAAAAGGCGCTAGAGGATTATGAACCAACCCTGCGTTCCGTTGTTTTTGCATGCGGCGTCTTGCATTCTCGAATCTCTCCCCCCGACCTTGAGAACCAAAACAGTGTTTGAATCAGTATGCGATATATAAAACTCTGATGCATAAAAGCTAAATCAGGACAACTCTGTCAGAGCTCCTGATGTCAACATGAATGCTTTTATCACTAGAGTAAAGATGAAAAGGACTTGGAAGAAGTGAGCAAATTATGACCCGACAGGGGCATGCCTTACACTGCATAATGCAGAAATTAGAAGGTCGTGTGCGGGTGTCCCAAACATATGAGCTTAACTAAAGTTGGTGCTAGTAGCTAGTATGCTATGTAGATATCATGAGTAATCGTAGACGAAAAGTATTATAAGAAGAGAGCATAGTGGCCGAGAAACAAGAGGAAAGGGATGCATACGGCGGATGAAGGGGGGAAAATGGAGCTAAAGACGGCGGCGGAGGTGGAGTCCTTGGGACCAAAAAGATGGTCCAACTTCATGGGGGAAGAACAACTGGGTAACTGTTTCTTCTTCTTGTCCATGGACGCAGTGGCCTCTGATTCTCAAGCGAAGAAGGAAAGTAGTTGGAAGAGAGGAGCAAAAAGGAAAGGGATGATTGATTAGGGAGAGGGTGATGAGCTTGTGGTAGGGTGAGCATGCTATTTATACACTCTAATCATGTTCTAGAAGTCGCTAAATAAAATAGCACGAGCAAGAGAAACGTGCGTCACAGCGCAAGTCCCCCCTCCCTGTTAATTTCATTAGTAATGTTTATGATAATGGTAAAAAGATATCTAAAATGGCAGAGGATATGGTGACGAGTGACAGCATGGGTAAGCCCGTCCTGCGTCGCTAGACAGTTGGTTGACATTTTTGGTCAGCCCCAGGTGCTCATGAAGCCTCTCCAAAACTATTGGGCCACGTGTCTCACCTAGCATGCATCTTAGTTTTCTTTGACCCAAAATCCCTTTTAAAAAATGTTATATTTGTGTCAAAGAAAGAGTAATTTGGATAGATTAAAAGAAGCCAAATAAATCGGTTAATTACCACACAAAAAATTACATGATCATCCTAAAACATCCTTATCTAACATAAGATTATTTTATAATTTAGTTAAACAAGTCTGAGGGAAAATGATGAATATGAGATAAATTAATAATGAATTAAGCTAGGTTTTTTTTGGGTCAAATAGCTGGGTATTTATTTAGAACCCAATTAAATCCAAAACTAGCTTATATGTTAAGAACAAGAGGTGGTACTATATTATCTGGTAAGCCTCGTCCTTTTACCCAAAATCTCTTAAACATAGAATTTTATTTTTATTTTTTTTAGCAAGATACTTCGCCAGAAATGCCTTGTATATATAATTTTGAACCGAGGGAGTGGCACTGATTTGACGATTATTATTATAATATTTTGAGTTGATATGGAAGAACAATTTATGTTAATGATAACGTGTTAAAAAAATGAGTGAGGGATATGCCAATGTTCGCCATATCTATAGATTGACGGGAACATGCAGGTATGACAAGATTTGTTAGTTTCAGAATGAAGGCAGAAGGGACCAGGAAAGGAAAAGGTGCGTAATTTTATAAGATTATTTCGATGGAATAGTGTGCGGTTTAATTAATAATTGGAGGAGATCCAAGGGCGGCTAAAAAAGTGGACAGAAGAAGATATGCACGGAAGGAGGGGGAAGGCATCTATCGGAGATAGATTGATATGGTGTGTGTGTGAAAGATACTCGAAGAATAGCCTTTTTTCATTATTCTCTGGGGTTAGGGGTTCCTTTTGGATAACTGAGGACAAGGACGTTCATTCCTTGCCCAATTTCACTACATGCGATTTTTTCTTCGCCGTAATCAAATATTCAACACTAGTTTCCAACAACGGACGCACTCTGACTCGTGCAAAATGCCTTCAAATATGTACATGTGATTATATTCTCCGGAAGCTTCTCTCTCTAATTCGCAACTAGACCCATCGCACCAAGTCAAATTAATGTATTATTTGCGGACCAGCAGCATATTATAAAGCATATAAAATAATGGAATATGTGATCGAGAGCATATTAATAAATAATCGGGGAAAAAAGAGTGGCCTGGGGGTGAGGAGGGAAAAGGAGGGGGGGCATGGAATATTGAAGGGAAGGCACCGCAGTTTTTTTTTTTTTTTTTTGGGGGGGGGGGGGCTTATATATAGACGTCGAACGGAAGGAAGAATAGGAATAGATGAATAATAATGCATGGTTTCACATGCAGACGATGGACTTGTGTTTAATTGGCTCTGCTGCCTAAGATTCCACAACGCAACTTGCGCCCTCATTTTCCAGGGTTTCCCATCAGAATATTGATCGCCCCAACCACTTGTTCCGTGTCAGAGAGTTATCCCTTTCTTCTTCTCCTTTTTCAAAAGACGAGTAGGAAACGAAGAAAATAATTATTCCCCCCTTCTGACTATTTGCACGATTAGTTACGATTGACCATGAACTTACTAATACTCGTCACCCACAAGACGGCGCACTATAATGTTGTCTGCGCAACAATATATATGCATAAGTGATTTTTTTTTTTTTGGCATTTATTTACTGCATTCTAATTTAAGACTTGCGTGTTCAAATTGCCAAGTTTTCCCATCGCATGACCATATATATTATTTTTGAAATATTACCATTTAATAATAACATTTAAATGTGAACTTGAAGTGATAGTTATAAGAACTTGACCTAAGTATTTTCTTAATTAAGCACCATGCAATGTTTGCCCCCGGCTGGGGGGGGGGAGGCGACCTTCTCATCATGCTCACATCTGCAGTGCTCTCCCGATCTCCATGATTCACACATAAATATTTACGACGGATTCGTGAAGACGCACGACAGTTCCATCTTTCATTTACAAATCATGCGTTTTTTTTGGTTTCTTTCTGTTTGATACAAGACTCGCATGCGCACAAAGTATATATTTGAAGCGCCTCTCTACATTCTGCTGGGCTGATCAGCACGTACGAGAATTTTGCCATTTAAATTACTGAGAGTGTATATTTAATTATGTGCGTACATGGAAATAATAATTCCACCCCAATACGTGCGTGCAGATCACAGATTTGTGATTTGTTAGGATGTATGTCATGATATATGGGCGACTGTAATGACCAGTAAGTTAGTATGAAAGGTGGAATCCTGGAATTTAGCCATATGAATATGGGCGGAGGTGAAGACGGAAGTGATAGACCATGAGACGGACGGTATTATTAAATATGTATGCGGTAGTGTTTGTAACACAGGCCTGCAGGATGGTACAAATGAAGTGATATATCGAGATTAGGAAACACTATAATTAATAGAATTTCCAGGGAAGGCAGCGAAGGCTCGAGCAAGCCGCGGCAGCAGAAGCGGGAGTGCAGGCAGCACCATCGCAGCACTCGCACACAATTCCCAGACTCCTCCATTCATAATGCCCTCCTGGTGATGATCCCATACCTGCTCATCACACGCGCGCGCGCGCATTTATTTGTCTATTTAATACCAATTAATTAATAATATAAAATCAAGTGAATTTAGCAGGAAGGAAATGAAATATCTCACCAGCATGTTTGCCAAGCTTGAGCACCTGATGGGTGGCTTCCGCCGCCTGAATGAGCAGGAGCAGAGAAGCCAGGGTGATCAGCCACTTTAGCTTAGATTGACTCCGCATTCTTAATTCTATACTTTTCTTGTCACGGTGCAATATGAATGAATGCCTCACAAATGAGCTGCTTCTGATGATGAGAATTCATTAATATATATATATATATATATATTTATATATATAGCTGCAGATACCAGCTAGGGCTTCTTCTTCGATCAATGTCCCATTGTCACTCCATTAATTTTCCGTCCGGATTGTTGGACACGCCATTGAACTTCTAGAAGCCACCGGCACCACGCGTTTAATTTCTTCAGACGAAATTGACATGCATGTACAAATACATACAGTAACGTCCCAATCAAAACCCCTGCATACTCAAACATCGATATTTCACCCCCTCCGCCACGTCCCCTCTTCTGCCATCTCAATGTGTCTATATAATTCTTTGCCAAACACTGATTATGGTCCAAACTACTCCTCCGGTCCTTAACTTGATGTTGGTCGTATATATAAGATCTATTTTGCATGTTTATTATTATTTTTCAAATTAACCTTATTGGTACCCTTTAAAAATAATCAAGTAGGAGAAGGAAGGAATCAAGGAGTATGATTACGTTGTTTAAAAAAAAACTTATTACAGTAACTAATTTAACTAATATCCTTAATCAACTCAAACTTATTATAATAATCCTTAATTAACTCAAACTAATTAATTAGATGTTACATTAAGGACCAAAGGAGTATATCATACCTTATTCCTGCTAGACATAAAAGGAATGAGTTAGCCATGCGTATTAGTAGAAGAAAAATTAATTTTTAAATGATCAATAATGCATTGAAATTAATTAGTCTCTTTTTGGTAAGATGAAACTAGTTGGTTTTTGGTTCTTGACTTCTTGTGCTCGGGTTTTTTGCTGTATTTTATTAAGGGATAAATTCCCCAATGGTTAGCTTTTGTCAGAGTTCATGCATAATTATGAAAAAAGCTACACTAAAAGTATACAAGATGATGAATATATATGTAATTGTGGCCCGGCAGTTCGGATTGTGTGTTGATGACGGGGAAATGCCTTTTCTTGCCCCCGCGCATCTCCTGTCTTTTGCTCTTCCAAATTTCATTCAGTTTGATCCTCCTCCTTCCTCGATCCTTGCCCCCGCCCTTTTACAGGGCTCCGAAGTCAAGGACTGTGTTTTTTCTCGTGGATTTGTTTTTTTTTTATTTTTCTGATTCTAAATATAATACCTATTTTATGGTGTAAATTATATTATAAAGTGAATATCATATTTAAGACCGGAAGAGTAATTAATTTGGAAGGTGGGTTAATTAGCTTGCTTCGATCATTTTCTTTTTGCCATATTTCTTTCTATTCCTTTCGCCCCCAAGTCATTAACAATCCCACGCGCATTCAAACATTCATCTCCCTTGCTCTTTTTATTTTTCAGGCAAGTACTGGTAATTAAACACTCTCTTCTATAAGGAGGTGAGGACCGCGAGGTATAGATCATGGAATTTTATGGTCGACACCCTTTTTAAAGTATGTATAGTCTATGGTGTGCATATTATCTAACTTTATATCTCCTTAAAAAAAAATGTAGAACAGAAAATTAAGAACAAAATTATATATCCATATACCAAGTTCAGTGAGGTAATTTATATTAAAAATATAAAAAAATCCTCTCTCTATCATAGGAAGAGGATCGGAAGAGTATATGTTAACAAAATAAATATTACTTGTATTTTAGTTTCAACCTACGAGTACATATTTTGAAATACCTTATAATAAATCTAATAAAACTCATGTAAAGAAAATATTTGATAAAAAGAGTGGATTATAATCATTTAATTAGGCACAAATTTGAAGTTAGAATTTATATGAATGTAAAAGGTTATTTTAAAATTATTTCTGATCTGAGCCTAATTTAGATTAATGGGAAATTTGATAATAAAAAAGTAACAAAATTTCTCTCACATATCTGCTTCGTATATTAAACAATTATTTTAAAAATTACAGTTTAATTTTTACCCAAATACCCTCAAAACTTATATTAGTAGAGGGGTAGACTGGAGATTGGTTTAAAACAAGACTGAACAAAAGTTGGAGCTTGCGTGTCGCCGTTGCTGAAGTGGGAGGCATTTAACTAACCGACACGATTTCCTTCAAATTTACAAGAATAAAAGACATTAATTATTTATATTTAAATTGCAAAAACTTTATTTTTATTTTGAAAAAGGTATGTTAGCCTCCTACATGTCATATGAGCTTCCTTTATATACATTTGATATTCAATATTTTCATCCATCCAACTAACTGTTAATTAATTAAGTTTGTATCTTATAAATTTTTATTTTGATGAAGATACTTTTTCTTACCATCATAATTATTTAAACACTTATATTTGAAGTGCTGGCAAAAAAAAACGCTTATATTTGAAGAAAAACATTTTATAATAGTTGGGTAGATGAAAAAACATCGGTCAATTATTATTTTTTTGCCAAAAAAATAATTTTTCACGGTCATTTGGATGACTAAAAAATATTTCTACACAAAAAGTGTTTGGATGAAACCAAACCATGGTTTAGAGAATAGCTTCTGGAAAATAGATTCTGAAAAAAATAGATTTTGTGAAGAATAGATTTTGTGAAAAAGTGATTCTGAGAAGTGAAAGTGTTTGGATAATTGTTATCAGAAGCACTTTTTATATGTACAAATTATTAAAAAAAACATAAGTTAATATGATAATTACATAAAACATAGATTTTATGATATATTTTAATTTGAAGAAATAAAATTGTTAATAATATATTTTTTACCAACATAATTAATAATACATAAGATAATGTAATTAATAAATAATTAATATGTGTATATTTATTTATAAAATATAAGATTAAATATGTTTATAAAAAATTAATTAATGGGTGTTAAAGTCATATTATTGTTGAGATTTACCCCAATAGACACAATCATACTCTCCAATTTAAGCCAGAAGCAGAATGAATTCACTTCTCCATAAATCATGATTTTGAATTCCAAAACCATAGTTTCAAATAATTTGTGTTTTTCCCAAACCATAGTTTAAGTCTCCAAACCATGATTTGGCCTGCCATCCAAACAGGCCTCAAAACAAATCACCTCTGTTTCTCGTGCGTCTGAGAAGTGTTTCATCCAATCCTGCCCAGCGCCGGCCTTACCCGCAGTAACCGGGACTCATACGACGACGTTTCGTTCTCGCTCGCCGCCTCCTTCTTTCAAGATTTCGCTCCTCTTTTCGCCCTTCACGGACGAGCGGGGGACCGCGGAAACAAGGGTGACGTTGGGATCCTCAGAATTGTGCTAGTGCTCCTTTACCGGCCAAGGTTCATGACTCATTCTGCCGTTTATTGCTTTTTCGAAGTTTAGGGCAACGCTAAGTTGGTGATACGGGGTTTAGGAAACGATAACAGGAATTGGATATGCAAACGGAGGCTCGGATTGGTGCGGTGGTAGAAGGGGGCCAGAGAGGTATCCATCCGAGTCACGCGGGTGTTGTCGTCGATGGGTCGATTAGGAAGCTGGTGCAACCGCGGCAGCAGCAGTCTCAGATTGGCCCTATTTCGCAGCTTGTTGCTGGTGGCTGTGCAGGCGCTCTTAGCAAGACATGTACCGCGCCCCTTGCTCGACTAACCATACTCTTTCAGGTTAGTATTTATCGGTTTTGTGGAAGAAATGTTGGATAGGGTATATGCTGTGCCTTGTGAGTTTGCCTGGGCCCTTTTCAACTGTTTCTGCGCTTTGAACCACTCGTAGAGTTAGAACTGTTTAGAAAGTTTCTAAGGCCTTTATCTGGTTTTCTCTTTTGTTACTTTTTTTTTTTTTGGGCGGGGGGTGTTAAGGGGGTCATTTTCATTCAAATTACCTTTCCTTTTCCTCAATCTCATTCCTCTTTTTACTTGTCGCTTTCAGGTTCAGGGTATGCACTCCAATGTTGCAGCATTGAGAAAGGCCAGCATATGGCACGAGGCTTCAAGAATTATTAATGAAGAGGGATTCAGGGCTTTCTGGAAAGGAAATCTGGTCACAATTGCACACCGTCTACCCTATTCCTCAGCAAACTTTTATGCATATGAGCACTACAAGAAGGTTGCTGTTATTTCAATATTCATATTTACAATCCCGAGACTATAGTAGATGGTGCCATTGTATCTATAACTATATTTTTTTTTTTTGTGAAATTTATAACTATCATTTTCATTGGCGTGATTGGTATGTAATAATTCTGATGTCTGCAGTTACTAAAGACGCTTCCAGGACTCAGAAGTCATAAGGATAATATCAGTGCAGACCTTTGCGTACATTTTGTAGGTGGTGGCCTGGCAGGAATAAGTGCTGCTACAGCTACTTATCCATTGGATCTTGTGAGAACACGTCTTGCTGCTCAGGTAAGATTAAGTGATTAAGATTTTGGCTGTGATTTTTCTGTTTTGCCACAATCCCATTTCTGCTTTCGCTGGGCCAGTGTGACTGGCCACCTCCATTATAGATGGATGACTGTTGTCGTCAGACATTTTATACCTGAGATTCTGTCCAGGTCGATGTAATTTTGCCCTTTCTTAATCGTGTAATAGTATTTCTGTATATTTAATCTTCCGTCCGATTTTAGTCTCTAAGATGCTTGGAACCTTGCACAATGTAGACTTGGTATTTTGTGTTTTGAAAATGAAGCACAGACACGGAAGGGAAACATTTCCTTGAGTTTGGTTGAATGAACTATTCATATGCAGGTAGTGGTTGGTTATTTTTGTATTTGTATTCAGCATAATTCGATTAAGCAATGTTGATATTTACAGACAAAAGTTATCTACTATCGAGGAATTTGGCATGCTTTAAGAACAATCAGCCAGGAAGAGGGAGTTCTTGGCCTCTATAAGGGACTTGGAGCTACGCTCTTGGTATGTTATAATCAGATTTTGCTGGTACTTAAACTAAATGATTTCTCTAAAGCAATTTTAACTTCAGCTTTGCTGCTTATGCAGGGCGTAGGGCCCAATATTGCAATCAGCTTCACTGTGTATGAAACATTGAGATCTTTATGGCAGTCAAACAGGTGATTGGTCCATAAACTGACTTGGCAGTTTATCAGAATTCCTATTTTTGCATAGTTTGATCAATAATTATTAATTAATTAGTTAATAAGTAATATCACTTCTAGCATAACCTTGTGTCTATCGCTTTGATCATCAGGCCCAGTGATTCAAGTGTCCTTGTCAGTCTGGCCTGTGGCAGTCTTTCAGGCATTGCGTCATCAACAGGTGAGTGATCTTAAGGTATTTTTATTTCTCACGTTTATACTTTTCCTTGTCTCTAAAACCTTGAACTTAATGGATTTATTTCTTTCTTCCTAATTCAGGTTTCCTTTGCTATTCTCAACAATTTTATTTGACATGCTTTTTATTATGGTTGTGACGATATTCTATTCTTTTATGCCATGTATTGTCTTGTCTTGTGTTTATTTCTGCTTGTGATTACACATACCATACGGATTTCAGCCCTTGTGATTAAAAATTTTCTATTAGCATTTTATTTAGTGTTTTGTAACTCTTCATCTGTGTGGTGTCGCAATACTCATTTTTAGAGTGTCTGTGTCAAATGTTCATTAGATGTGTGATTAGACTTCAGAGTCTTCTTGTTAAACTGGTAAATTTGCCTAACCGAAGGATGTTAAAGAATTTAATGTGTATAGTGGTTTACTATGCTTTTGATGCAGAGAAAGAGGGTTTGGTGCAGTAGCTGCACCAAGTATCTAACCAGACTGACCCCTAGAACCAGAGGCCAGGTTGGAGTTGTTCTTTATATGGCATATGAGAATCTAGTAAGGAGGAGGACAAAAACCTTTTTCATGTCTGTCTTGAACTTTTTAACTGTAAAAGATCTCATTGAAGCGTTCATCTTCCCATCTTCTATTTTTTTTTTTTTGGGTGAATATTCATCTTCCCAACTCTTATTCTATGACATGTCTCCCCAAGCAATGCAGTGGATTACAAGATGGGGTGGCATTACTTGGATGAACCTATAAGGCTTTAGCGTTCCCTCAAATGCCAAATGTGAGAGGTGTTCTCTTTCTGGTATGCTTCTCACATTAGCTTCCTTCACCTGGTGGTCAGATGGGTATCAGAAATTCTTGATCATGCATTTCTAAATTAGTGAGCTCGTACAATAATAGTATTGGCTTCAGCGTAACTGTAATGATGGTAATGATGACATTTAAATTTAATTACTCATGACAAAAGCAATAAATAAATTGCACTGTCAATTTAGACATTAGTGCGTACTTCTTGCGGGAGAATAATGTTCTGTCCAAAGCTGTATTATATGCACACTGGCTACAGGTATCAAGAGTATTTATGCACATGAAACTATTAGGGCATGCTCCGAGTTTTATTCTACCCCTTTCCTGGTTATGCTGTTCTTATGAGTATTTTTGTTATGCTAATAATTTCTTTCATTATAAGATCTAATTGCTCAACCATGAATTTCTTGTTGAGATGCTAATAATTTCTTTCATTACAAGATCTAATTGCTCAACCATGAATTTCTTGTTGAGATAAGTTCATGGGAGCATATGAAGCTGCTCACGTGGAGATTTTGTCTGTTAACGGTTAAGTGCTGCAGCTTTTTTTGAAGCGTTCTGTAATTACCATTAAACCCTCATGTTTTTTGAGATTTTCAGGTTTTAGACTTGGGTGATTTATCTGTATTAGATGATGAAAATGCCATGTAAAAATGATTCATGATCTTACACTAACCAACCTCATTTTTTTAAGAAGTCTTTTGGACTAGACTGATATGGTTGGATTCATCTGCGAATATTTTATGCAGCAACGTTCCCTTTGGATCTTGTCAGGCGAAGGAAGCAGTTGGAGGGGGCTGGCGGGCGAGCCCTTGTGTATAAAACGGGCCTCTTTGGGGTATTTAGTCACATAATCCGGAAAGAAGGTGTGTGGGGCCTATACAGAGGAATTTTGCCTGAATATTATAAGGTGGTGCCTGGTGTTGGTATCTGTTTCATGACCTACGAGGCACTCAAGATGCTTTTAGCGGATATTGCTTCCGCTTAAGAGTTATATTCACCGGTGAGAATTGATGGAAACTACATTTTGATTCTGATTCCTCGTGGTGGTAAATTGTACGATGCTGCTGCTGCTGTGGGAAACACACTTACACTGTATAGAGACGATTCTTCATTACATCTCCAAGCTGACGCAAATTAAAGATTACACTCTTACGGATTCCTAGCATGCGTTTTTTTTTTCCCTTCCCTCTTTCCCATCTGGCGGTTCCCAATGAAAATATATATTGGAAACATCAATCTGCAGCTTTTCATAGGTGGATACTCTGAGAAATCGGCATGTGTTGTCTACAAGTGAACTTGGTGATATCTTTTTTCAGTCAAGAGAATAATTTTAAAGGGGCATTTTTGTGCAGAGTACTGCTGGTCGGTGGTATAATCTCATCTGTACGCTTGTCATATGATTCATTCTATCATGTCTTTGCAGTTTTGATCATCAGGCTCATTACGTTGACACTGAATACCTTTCTTTGGATATTCCACCTCTTGGTTGTTGTAATCTCATTAGTGGACTTGTGTACTGGGCGTTAGGTTTTGGTGTAGTTCTGTATGCGTGTTTCATAGCTTTTATATTCCCCCGGGGAAAGCATGTTGCGTTTTGAACGACTTAATTGTAGAATGTAAGACATAATTAACTAATTTGAATAGATTAAAGATGTTAGTTAAATTAGTTAACATGATATTTTGTTTTTTAAAACATCTAAACATCCTTTGCAATTTCTTTCCTCTTTTTATTTGATTATTGGTGGGAAAATATTAATAGGGTTAATTTAAAAATAATTAATAAATATGTAAAACAGGTCTTGTATATATATGATCAATATTAAATTTCTAATTTGTTTTTATGTCAAGGATTGAAAGAGTATTTTCTAGCATGTTTTTGAATTCCCAATCACCATAGGCTAGACTGATGTTGGGGAAGAAAATGATTGATCAATTGACGGTTGTCTATTGTATAATTTTTTTAGAAAAGGGAAAATATTACCTCTGGTTTTTAATGCAAAATTTTGTTTGATTTTTATTTTGATCCTAAATATAAGACTTAAATATATTTTGTCTTTTATATTTACATATTTTTTTTTTCAAAGTAGTCCTTTTAACAAAAATAGTTCTAGTCAATACACTTAATTAGCAAGGATATTTCAGAAAAGATAACACTTATTTATTATAAATAACTAACTTAACTTCTTTTTTTAATCTCCTTAAATTAGTTAATTAGTTCTTATAATTAGGACCGAATGTAGTAGCATATAGCAACTGTAAATTTTTTATTTAAAAAAGTGCCTATTTTATATATGCTATAGTGTGTGCTCGTTTATAATAGCTTATAAGTAGCGTTTTGATTATAATTTTTAAAATACGAGATAAGTATATGAGATAATGTGAGGTGTACAGATGATGCCATATAAGTACTGTAGCATCCATGCATGCAGGAGAATGGCTTCTTTTGAGTGAAAAAATAACCTTTGACAGGCAGAAGCGAGCGTATATCATAAAATGGCATTGTGCGTTTTACCATCACGCCTTTCCTTTTCTTTTTTTTTTTTGGCCAAACCATCGCGCCTTTCAATCTCTCTTTCCATCGTCGCCTTCATTTCAAGTACATGATCTGTCAATTAAAAAAAAAAAAGAGAAGAAGAAGGAACAATGAGATAATTATGTAATCCCAGAGCTATGTACCAAACTCGCAAACAAGATGGATCCACCGGCCACAACATCAGAGCTCCGCCCCATCCAACCAAAAATTGCAATAGCAAACCCAACCATAGAGTCTTGGATTGTAAGCTCAAACTCGCATGGTAAGCAAAGTTCTGTGCTTTACAGTTATGAAATGCATGTACAAGTTTTGACCTCCTTGGACATTCTTGGGTGCAATAGCTAGGTCACCCAATTACTAAGACCCACCTAATAAGAGCAACAAGTTAGTGCCACCATGTTAAAAGGGAAAAAGACACGCGATAAACATGAACAGAGTTGATTATTTAAAGGAACGATGATTTTTCAAAATGGCAAAGAAGAACCACAATTTTAAAGAAAAAGTAAATAGATGAATGCCCTTGTACAATTGACATATAGCTCAGCTGTAAATGACGGAAGACGAGCTATAAATATAGTTAAAAATACAGGAAGACAAGTGTTAAATGGGTCATTAAATTTGAAGTCACATGAATCGTGGAAACCTGAATGCAAATGTGGGGAATTCAATTACCACATTTGTTCTTTAATATAAGATTTTGTTTAACTTTTATTTTGGTTCTAAATATTATTTCTGGTCCTTAATATAAGACCCTATTTGACTTTTATTTTGATCCTAAATATAAAACCTCAATTCACTTTGTCTCTTATATTTACTCAATTTTTTTCAAGATAATCATTCTAATAATTATAGTTATAGTTAATACACTTGATTAGTAAGGATATTTTAGAAAAGACAACACCTATTTAGGACAAATAACTAACTCAGCTTACTTCCTTAATCTCTTCAAATTAGTCAACTGGCTCTTATAATTAGGACCAGAGGTAGTATAAAACTTCGATCTATTTTGTCTTTCATATTTATTTATTTATTTTTTCAAAATAGTCCTTATAATAATGATAGTTCTAAATAATAAACTTGATCAGTAAGGATATTTTAGAAAAAACAACATCTATTCATTACAAATAACTAACTTAATTAAATTCCTTAATCTCCACAAATTAGTCAACTGGGTCTTATAGTTAAGACCAAAGATAATATAAAGCTATAACATTTAAAATTTCTGAAACCTTTTACAATTTACAAATTACTTGCAATTGAGGTTTCAGTATATGCAGCTCATCTTTTGAGAGTTGTAGCTGAGCAATGTCTCAATTACGTTGACACATTGTCAATGAATTTACAATTTGTTCACATTAACCACGCAGGCATCGACTCAAGAAAAAATAATTTAAATCTTTATTGATAATTCATGAGCACATTGTCATACATTGTTTTTTTATCACTTTAAAAGTTCATGATCCTTTTAAAACGAATAACTTTCTTTTTATGATTCTCTTTTGTCTTCTGGCGGAGAAAGATATCAATTGTGACACAGTGTTAATAAATGCACAGGTCTAATATCGTGGTCTTTAATATAAATGTTTTGGCCAACAATAACGAGTATATTGTTCAAAATATTGCTATGACTACGAGTGGCATCTCTTGTATCACAACACTTGAGAGATTTAAAGAGAGCACGCTTAGCGTTGCTCATTATGATGGCCAAACAAAGCCACAAAAGATATTTTCTAAATTTTATAAATGCATAGTGATGTAAAACAGAAAGAAAAAAGGGGAAATAAAAAGACCAGAAAGATCAGGAAAGGGGAGACAGAGGAAACAAGCCGAGAGAAAATGATAATTATAATATCATTCAATAATTAAATCTGCTGTTTAATGAGAAATCTAAAATTACTTATACTAAAATAATAATAAAACTGAAAATAATAATAATAATGACAATTAATCCTAATAATAAAACAATAAGAAATCTAAAGGAATCCTAAAAATCTAAATAATTTAAATATCGTAAATAATTCAAATATTCTAAAAACATAATAAAATTATAATTTTTTTTTTCCATATCCCATCACATACTCTTTCTACGTCAAGAGTAGAATGGAATCAACAGAAACCCTAAGCCTGGACGATGTCGTTTGAATCCTAAATTCGGTCCGCGCATGATCCCCGAGTGACGACGCCGTGCAGGCACTCTAGTTCTCCCCTTCAGATGATACAGGCGCATCTGCCAGCCTAACTTTTCTCTCCCACGCCGTTCCTCACTTCCGAGAGGATACCCCTAATACCATATAATAATATTCATCGTCAAAATCGGGCTCGCCAAACCCCAGAGAGGCACGGAGAACAGAGAAGGGGTCTCCGAAGGGAGACTTCCAAGGACGGAGAAGGGAAAAAGTGCTCAGCCTGAAACACTTCTTCCCAACCTTTTGATATCTCTGACTGGCTCTCATTAGTCTTTCCCCTTTGATTTTCTTTGGTAAGAAAAAAAAAATTCTCACGGAGGCCAGGATCCGATGACCACACAAGGGCAGGTCGGGATTGACCATGCTGTGCTCGATGATATAATCAGACGGCTTACAGAAGTCCGATTAGCGAGACCCGGCAAACAGGTTCAGCTCTCTGAGACCGAGATCAGGCAGCTATGTCTTGCTTCTAAAGATATCTTTGTCCAGCAGCCCAATTTGCTCGAACTCGAGGCCCCCATCAAGATTTGTGGTACACTGCGCGAATATGTTGTCACCCTAATTACTTTTTTTGTCTTTGGGTCTCAGTTTCTAACTGCTATATTTCATTTATTATTTTGGGAAAAAATGCTTCATTTAGTTTAATGTTTCATTCTGGGTATCTTATAGATTTCCTCTTTGACGAGGTGCATTTCGTGTATGTCTATTTAACTATTAAGCTTATTTTGAACATGGCAATTCGTGCAATTCAACTCTCACTGGGTTTTCATAAATTTTATAGACCTCCTCTAGGTTTATTTATGCTGTTAGATGTTAATCTGAGGGGCACGGCGCTTCCTAGGCTTTGTCGGATGTAGTGGTTCCTTTGGAACTAGACTTATCCTTTTGGTAACCCAAAAAATAAAAATGCTTGTTGTGAAGTTTCAAATTTTATTTTAGAACCCAGAGGAGTCTAGCATTATGCATATATCAGCTCCAAACTATAACTCTGAGTTAGGACATTGTTAGTTATTAGAATAATTTATTTATATATGTGGCCTCTCAGCCGTTCTCCCTTGCATGTCACAACTTAAAACTTTAGAGTGTTCTTTGTGGGACTGAATATTGGCATCGTGAAAAAAAATCTGATTTAATGATTTATACAGTATTTGTCAAGTGTTTATGACTTTACGATAATGATGATCTCAGGCTACTCTAACTCTTTGAAACACGTTTTTAGAACTCCTTTTACATTGTAGCCTGTGGGCAAACATTTCTCTGCTGGTAATGAATGGGTAGAAGTTTGTCTATTCTTTCCGATATTTTTTAAGTATTCATGTTTACGCCTCTTCAACTGTATGTTCTATTTCATAACATTCTTTGATGGGCATGATCTTTTTCTCTAGTTCAATTTTCCTGTCTTCCATAACTCTAGTGTTTCCTTGCGGCGCATTCTAGTTTCAGCTCACCACTAATGCAATATTACTTGACATTTTTTCCTTGGTGTTGAGGATTGCGGATAGGAGTTTAATTATTTGTGTCATTTTTTCCTGCTAGGACTTGCCCAGCTGCGAAAATACTTTTCATTATTTGGACTACCCTAGAGTTATTCACTGATGATGCATGTAGAATCTAAAGTTTCTGCATGTTTCATGATTATACATTTGTTTCTTTTGGAACTTCATGTTATGGATTGCTCAAAGTTCTTAAGTTGAACAGGTGTCTTTATTGTTTGAATGGCTCTAATGATTTGGTTGAAATTTGTCGCTGCCTTTTCAGGTGATATTCATGGACAGTACAGTGATTTATTAAGGCTTTTTGAGTATGGGGGTTTTCCTCCTAGCTCTAACTACCTATTCTTAGGAGACTATGTTGATCGTGGGAAGCAGAGCTTAGAAACCATCTGCCTTTTACTTGCATATAAAATCAAATATCCGGAGAACTTTTTCCTTTTAAGAGGAAATCATGAATGTGCTTCCATTAATAGGATATATGGGTTTTATGATGAATGTAAGAGACGGTTCAATGTGAGGCTTTGGAAGTCTTTTACAGACTGTTTTAACTGCCTTCCCGTGGCAGCCCTTATAGATGACAAAATATTGTGCATGCATGGTGGCCTTTCCCCAGACCTAACAAGCTTGGATCAAATTAGAAATCTATCTCGTCCAACTGTTGTCCCTGATACAGGATTGCTCTGTGATTTGCTTTGGTCAGATCCTGGTAGAGATGTGAAAGGATGGGGTATGAATGACCGAGGAGTTTCATACACCTTTGGCCCGGATAAGGTGGCTGAATTTTTGACAAAGCATGACTTGGACCTGATCTGTCGTGCACATCAGGTCATTCTCTGGGTTATCTCTTTAGCTCTCCCAACTTCTCTTCAATCTTCGTTCCCCTTCCCTGAGAAGAAAGACGGAACCATTGGTGTCTTGTTGGAAACTGACATTATAATTTTTTCTGTAGGTTGTTGAGGATGGATATGAATTCTTTGCTGACAGGCAACTTGTTACAATTTTTTCAGCTCCTAACTACTGTGGTGAATTTGACAATGCTGGTGCCATGATGAGCGTGGATGAAAACTTGATGTGCTCTTTCCAGATTCTTAAGCCTGCAGAGAGAAAAACAAAGTTCATGATGTCAAACAAAATGTGATGGTTGGCACATTACTATTTCATAACTGGCTGTTGTTGCTTTTGTTTTTAGTGTGGTACTTTTAGGTGTATTGATTGTTCCCAAAATATGGCCAATACCGCTAATATGAGAGTTTTTTGCCTTATGTTTGTATAATTCAATTTTTTTCTTGCGGAGGGGAGGGAATTTTCTTTTGTTTTGTTTTTTTTTTATTGGAACATGTTAGTTTTATTTTTCGGAAAAATAATGTTGATTATGCATATGATAGGATTACAGTGATTACCTATTATCATCACATTTGTTCAAGCAATACAATCTCGAATGTTAGTACTGAAACGATGACCGAACTATAAACCCTTAGTAATCATATGTTTACTTGATGTTTGTTTTTCGGAAATTATTTATTTATGTATTTGTACAATGGAAGGCTTGTTTTTGGAAAGAAAATCCTACTCTGTACTGTTATTTCTTCTTTGTCAATGTTGGATTCTTCTTGTTTTTCTATTTGAATTTGCTTATTTTACTATATCTTGATGTTTATTTAAAAGTTCTCCAGTTTCTTAGCTCCTTTTTGAAGAGTTAAATCTTCATTGTGCTTATTCAGTCACAATTCTTTACTTGTAGCTCATTAACATGGAGGAAACTTCAACTTGTATTGTTTGCATTTAGCTGGTTTTGGAAAAAGAGGGTAACGGGCAAACGTTGTGTTGAGTGAAAATGTGTGGGATTGGAATAGTTAAGGCGATTATATATGGACTATCATATGGTAAGAATGATGAAATTATAAGATTCAAGAAGGATCAATATTGGCTATTAGCACACGAGCTTTGTAATTTTAGCTGGAGTTGGACTACTGGGGTGAATAACATTTAAATATATTTTGGCCTGATTTTGTAAGTATATATAAGATATTGCAAGGAAAACAAGTAGATTGCATATAGTTGTTACTTGTTTGGCTAGATTTTATTTTGAGTGATTACGTCTTTTACAACTCAAATGTCTTTTATTATGTAAATGGTTTTTCTGGGTTTGGTTTCTCATTCCAATTTATGAACTAAATTCATTAAAAATTAACATGCTAATGCTTATATATTCTGCTATGTTTATTTTTTCCTGTTTTCATCTAAAGGGATAAAACATTTTCTTATTCTCGGAGTTGTTTTACTTTCACGGTCGCTACTTCGTACTGCTTTGGCTGATTAATTCTTTTACATCACTGCACCCGTTGGCTTTGATTGTTAATAAGACAGGCCAGAATTTTTCAATACAGACCCAGCTATAGTAAAGGTGTTGTTACTCTGTAATTTTCTCAATTTGTTGTGAGGGTACTTCGTTTCAAACCAGTAGATCTTGAGCTCCATCATCTCTCTTGTGCCTTCATAATTGAAGAACACTATCATGTAGCAATTGGAAAGAATTCTTTGTGTTACTATGAGAGGTGGCGCTTCTTTTTTGTCCCCAATATTTTTCATCATCTGGAAAATTACTGGGTTTGAACTGAAGCATGTTTATTACACATTTTGTGGAGCTAAAGATGCTTGGTGGTCCCCCTGGGCAAGGGACTGGGGAGGATATTGATTTTTCCGTCATTCTCGATTCTCATATTGTGGGGTTAGTGAAGCCCCTATTATTAGAATGCTAAAAGAAGGCTTTTCTTTCGTGGTTTCTTTCATGTGCTTCATTTTCATTTACTCTTTCCGCTAGGTCGGGCGGTGTACCATGATTATTGACCCATGTCTATGATGTTTATTCCCTGGTGCAGATTTCATTACCTATATGTTGGGGAAAGGTCAGATTCAAATGTAGATGGCCTGATCTCAAGTCCTATTCTATTTTGAGGAGATGCCAAGCTAGCTTTATGCTTATTATATAGTCGGGCGGTGGTCGTTACGTACTAGTTGTAGGATACGCCTTGCAGGATGGCCCTAAAGCTAAGAATTGAAGCTCCATTGTTTCTTATATTCCTGGATCGTAACTATTTTATGGCTTGATATGTACATAGATGTGGTGTAGATGGGATGAGAATGACCTCTTCGCTGGAAGGTCCCCTGAATAGTAGACTGGCTTCAACTTACACCAATGGGACAGTGTGTTAATGATTCTAGCGAATTGTGTTAAAATTGTCGTTCCTCTTTGTTCTGATTATATATTGGGTTGCAACTCTCGAGAACTTGATCTTCGCATTTACCATCACTGTTACTTCTATTAGCGGATGGCCCCCTGTTACTTTGCTTGCTTGGATGTGAGGGGTTTTCAGTTTCAGTTCGCCTGAAGCCGACCATGTCAGGAGACATAACCAAGAGGATGTTAGTCAGCTTTACCCTGCGTTTGTGTTGCATGACATTTGAGATAAATCATTACTAATTTATGCTCTATAAATAGTGTGGTTTGTTATAAATAATAGAATGGTTGATGGTTGATGTTGATGTTGATAAAGTATTTACCGTATTTTGAAAGAACAAAATGGAATATTGTCTGGTTGCCAACTTGCGGAGTTCTTTTGTCTCTATTTCCACTTACGGTGCTAGTAGTTGCTATAACTACCCGCGGTCAACTTTTCCTCCTTATTTCCATCGCCTCTTGGTTGACCAAAGAAGTGGAAAGCGGTGATGAGAATTTGAAGGCCAAATGCGAATTTCATATCATTGTCAGTTTACGTGTGAAAGATGTGCATGACATATCGGGATTTTATTTTCTGCTTGTGCAGCGAGCATGGTTTTTTTCCTTTTTGGTAAAAAGTTTACTGCAGTTAAAATCGAGCTCTATCCAGTCAATACGTGTTTGTGTACCTGATGTTCCCGTCGCCCTGATTCATTCAAATCTCACGGAAGTCAGTGCGGAATCCTATTTTTCTTGAACACTAAAAAAATTGTCTTGCATGATATGAAATGTTGGGAGTAAGTCATAAAAGTATTATTGAAAATACGATACTCTACCGTTATTATTTTATCTTAAAATAATTCTGGTTAATTTTTCAAGATTGCTCAGGATTTATTTGAATTTATTGGCCATCTGATGCATTTCCTCAAGTCCAATGTCCAAAAACTTTTATTTTTCAAAATATAAGCTGTTTTAAGAAAAATAAGATTCCGTTAATGAACTTATTCTAAAATCGCCAATTAAGTGTGAGTTGACTTGTAATAATTAAGTGTGAGTTGACATGGGGTTGGGGTCATGATTAGGGCCGGGGGTGGTTAAAAGGGGGAAAAAAAAAAGATCTTGCATATGCTGCGCACTGTTTCACCGTAGATCCACTGGGCGGCTACGATTTTGCCACGTTCTTCCACGCGCCGCCATGACCCCCAAATTACCCGGGCTGCGACTAGCGAGCTACCCTCGCCGTATGACCGCTATTATTAACTGAAATGACAGTGAATGAGAGAATGTCATCGCTTGGTCCGGACTTGACGCTATCCTTCTCCCATCTTTCAACAGCCAATCTAAGGCGCAATAACCCCCAACGGACAATTCTTTTTATTTCCTCCCGAACTTTTCGATCCTTCATCCTCAATCCAATCTGCCGTTTTCAGTTCTCCCAGCGCTGTAACTCTCCCCTCCCCGTGCTATCTCCATCGCTCGGATTTACGATTCACGCAGCTTTCCCCCCCATTTTTGTATCCAATTCAGTATTCAATCTGCAATCGTCATGGCTCAAGGTATTCCCTATTCCCTGTTTATACTGATTAAATCCTTAATATTCCTTTTTCTCGCGCTTCTGGGGCTTCTTCTTTTTAGTGTTTCGTGCATCAGCTCAGCTCAACATTGAGATTTTCTGCTTAGCTTATCGCCTTTTCTTTTTCCGTACACTTGCAGAAGGTGGCAACGACTCCTTAAAATCTCCGTATGAAGAAGCATTGGATGTATTGTCGTCTTTAATCACTGGACGCACTCGTGCTGATAGTAGTAACATGGGGGATCGGTTCAACGTGCTGTTCGAGTACCTAAAGGTAAACGATCTGTGAGCTGTAATAGACTACTTAGTTATCTTGGCTGGTGATATTCAAAATCGCTCGCCAGATTTGCTACTCCAGATGTCGCCTAAGCTGATGTTAAAATGTTACATGAAATTCAACAGATGCTGGATTTGGAGGAGCCAATTTCAAATATGAAAATCATACATGTTGCTGGTACCAAAGGGAAGGTATTTTCATTTCTTTTACTGGTTGCTCGAGCTTGAGCTGATTCATCTTTTACTATTAATAAAATATGTGTTTTCCTTCTTTCTCGACTGTCACCGATTCATTTATGGTTTTCCGGTACTTGAGCTTCGTTCAGGCCAAAAAAACTTCAGAATCTCACTGCAGCTTCCCAGTTCCAGACAAAGTTTGCTTACACTTTTGATTATGCAAATTACTCATTTAAATTGCGTTTTTCATAGGGATCTACATGCACATTCACAGAATCTATATTACGTAACTGTGGTTTTCGCACCGGCCTCTTTACATCTCCTCACCTCATAGATGTTCGTGAAAGATTTCGTTTAGATGGGTGAGTACTTCACATCCACTTTCTCTTTTATTTCATTTCTTTTTTAATTTTGAGCCCAACACTTCTATTTCCTTTATTGTAACTTCCAAATAGTGATATTTAGGATTTTCGAATGGGCAATCTAAAGTTGTGGGCTATACATATGCGAGCCCTGTTTTGTCAAGTGGGCATGATAATGTGGCCAAATGGTGCATGAATGCTACTAATTAGTGATTAACTATTTGAATTTCCTGATTCTGAAAATAAAAGGATAGTTTTGTATCTTCTGGTAACAAAAGTGATCTTCCATATCAGCAGCTACTGGTATCTCCTAAATCATGTAACAATTTGCTTTAGCCCATTTAATACACCTACTAAAATTCATTTACATCGAATTGGCAATCCTTTATGCGTTAAGAATTGTGACCCACCATGTTTTGGAGAGTACAATTGCGATTAAGACAAATTGGCAAAATAACTAGATGGCCTGATTTACTAGCCCTATTCTTGTTGCTTCTGCAGTGCGGAAATATGTGAAGAGAAATTTTTAGCATATTTCTGGTGGTGTTATGATAGACTAAAGGTATGTGTGAAGCATTATCAGTTAATCACTTTTTGGCACGTTGGAAAACCATGCTCTTATTTTTCCTTTCCTGTTTTAATTTATTTTGAAGCACAAACTAATCATATTTGAAATGTTTTTTTGTACTTTAGCTTTACATTTTTGTAAGTTGGTGTGCCTAGCTAGACTGACAAAATGGATATTTCCTGCTTGGAATTTTGAAGCTTAATTCATCTTATTCTCCTGAATTGTTGCATTGGTTTCTGAGGATAAGTGGTTTCTCATTTGGGTGGTCCACAGGAAAAAACTGATGAAAATGTTCCAATGCCTACCTATTTTCGCTTCCTTGCTTTGCTTGCCTTCAAGATATTTGCAGCAGAGCAGGTTAGATTCCTGTGTTTTAGTTATGTATGCACTTTTTTCCACCTATTTCTACATTGTTGCAGGCTATTAGTGAAGAAAATTATTTAATCTCAACTTTTATTCAGGTAGATGTTGCTATAATGGAGGTTGGATTAGGTGGTAAATATGATGCAACAAATGTGGTATGTATAATTGTTATTTCGGCAGCAATATGCTGCTCTACTTGACCATTAATATCCTCTACAAAGAATATTTGTGAACAAGATCATGTTGATGAGCTTATATTTCAGGTTCAAAAGCCCATTGTGTGTGGCATAACTTCTCTTGGGTATGACCATATGGAGATTCTTGGTTAGTATTTTATTTTGTTAGTGTTGCTTGTTAATGCTTAGCTGTTGCTAACGAAAACCATGGAGTAACCTGAGAGATGGAAAAGTTCCAATTTATATGTAGATTTAATATGTATTGCACATACAACAACGAGAAACAGAACAGCCTGTAGTCTCGTTTCAAAACAAAGAGATATGTTGTGTCATAACTTGCAAATCATGAATGCCAGTTGACATCGGTAATTGGTGAGATTTGCCCATTTGTAACTAAAAGCATTGAGGAATCGTTTTAAAGTGCCTTTATTTAAGTATCTGCATTCCTGTTTGTCAAGAAAAAAAGAAAAGATGGTACCTTTAGAAGCTTCAATAATATGCTTGAAGTGTTAGAACAAGGTTGATTAAGTTGCTCTTCCACTGATTCGTTCAACCAGTTAGGTTTACTTCCTCCTGCCGCATTTTATTAACAGGGAATACTCTTGGAGAAATTGCTGGTGAGAAGGCCGGTATCTTCAAGGTATTCTTGGAGCAAATAATTTTTCTTCCAAAATTTTAAAGTCAGTTTCAACAATAAGTTCTTTTTAGTGCAGCTTAACTTTTATTGCATTTCTTTTTTTTCTTATACAGTTTCCTGTCTCTCCTTGGGGCATCAAAAAATTAATTTCTTTTGTGGTCCATTCTGACAATTTCATTTTGTTTACTTATACTTTCTATTTTGATGTAGGACCGGGTTCCAGCTTTTACTGTACCTCAGCCTGATGAAGCCATGCATGTACTTGAAGAGAAGGCATCACAACTCGACGTAGGTACATTCTTTCATGAGGCTGTCATGTATAACATTGACTTTCAAAGTCAAGCAAGAGGGCATTGATCGGCATGCTTGTCTTGGATAACAAGCATGGATATTGATTTTGTCTGTCAGTTTAGTCGTGTTTCCAGAATTTGCCAGCCCAGACCAAAATTCATAAACAAATGTCACCAAGTATTTTCTTTTATATACTTTATGATTATTAAATATGTCCTTAGATGTCCATTATCATTATTCAGTTTTCCTAAATATTAGTTCAATTACATTTTAGCTCTCCTAAGTCATGTATTCAACATTTCAAAGGATATTTGAGGGGTTGTCTTGGAAAGAGAAGTTAGTGAAGATTTCATGGGGGGTAAGTCGGAGAGATTACATTAGTATCTGAGGGCTATATATAGGTTGCTTAAGACTAATTGTAAACGGCTGACGTGAGTAATGAGAAACTGATTCATCTGTTCTCTCTTTTATCTATTGATCTCCCTTCTCTCTCTCTTCTTCTGCTTCTCTGCCTTTCCCTCTCTTTCTCTCTCTTTCCTATCTTTCTTACACATCATTATACTCATTACACTAAACCTAATTGTGCCTTTTTCTGTGAACTTTACACTTGTCAACTATATTTTAAAAGCCAGGAGATATATGTATCAGATCTATTTAGCTGTCTCGGCTTGGCTTTCTTTTAACATTTTTTTTTTCAGCCCCCGCGTGGGGTGGGGGGTGTTTGGTGGGATAGCTTTCTTGGTGGCTCATTTTGGAGTAGTTTGTTTCCATGATGAATCATCTGAGTAAATTTCACAAACTACAGGTACCTCTTCAAGTAGCACAGCCTTTAGATGCCAAGTTGTTAAACGGTTTAAGACTTGGACTTGAAGGTGAGCATCAATATTTAAATGCAGGTCTTGCCGTTTTACTATGCTCTACATGGCTGAAGAGGACTGGACATCTTGAAGATAGCTACTTGGAACACACTGTACGTTCTCACTGTGAAAAGTATTCTCGTTACACCCTTTTGTTGCTTTATTTTTCCCCTTGCTTTTTATCGTTCAGTTAGACTGATTCATTTATCCACATGAAGCAGCACTCATTGCCAGAGCAGTTTGTAAAAGGATTAACAACTGCAAATTTACAAGGAAGGGCTCAAATTGTTCCTGATCAACACATCAACATTGAAAGCCAAAATGAGCTTCTCTTCTTTTTAGATGGGGCACATAGTCCTGAAAGCTTAGAAGCATGTGCAAGGTGGTTTTCGTTTGCTGTTAAAGAAGACAACCTGGACCATACCTTGTTTCATCGGAAGCCTGATAATTCAAAATTTTCTAATGAATTAGTGAGTTTCCGTGATGGTGAAAGAGCGAAGAGACAATCCGCACAGGTACAGCACAGATTTTGAATCCTATATTTCAGTAACTGATATTGGAATTGGATGTTTGACGAATACAATGATTAAAAACGTTGCAGTTGCAGTTTGAAATGTGATGGTAAAATTAAGTTTGTCATTTGGTTGAAGTATTTGTCTGGCTGTTGAGTGTCCCTTGCTCAAAGTTAAAATGGATACCATAAAACTTGTGAAACTGACAAAATAAATCTAATGCCTACTGGATACTGGGTAGTAGGACGAGTTGCCTAATTCATCAGGGACCATGAACGCAAGTTATTGTAATTTGGAATCAATTATACTTAAAAATATTTTGCAAGTTTGCTCCTGGCATAATAATGTAACAGACGAAGTTGCTACATTAATCATTTAATTATGTAATCACTTTTACCCTGTCTTACCTGTAGTTGTCAATTGACAATTCCAATTAACAAAAAATAAATGCAAACAAATAAGATGCCTTGGTCTGACTTTGTCACTGTTTGACTGATGATTAGACTGCCTTATATTAGAAACCCTTTTCCAATTTGATAGCTATGTCACCATAACTACCAACAGTTTGTCAAGCTGTACAAATCATTTTCTTAGTCAGTAATATCTGAGGTCCTTGTCTAGAAAATCACTGTATACATAACTTGTCGAGTGTTTAAAGGTACTATATGATTTGATGCTTCATTTTTCACTTTTGTGGTTTTTGAGCTGAGATTGTTACATTACTTGCAGATATTATTGTTCAATTGCTTGTCAGTGAGAGATCCTCAGTTGCTCCTTCCTCGCCTGATGCAAACATGTGCTGATAATGGTGAGTGATCTCTGGATTTTGATATAATATGGTTACCCATAATTGCCCAACCTAATAATCTCATGCATATGCGCGTATGCACGACTCAGAAAGCAAGTGGTGTTCTCCACCATTATTTCTGCTATTGCTATTTCGGTCACATTACCAAACAATACACCCATATGGAGAATAAGCAATTAAAAAGTTATTGCCACAGGTGATCTCATCTGAACCAGAGGTTTATTCCTTGTTCACTGAATAAAGAAAAAAATTGAAACTGTAGGTGTGTTCTTCAAGAAGGCGCTTTTTGTACCAAGTTTATCAGTGTATTACAAAGTTGGATCCCATTCTTTAGCACCAACTGAATCCAATGTTGACCTATCGTGGCAGTTCACTCTTCAGAAAGTGTGGGAAAATCTCATGCAAGTAAACAAAGGTATTAACTGGCTGCATACAGGATTATGTCAATCAGAACTCAGGCTTTTGTGTCTTATTATTTTTATGTGCTGAAAAACTGTTCTAAATAAATGTGACTAGTATGCTCTTTATGCTGTTTATTTTGCAAAGCTGAGTCTGTTGTGTTGGAGTATTGGAAAAAGAAAGCTATGGATGATTTCCAAAAAATAATCAGAAGTAAAGCAAGGTTAAATTTCGTTAGATCTAGGTTGTGTTTGCAGTGCACTGATTTGCTTGCTAGCAAGGTTCTTGGTCGAGATCTATGTTACCATATGTTGTGCCAGTATTTTGTAAAGAGACAAAAGGGGCTCTATCAACCCTGAGCTGATGCAATGTGACCCGTGAAACTTCTGTATTCATGTTTATGTGAAGCAGTAGGAGGAGGGGAGGAAGAGTTTAGGGAAAAAAGAGTTGGGATGGTGACATATTGTGGACTCTGGTAATTTGTTTCTTTGGGGCTTCATGGGAGTTTGTGATGCATATATCGTCGTGCTGTTTCTCTTGAGCCCTACTTTAGCCTTGTTATTGCTGTGTAGAACGTAAAGCTTAGTCATCTTTGGTTTTTGCTGTGTCTGTAAGCTACCTGATCTTCAATTGACTTTAACTGAATTTAGCACGTGTACTTTGTCATTGGTTAACTTTTGGGACTTACCGCAGTGAGAGAATGTCAGTGCTTGTTATTGTTAGGGTTATGGTTGGTAAGTAGTTTTAGACTATTTCCTGACTTTAATCAGTTCTCTTGGTGGTTTGGGTGGTCATCTGGATTGGTAGGAAGTGATGACAAGAGTGCATATGCTGTTTCTGATGAATTAAAAGAGGATATGGAATTGAGTACCAGCAATTGCGAACATAGTGCAGTGTTTCCCTCGTTGCCGTTGGCTATCAAGTGGCTGAGGGACAGAGTGCAGCAAAATCAGTCTGTTCGTTTCCAGGTAACGTCAATTTTAATGGGGAATTGTGAATATCTGACATTTTCAAGAAGCCAACTGATAGACTGCATGCGGTATGAACAACATTAATAGAGATTGCATATTAAATATAAATGTGTGGGATTGCTCTGGCTTTTGGTCATATATATGCCAGATGCAGGATCTGATCATAATTTTGCCTGCTTGATCCCTCAGGTTCTGGTAACCGGTTCTTTACACCTTGTTGGCGATGTCTTGAAATTAATCAAGAAGTGATTTGTAGGTCTAAGTAAGTCGTAGTTTCCCTCAAGACGAGGCCCCCATCGAGCTGTGCTAGTGTTCATGACAGCATACGCAGATGAAATGGACATTTCTATGCTAGTCTTCTCTGGCATTACCAATTCATTCGACGCTATTGGTTCTGGTAACTGCTAAGGGTACACATGAGCTGCTTCCGTATCATCATCAGTCTAATGACATTGTTTGGTGACCTTTCTCAAATTTCTTACGGGTGCAATTGAAAAGGAAATTGTTGATTCAGATGCATGATAAGAAATAATTCAGTGAAGCGGGTTTTTCAACATAGTTGACTCAAATTTCAGCTCTGTGGATGTCTGGATAATATAGTTTGAGTTTTAGTTTTCGCTGTTGGCTTAGCAATTTTTCTTTTTTTCATTTTTGTTTTTAAGTGGACGCTTAAATTGAAGATTTAACGGTTCCTCCTTAAGAATCTTTATATCTTTAGAAATAACTATTCCTTCGGTTCTAAATATAAAATTTTTTGTAGTGTAAATTAGGGCCAAAGGAATATAACATTCCAAAATTATTTTTAATTAAAATTATTAACTCTTGGGGCAAAAGCAAACAGTCTAAAGTGATTATGTAAGATGTCATGTCTCTTGAATGAGTCTCCGCGTTCCTTGTTAAAGCTGTCACCCCATATATAGAAAGGCTATCTGCTGCATGCATCCAAATTTTCCACCATCGTGGCGTCTCAACGTCCGCACGTCATATCTCTTTTTCTTCCCGCTCCTCCTTTTTCTATTTCTCTTCTAGTGAATTTCATCTATTTCTTTATTACTCGAGTTTCATCAAATCCTGCCCTTGGTGAGGGCTATCAACTATTCAACTGTATAATTTATAGCCTCGACATCAATGAATATATCATTTAACTTAACCCTTTTGTTAATACTACCTCAGCTCGTTAGATAACTAATTTAAATAAATTTAAAAAATAGTTACGTTAATTAATTATTTAGTTAATTATAACACGTATGGTGATTTTTCTAATTATTCAAAATTATTTCTTAGTGAGAACTCTTAAAATCATTAAGGATATTTTAGATAAAATATTATAGATTTGAAGGACAAAATTGATTGAGATCTTATATTTATAATTAGATTTAACCTTTGACTAGTTTTTATATTAAGAATTTCTAGCTTCAACTTGGGTACACTTGCATCAAAATTCAACTATTTTTAAATCTACTTTTATATGACATTTATCCATTGATTTGTCACATTACAAAATAGCTACACGTGATTTCGCGTAAATTATACGAAATTTTAAAACCATGTTTTTTCGTTCATGGACGGCTTCCTAATATATCATGTACCACTTTTTGTGATTAATATAAAAGTTAGTTGACTAATTTGAATATATTAAAAAAATTAGTTAGGTTAGTTATTTATAATAAATACTACCTCCGGTTCTAATTATAAAAGCTTATTGACTAATTTGAGGAGATTAAGAAAATAAGTTAAGTTAGTTATTTGTAATAAATGGGTATTGTTTTTTCTAAAATATCCTTACTAATCAAGTGTATTGGTTAGAACTACTATTATCAAAAGAACTACCTTAGAAAAAAAAAGCATAAATATGAGAGACAAAGTGGATTGAGGTCTTATATTTAGGATCAAAGTAAAAGTTAAATGAGGTCTTATATTAAAGATCGGAGATAGTATGAGTTATCTTTTTTTAAAATATCTTTACTAATTAAGTGTATTAGTTAGAATTACTATTATTACAATGACTATTTCAAAAAAATAGATAAATAAAAGAGATAAAATGGACTGAGATCTTATATTTAAGAATAAAATAAAAGTCAAACAAACTCTTATATTAAAAATCAGGAGTAGTATTATTTTATGTCAATGTAGAATATAAAGATACGCAACCAATGATAATGAAAATTATAATATATTGTATTAGCTTCAGATATTAATACAAGACCTCATTTAATTTTTATTTTCGTTTTAAATATAAGACCCAAATCTATTTTATCTCTCATATTATCTATTTTTTTAAGATGGTCCTTCTAATAATAGTAGTTATAGCCAATAAATTTAATTAGTAAGGATATTTTAAGAAAGACAATATTTATTTATTACAAATAACTAATTTAACTTATTTTCTTATATTTAGAACCGGAGGCAACATTATTTATAAATTTTGGACAACGCAACTCATTCTAAACTCAGTATAATGAAAATTGTTTTCAAAGTAATAACACCGTACATTGATATGATGGTGATCATATGTATAGCTTATGAATAGCATGATTTGATATGCTTATGATGATCACTGGAAAAACAACATAATTATGTGGACAAAATATTGCTAATATTTTAGGGTGCTCTTGAGAAACGAATTATGCTCAATTTAGAGGCTAGATCCTCTGTTGCGCCTTGCTTTAATTCCCACCAAGGGCGCAGCTATGTCGACCGTCCAGCCTGGCAGATGAATCCTCACCATCAGCACCATGCCTCTTCACTTTGCAGCAAACAATTGCATTTAAAGGGGCAAAACAAGTACACGTGTCCCAAGGGCCATCAAGCTCGGTTTGTGGAGCCCAATCTACATCCGATCACGTTACCCGGCCTAGAAAGCAAGGCCCTGCACTATACACTGAGAAAAAGGAAAAGCAAAGTCAGAGGTGAGCGGAGCGAAGAGTTCTTCCCAGCAATCCCGTTCCCGGCCCAGGACCTGCACCAGGGGTTCCCTCTTCTCTGGTCTCGTCTCCTGAGTCCCTCTCAGGAATTCCCGCTCAGTTTTTAATCTCATAGCTTCCATGCCTTCTTCTGTTTGAGCTGCGAAGCTTCTGTTTTTCTCCCTACGCGATGGAGGAGTCCTACACCGGTCTTCCCACTAGCCATTTGCTCGGTTCAGTTCCTGTTCGTACCTTCCCCTCTTGTTTCTTGATTATTGACTATGTGATTTTCGCGCTTCATTAGTTTGCGCGTGTTCATATTATCATATGCGATAACTAGATCAAATGAACTGATCTGATGGTTTTAGTGACGGAGATACTTCATTATTGGCAAAATCTTTCCTCTCTTCCATTTCCGACAAATTGAATGTGCTCAACTGATCAATTTTAAATGCGAAAGACATGGATTTCCCTCTATAATTTAAATCATCACAACCTTTTCATTTTCCTTTTCATGTTCTTTTTTTAAAAGAAAAAATCACTGGTCTTGAGCATTTTTCTGATTTTATCGAGTAAAATAACGACGCCATCGAGAGCTGATTAGTGCGTCTCAGACCAGTGCTGTGGTCTATTTGGTATGTCTTCCCCTGCGATATCTTTCTTGCTACGTCTTTCCACAGTTTATCCCTCTGTCAAGTTGATATCTCACCTTTTCTTTTAGAGATAGTTACGGCTCATAAAAGAGAGGCTAGGTTCTATTGTTTTCCCTTGCCTCAATTACAGATTTACATGATAACTTAAGATTCCTGAAAGAATTAAGGATAAATGTACATGACCCCTATTATGTGGAACCTCCCAGCCTTTGAAACTTTTTTTTTGGGGGGGGGGGGTTTAGGGAGATATATCGTCAATGATGTATGATACCTTGTTAGTGAGATAATGGGCTAATTAAGGTCAAAGGGGTTATTTACAAAAATTTAGAGGTTTAAGAGGATTCTTCATCAAATTTTAATGATCATGTTTGCGCATAGCTCAAAATTCATGGGAGTTTTATGTAATTTAGCCCATAATCAATAAGATGATTGCTTACAGTCATGTAAATTACCCTACTTCTTAACATGTGAGATCTTCCATTATTGGTTTACACGTTTCACCGACTTTCAAATGTGAACTCCATACGAAAGTAAATTAGTCTGATCCTAATCCGTACTTTTTTCCTGGTATCCCTTCATTTATTCTATTGGCTTATAGCTTATACTTATTTCTGTTATGCCTAGGCTGTCGTAGCTGAAGAAAAGAATACCACAAACCATGAGGGTATGAATTTATATCATATTTTTTACTTCATATGTTGAGATCTGCATAATTGCCTGCTATTAAAGTTTCAGTTCTACACTGCAGTCCCTGGAGCAAATATGCAAATATTCCCTCCAAACAATGGAGGAGACAGAGGAAGGGGATACCAAACTCTTGGAAGTCCAACTGGTATGGCCCTCTGTAAGAGCAGCGATTGGATACTTGTTTCATTTCCCTCTCTTTTGGCGTGTTTTATTGATGACTTGACAGAATAATGTACCTCTTATTTGCTCCAAATGATGTATAGCCTCTTTTTTCTAACCTTTAGGTTGCCTTGGAAAATCTTAGAACATTTTAGCTACGGATGCTTGTTTTCTTTACAATTGATGTGCTTTCTGAGAATACTATTAGAAGCATGTGAGGACCTTTTTTTATAAGCTCCTCATGCATATAAACAAGCACACCTGCGCGCACAAAGAGAATTAATGATTGCGAAATGGTATAAGGTCTGTGTTTATGATATTATTTTTGATAAGGATAATTCCGATTGACTTTAAACCATTTGTCATTAACTTACTTGACATATTTCTGGTTTGTCCATCCATGCAGAAGCATTTGAGCAACAGCCAGCAAACAACTGGAGGGGAGTCTTCAGTATCTCATCATACACACAGTATTTCAATGTGGATACAGATCTAGTCTTGAACAGATTGATGAGTTCCATGAATCCAGTTGCTGGAGATTTTTTTAGCAAGATAGATGCTAACCCTGATTTGTGAGTTATGCTTTTTAAGTTGTGCTTATATACATTTGAGTTTAAAAGGGAGAGAAATTGCTCAAGATTCTGAAATTACATTTTGGAAGGCTATGCCTGGAGAACAGTCTTATTGACAGTTCAACTGTTACCATAATATGGGAAATACTTCCTTCTCTGATTTCTTCTATTATATTTATCATTCTGTTCTTTTTACCCATGCATAACTGATCATTTTTCTGACCTGAGTTTGGGCAAGTGGAAGTCATGTAGGTGGATAATCACGAAAGTGTCATTTGTTATCTTAATGCATGCTTGAAATTTCATGGTTCAATCATTGGATAGTACGCCTGATATTTTGGGGTCAAAATTAAATCTGGTGTTTGCATCCAAACTTTTCTGCTAACAAAAAGGCAGAACCATATGATCACAAGTTTTTTCATGATCATATTGAAGCTGTTGAAATAAATATGCTTATTTGAACAGTGATCCAAGCAGCCTTCGGAAAAGATGCTGAATTATGACCTTAAAATCTACTAATCATAATGCTACCCCATAATTCTGATGCTGCAAGAGGGATGCAGCACCTCTAGGCAAATGTTTTGCTTCCCTTCCATTTATTCTTCTTTTGGTTTCTTTTAAATGTTTGAATATAATCCCAGTAACGTTGCATATATGTTGTGTATCTAATGGAGCAAATTCTTTCTGTTATAACAGATACGGGCTTATATGGATCTCAACAACATTGGTTTTTGTGCTTGCTTCACTGGGAAATCTGGCAACGTATCTTATGGAAAAACAAACAGATAAGAGCACTTCATGGAGCTTTGATGTCAGCTATGTCAATGTGGCTGCATGTTCTATCTATGGCTATGCAATAGCTGTCCCACTGGCATATTATTTCTTGCTTCAGTATCTGGGTTCAAATTCTAGCCTTATTCGGTTTTGGTGCATGTGGGGGTATTCCCTTGCCATTTTCATCCCATCCTCTGTGAGTTTGTGCCTTCTCCAATTCAGCGTATCATCCCCCCCCCCCCCCCCAAAAAAAAACTTTCTGTGTAATTTTGGTGAAACATCACTGGAAAAACAGGGAGTGTACATACATGCATGCTAACTGCGAGTAAGATTGCATCGTTGGAGAGGAGGGCACCACATTTCTTCTATTTTCTGTTTGTCACAAAGCGTGACTTATATATTTACATGTCCTTTGTGCTATCAGAATTTGTTGTTTGATGTCCAAATCGAGCCCTTACCAGTAGCAAAAGAGAACTGTTATCAGATCATTTTTTACGTTATTTTCTAATACATAATTCTTTTACACTTTTCAGTTTCTGATGCTTATCCCTCTTGAGATTGTCCGGTGGCTTGTAATAATCCTTGTCGGTACTGCCTCAGCTAGCTTTGTTGCCCTGAACCTCAGGTCTTACGTAGAAGGCAGTGATGTCTCGGTTATGATAATAGCGGCATTTTTCTTGCAAATAGCTTTGGCAGTCTTCATCAAGGTCTGGTTCTTTGGATGAGCTTGATGTGCCCGGACCGAGAAGAAATCCTAAGCCACTGTCACACGAAGCTTACTCCGCAGGTTAATTTGCTTAAAACAATGAGTGGAATTTCTCGAACAGAATGGTTGTGTATTTTGGATTTGCTAATATATAGGAGAAAGAGTGACTGAGTGGTGCAAAGTAGGTTCTGCAATCTGTCGTGCTTTCTGTCGCTGTTCGGTCTGAAATTTCATTTTATCAGTTTGGGGAGCTGCATTGTAGAAGACCAGTATGTTTTGTTCTTTTCCTAGAAAACAACAGTATTTTGGAAAAGGGAAAAAATGATGGGTGTAATTTTTTTTTTTTTTTTGGGTAGTATCAGGGCAGTGTTTTACCTCTGATCGTCTTGAAGCTGTATTGCATCCTTGTAAATGTGTGATGTCTAGAGAGACGTATGATTGGTATGGGATGCACTGCGGTTTTCTTTTCTCTATTCTCACTTTCTAAATCATTGCTTATCCTCTTGAAGCTTCAGCCCAAGAAATAGAGTTAAACAAACTTTAGTCCTTTAATCTTGTTTTTATTTTAGTTCTGGTCTTTCAAGTTTTAAATCATAGGTTTTGGTCTCTTTAGTTTTTTTTTTTTAATAACATTGGTTCTTATAATTTAATAAATCTTAAACTATTGTATCGGATCAAAATTTATGATTTGAAACTTGAAGGATCAAAACTAAAATGAAAACAAATTTGAGAGATCAAAGTTTGTATTAACTTGAAATTATATTTAAAAGCCCTATTTCTATTGACGAAATAATGATTTTTAATGAAATAAAATATAATAAAAAAATGAAATTATCCTTTATATTTAAAAGTTGTTATTTGTAACTTCCTACTAAATTACTTGTAGACAAGAAAAAATAGTAATTTTAATTTTAATAAAATATAATAATAAGAATTAGTCAACTAATTTAAATAAAGTAAAAAAATTAGTTAAGTCTGTTATTTATAATAAATAATATAGTTAGAACTATTATTATTATAAAAATTATTTTTAAAAAATAAATAAATATGAAAATAAATTAAATTCAGGTTTTATATGTATGATCAAAATAAAAGACAAATGAGTTTTTATAGTATTATTTTTATTGAGATAAAAAAGTTAATGGGTCACTTCACATTCTTTCAAGTCCTCTTCGTTGTATTTTTCACTTGATCTTTTTTCACACCCTTTTTTCACTATCAAACAGGGCCCGTTTGCCCCACCCGTCTCCCAAAGGGGAAAAAACAAAGAAAGAAAAGAAATAAAGGCAAAACCAATGTTCTTTCCTTCCCCCATCATCAATTATTTGCAACTGCGAAGATGAAGTAACGAGAAATGAAGACGATGGTATTAAGTATGGGCCCGTGATGGTAATCCTGTCAGAACATGAACATGGGAGTGCTTTGGCAACGAACGTCGACAAGGAGAGACTAGCTTTGGGCATGCTTGGCGGTGGCAATACCAATGATGTACTCAATCTCCTCAAGTATCTCTTTCATGGAAGGTCGGTTCTGCCTCCGCTCCTCCAAGCATCCGAGAGCCAAAAACGCCAAAGCCTTCATAGTGTCCACTTCCAAAGTGGTCGCCCGGTTTTCAACCCTGGATCTATCACCTCCATCAGCTTCTCTTCTTCCGCCATCGTCTGCACATATACCGCTAAGTTCACATCATCCGCACCCCTGTTAAAATCTATAGCCCTCTGCGCCGTCAAAAGTTCTAACAGTACCACCCCAAAACTATACACATCGCTCTTATCCGTCAGTTGGTAATTCCTGTAATACTCTGGATCCAAGTACCCCAGTGTGCCCTGAGCACAAGTCGAGATGTGGCTCAAATCTGTTTCCGCCAGCCTTGATAAACCAAAATCCGAAACCTTTGCATTTAATTTATTATCTAACAGAATGTTACTAGACTTGACGTCCCTGTGGTATATAGGAGGCACGGCCGAGAAGTGAAGATAGGCGAGACCTTGTGCCGTGTCGTGAGCTATTCGAAGGCGATGAGACCAACTTAGAGAGCCCCGCCCTTTGGTGGGCGTATTTTGGCCCTGCAAGTGATCGAGGAGAGTCCCGTTCTCTACGAACTCATACACCATCATGGGCTGCTCTAACTCGACGCAGCAGCCCAGAAGACCGACGAGGTTACGGTGGTGGACTTGGCATAATATGCGCACCTCGTTTAGGACTTGGTCCGTGCCTTTGGCGTTCCCGAGTTTTGCGCATTTGACGGCCACGACGGTGCCGTCCTGGAGAACACCTTTGTAGACTTCGCCGTAGCCGCCGGCGCCGAGGAGGCGGTCTCCGGAGAAGTTGTTGGTAGCTTTCTTCAGTTCTTTGCCGGAGAAGAGCTTCGCGGCTCTGCCTCCCCCGCTTGCGTTCAGGATACCCTCTCGCTCTCTGACCAGCCGTTCTTGGGCCTCCTTGATACGCCGGTGCCGTTTGTAGAGAAGAACCGCAATAATGGCCACTATCAGTGCTGCGCAAATCCCGCTCGTTAAACCTGCGCGTATTTGGACCCAGAGTCGTTGGGGTTAAAATGGATATATTCGAAGGAATTCAACAGGAGGCCGCTAATCTGAGATCGTTTTCCATCAAATTTGTAGAAGGGGAAAGAAAATATCGAGATGTCGATGAAATGGTTCGTGATGGATCAGGGTGTACCTGCTATTAGGGCAGTTCGATCGGAGCCGCTGCAACCATCCGGACTTTGACATTTGATTTCTGAATTCAAAGCGTCAAAGGAAAATAAATGGCACCCATTAGTCAACGCCTCTGGCAAATTTTATGTTGAAAACAAAAGAAAGGGGAAAAAGAAAATGACGTAAGACGACTCACTTTCAGAGCACACCCCTTGAATAGGGTCCCACACAAGGCCGGCGTTACAAAAGCACCTGTTGATGCCGTTTCTTGATGGGTCCGGCGCGCAAGTGGAGTTCCCGCCCTCGCAATCCCCCTGGGACCCACACATAGGTTCTTGCGGCGACACCCACTGAATTTCCAGGCCCGGTTCAGGCCACCTGCTCAGCGCCAGAGACGGGTTCAGGTTCACAAAACTGGAGTAAGCGCTGCAGCCGACGTCCCGGACCCGAATCATGTAGGAGTTACTGGAGCCACCCGCCCGGAAAGTGCAGCATATAGGCGCGTCGTGGCAAGGAGTGGCGTCTCCGGTGCCGTTGATGTAGGTGTGACACAAGCTGGAGGAGGAGCAATCCAAGGGGGAAAGGAGAAGCGTGTCCGTACAGTTGAGGTAGACGACGGTGTTGCTGCTGGTGATGTTGAAGGGGAGGGTGCTGTTGAGGCGGATGCCGCCGTGGATCTTATCGGAGGTGACGCAGGTGTTGGGAATGAGGGAGGCGGGTCGGATGACAAGGCGTTGGGATTGGGGGTGGACGGAGACGATCGGGTAGGAGTTGTTGAGGGTGTCGAAGAGGAGGGAGCCGGAGCTGCACCGGATCTTGTAGGAGGGGTCACCGCAGTCGGGAGAGGTGCTGAGCGGGTAAGGCACGGAGGTGTTGCCACAGTTAGGGCAACGCGTGATGGACATTCCGTAGCCGGCGCATGTTAGCAGCGCCGTCGTGAAGAGGAGAAGCTTGTAAAACGCGGTTTCCATGGGGAGGGGAGGCCACAGCGAGTTCTGACTTCTGGGTGGCTAGCTGGCTATTTATAACTCTATTCTATTACTGCCCCAAAGTCTACAAGCTAGCTGGCTAAAGGCACACTATTAGGCGTTACAATTTATAACTCGTAATTTAAACTCCACTCAAGCAGCTACAAATAAGCATTATTATGCTTGTAATTCATATTCATGCCCCACCTTCGCTTTTAATATAAAAACTTATTTAATTTTTAATTTGATCCAAGATTTTAATTTTTTTATATTTATTTATTTTTTATAATAATCGTTATAATAGTTGTATATGTTAAATTTTTTATTAAATAATAGTTTTAGATAATTCATATTATTAGTAAAAATATTTTATATAAAATAATACTTATTTATTATAAAAACTAATTTAATTAATTTTTAATTTTTTTAAATTAATCAATTAAAAAGCGGGGTTAGTAAATTTTAAGAGGAGGCAATCTCCCTACATTATTATTATTTGTCTTTTTTGGCCAGATCATCATTAGCTCATTGTTCGATAATTCTCACTCGCGTAACTTAATCCTTCACATTTTCCCCCACGCGCGCCCCCGCCACTTTCAACTGACGACCAGAAACCCCCGCGGGGTCCACATCTGCTCCAATGACTTGCGGCCACGCACTTTGACTTTTTGTTAAAAAAATATTTTTTTATCTACACAATTTTTTCGCACACTTGTGTACCCAAAACCAAGCACCTATCTAGAAGGGCTCCGCCAAATAGAGTAACTTGTTGGCATTAATAGCTAATCCGACAATAAAAGCCAATATCTTACACCTATAGAAATACAGATCTAACACACCCCCCCCCCCAAAAAAAAAAACTATCAAGGCGGTAAGAGGCACATGTATTTTGACTTTGACCAAGGAAACCGAATATGGCTAGGGCTATATCTTCATTTCTATCACGTACGTAACTCCCAAGTCTTCTTGCATTTATTTATTTAACTGCATCATTTTTTTTTTGACCAGCTATTTAACTGCATCATTAAGGAATGACGGCATTCCTGGTCACATCATTCCCTGCCTTTCATGCCTTCATATTTCCACCCTTGTCACAATTTAATACCCATAAACAAGAGTTCCTTCGATTTAAAGCATATTCGTGTTACCCAGTGGAGAGGAAAGGGAGATACAAAGCCCACAAAAGTCAACGACAGCGTGGCCTTCTTTCAGAATTCACGTGCCTGGGTGGAAGCTCGACGGCCTCGTCACGGAATATGGCTCACCCACCCATGCTGATTTGGCATCACCCCGACTTCAAATTATTCAGAGCCACAAGCATCACCATAATTATACTGTCCTCACGGATAACTCATAATCATTTTATACTTGTGTTCTTATTTAGCTTGCTTGTCCATTTAAGGTAAGAAAATGATAAACTAAAATATCGTACTATTTATTATGAAGGGGCAAATCACACAGCTTGATCCCTATTTATACGTCTAACATCCTCAATCGTAGTTATAATTCTCCCCATAATTATAGGAGATGAAGAGGGGCCCGAACTAATTCAAATAGAGCAGCCAAGTGAACTTCAATAAAGTTGCTGGTCAGAATCCATTTAGCACCATTGATTCATTCACCTATCAAATGCAATTTTTATGTAGCAAAAGTTCAAGCATTCAGCTATATTTCTCAACAATTAACACTATATTCATTCCCAGAGATAATTACAAAGTACCGCCTGATAAAAATGTCAACATAGAAAACGTTCTATGTCACACAATATTTTGTGTTGTCAGGCTGCTGCTTTTTTGTTTTCTTTTGTTTTTTTTGGGGGGGGAGGGGGGGCGCTGATTCAGCAGCATCCTCACCTCAAATCAAATTAAGTCCGCCTCCTGATACGTCTACCATTTGGATTAACTGATTCGGCAGCACCCTCATCTGCTAAATCTTGCCCATATATGCTGCTGCCACTTCTCTTCCTGCTCAATGTCTGGCTCGAGCTTTCATCTGCAGAAGCAAATGTCTCCAGCAACTCCAACAACATGGAGGGACAGCTCTCCTTCAAGTGCACGAATGTTTCAGATTGCATTACCGCTGTAGGAAGCAAGCATATACATCATAATGTAGAAAACCCAAAGAATTCCAAAAACAAGCAGATGGACCCAGGAGACCACATAAAGTGAAATGCACCCTTTGTACAGATAGAATGTTAAAAAATAATATAGAAAAATCATTACAATAGTTAAAAAGGAGAAAAGCAAAATAGGTGTGATCAGCAGCAAGAACACTTTGAATCTTTGCAAAAGGTTAAACAACCAGTGGTCATCCGGCCTTCCTGTCCGCAAAACCAAAAAGGTTGTGTGTTGGTGAGGTGGTGGAATGTGTTGGTAAAGTGGTGTTTCAAATAAAGTTCTACATATTCTTAACATTCAAATTGGTATTTGGCCATATACTATCAGTATGTATCCTACCAACTTCTGGAATATACAAATCAACAAATCAAAATCATAATTGATATGAAAAGTATGCTGAAACCCCAAGAACGCTAACAATATATATACACACATATCATGCAACTCGAGGTAAAAGAATCTAACACACTCTTTATATGGATAACACACCTCCCAGGTTTGATGGATTCACGATAAATTTTAAACAGATGCCCTTAAGCAGTGGACAGTGGTGTTGCTCAGCCAATGCAAGTGTTGTTGCAACCGTATCAGTACTGATATCTTCACACAATTTTGACTCACATAATGATTTCAGACGATCAATATTATACAGATCAGCGGCAGCCAATAGATGCTGCATCATGGCAGTATGTGTGCACATGGGCAGCGGCACTGAATCCACGATTTGATAGATATCAGGAAGTTCATCTGTATAAATGAAGAGAAGCATTACCTGCTAAGACAGAAAAAGAAATTCTCCTCAACCAACATACTTAACATAAATTTTGAAATAATGTTTCATTGTTCAATCTGGAATTGCCAACACTCTAACCATAGAAAAATCATCTAAAAAACTTCAACAATAACTTACTCAAGGACCTACTACAATAGGAACATAGTTTCCAAAATCAAAGCTTAGTATTCCATAAAAGAACATGCTAACTTGCCATCTTCATAAAATGTGACAATCTCTAGAGGAAGTTTCTAACTGTTTTCATCCATAACAAGCCTTTCATGAATGGCAAAAACTCACGAAGATAAAACCTATAGTCTGGGCTACAGTACTTGAGAGGTTTAAGCCAAGCAATCTGTTGAGTAGGCATTGCACGAACACATAAACCCACATCTCCTGGATCCTGATACGTTTGTGCTGCTTTGGGAATTAGGAGATCAACTGTCATCTTTCCCCACATTACAAGGCAACATAGAATCTTTCGAATAAACTTTCTTCTTTTTCAAGAAACAGAGGTTTTTTGAAGCATTTTCTTCTAACGTGTTCCCAAGACTTTAGGAGAGAGAATTTTGTAAAGACAGGCTACAGCCAATCTTAAAATGTTCAGGTTAAAACACGTAGTTTCAGGGGTCTTTGCTGTCTTTATATGGAAGCTGCAAAGAGATTGGCCTTTTTGAGCCAGCATATCTCTCCTTTTTCTTTTTCTTTTTCTTTCTTATTTGCCGAAGTCTCTTCCGTCAACTAAAGAAGAAGAAGAAGAAGAAGCAAAAAGAACACCTGCCCATTGCCCAAGTTCAAAAAAGATAATCTACCTCCGCGTCACTTTTTCTGACATATACCAATACAAGAGAGAATATCTAGAAATCACACACGGTTTACCATTCCGTTTATTTACTTTACTATAGGTTCAGGCCAAACCACAGACACAAAGTTGAAAATCTTTCTATAACAGCAAAACTACCAGTGCCATTACCTAAATTATTAAGGAAACACATTGAACAACAGCATGTCCTATGAGCTTAAGAATCTATTGCAGCACAGAAAAATCCAAAACACACATGCTCAATTATTTATAAACAAAAGAAATTTTTGTTTTCTAAAAAAGTTGATATATGCTCACCAAAAAAAAAAAGTGCATATATATGTTATGCCAGGAAACCTAAAAAGACAACCATTTCTTATGAAATAACTATGCGATTGATTATCTTTGCTCTTTAGATACCACAATAGTCAATAATAAAGCCAAAAGCACCACCTTGAAGATAAACGGCTCGATATCCTCCACCACTACTTCGTTGATGCAAGGATCCCCAACAAGTCCATAAAACTGTGCTCTAAACACAGGAGACCGTGCTGCAAGTATCAACTTATGGGCTTTAAAGCTTTCATTCTTGACCTTGAAAAGTATGTCACAACCAACTCCAGTTTCTAACAAGCCCTTAAAATCTTGACCCATGTCTGACCGTGGTATGATAATACTTTGTTTACTTCCCTCAAAACGTGTTTGGACCACACCAACAGTGCAATGCATTACAAGGCAATCATCTTTCAGATACTCTGAAGTTTCCAATAGTGTTCTTCTGAAAAATCTTTTGTAACCCCTGAAATGAATACATAAATGTGAGTACAAGACTAGTAATAAACTGATAATCCTCAGGCCCAAGAAAAATTGAGGAAAATAATACAGGGGCATAAGGAAAGAAATATTTCCAGCCCCAACACTCTCAAAAGAATAAAGGAAAAAATTAGTTTTGCAATAAACAAAAACATGAAAGACTTCTGAAGCTTTCTTCTATTGTATAAAAAATTAAATTAATGCTTCATAACAACATTTGAGAATAAATCTGCCGCCTCCAGGGCACAGACCAATTGTCAAACACAGAATGCTCATCCAACCTGATTCTCAAATAGCATATCCTGAATTATTGACATCTAGAACTCGTTAAGTACTGGCAATACTAACTTTTAAAACGCCATCTCTTGAGAGAACTATAAAGCAAAAATATGTAGAGACATGAGAACACCAAAACTAATCTAACCAAGCATGTCTTTACCATTTTCTCGCCTCCAAACACTAGAGCGTCAAGGCACAGTACCAATAAAACAATATCCAAACGAAAAAAAATTTAGGGAAAAAAAACATTTGATTGACCCTCAATTGCAGTATAAGTAGATTTAATCACATTACCTTCAAAGGCATTATTCTCACTAATGACTAAACCCCATTCCAGTTGTACCAGAAGGAAAATCATCCACCCCAATCAGAACCCTAAACCCCAAACAGTCACAATATAAGTTTTCCTCCCACTAAACACCTACCCCGTATCAGAATTTAACAACAAAAATTGGCGTCAAAAGAAAAACAAGCACTCTACGAAATTCATACCACATGCTGCCTCTATACTTCAACGTATAGGGTCCACTCTCCAGCGGGCGATCAAAATGGCTATGTACCTTGTCATTCCCCTTTTCACTCTGATCCACCAAAGTCAACTTGAACAAAGCTCTCACGTCGGTTCCCTCGCTCGCCAACGCTATGAAGACCGAAACATACATGGAATTGTCCTCGGGGTTCTTGCCGTCCGGGTAAAAATATATGGCCCAATCGTAACCACCAACACTGAAAGTGTCGCTCATTATATACTTGCCAGCACCCATCCCTTTGGCCAAAGAATATCCCTTTATGGTGAATTGATGCGACCCATCAACCGTCTCGCTAATGGACCTAGAGCACGATCCCGACTCAGAGAAGGGCTTGAAATTACCCAGTCTTTCTTCCAATTCAAAGGTTCCTGAGGGTTTAAGGGACATCACAAGCAAGACACTAAAACCCTAGGGGTAAAACAGACCATGAAGGCCAAGACTGGAGAAAGGAGAACAACGAAAGAAGCCCTGGCGCAGGCAACTGGGTCGCAGAGTGGTGAAGGGTCCGGGGGTGCGGGAAGAGAAGAACAGCGGCGGAGTCACAGTGAGGAGGGGGAGAACGGGAAAGAAAGCGTGATGCCGTTAAACCCCGGGCTTGGACAGACACTATACAGGCACAGAGAAAGATGCGACGGCCGTTCGCTATAAAATGGGCGAGCACCCCTAGAGAGCAAGTGCTCGAAATTTGATTCATCAAAATTGTGAAGGATTCGGGAAAACACACGTCTTGAGTTTTAATAGAGCTGATCATCTTCCGCCCAAAAGAATGGCCCTCATAACCTAGGTTGGGCTCATTGACAATCCATTGAAAATTACTACCTCCGGTCTTAATTATAAGACTCAATTAATTTATTTGAGGAGATTAAGGAAGTAAGTTAAATTAGTTATTTGTAATAAATAAGTGTTGTCATTGCTAAAATATCATTGCTAATTAAGTGTATTGGCTAGAACTATCATTATTAGAAGGACTATCTTGGAAAAAAATGTATAAATATGATAGATAAAATGGATTGGAGTCTTATAATTAGGACCAAACAAAAAGTCAAACGGAGTCTTATATCAAGGACCGGAAGTAGTACAAAATAGTAAAATAAAATTAGATCAGTCTGAGCTTGATTCGCTTGTTTGACCCAAAAAAAAAAAAAACAAGGGCTTGATTCGCTTGATTTGGGGGTTGAATGAGAGGTTTTGGCTGAATTTTAAACACACCTTAGTCGTTGAACAAAAATGTTAACGCTATGAATTAAGCTCTTTCTATTTGTCTCCACCCTCCAAAATTCAATTATGTATTTGCACATATTGTTAGATTAAAATTTATAATTAATTATACTATCCACAAGCAATAAACAATATGCAATATTAACATATGTTAAACAATCACATGCGCAACATAAATATAATGCTTTGTTCAAAATTACTCTATTATTACTTAGTTTTATATATTCGGCTAAAAAAACTTCATAGGGGTTGTTTATACCTTAGAATTTTTAATTTTAAATTAAAATAATTTATCCTGATGAAAAAACGATAGCATGATTTATTGTAAATCAAGTGAGTGGAATCAAATGGAATTTATAGCACGACTTTAACCCTGATCAAAACATCCAAAGCAAAAGATTTGCTGGGCAAAAAAAAAATGCGGTAACAGAGTTGGTCGGCCCATTTGGTTCGGTAGCCCATAGAAGAACGGGCAACGGCCACACATTTCACATTGATAATTGGATTTAGAACCAAAATTAACTTAACAATTAAGTTTTATATTAAGCAACAAAAGAGTATTTCTTGAATTTTGCATTACGATTCGAATTCGAGTTTTTGGCTGAGGTTCAAGATTTGGGGGAACATATTGATTCCGCAGTGCAACAAAGAGAACATGCTTGAGATCAGATTTGTGGCCTTCGAATTTGGGCTGATCGGGCGAGACGCAGAAATGCTGTTTGCCAAGAACATTGATCAAGGCAATGAAGCTGTGATCTTGAAATTGGGTTCATCGGGGTAGTAGTTTAATAGGACTTTTTTAGGTGACAATGTCAGAGCACCAAGGGCATGTGCCCGTGATTCTCAAGATCAACCGGCCACCATATAACTTGCCTCCCCATACTAATTGGCTTGACGTGCATTCACATAGAGCCTCATGCTACGTGCTAAAATGGCTGGGTCAGTTCAAATTCAAATATCAGAGTAGCATTAGGGCATGGAAGTATTGCACAAACATGAGCCATGCATATTTTGCACAATCTGACCAGATTGTTACCATCTTCAAAAGCAACTCGACCAAAAAGACCACCAAATTCAAAAGAAAAATGTCCGCAACATTCTACGGTAAGAATTCCATCCTGAAACAACATTTTATTGGCTTGCTTCAAGAGTTCAAGTCATCATGCCATGGAGTCAATTTTCACAATGCAGCTTCCCCCCTCCCGGGCAGCGGAGTTTAACATATTTAGCCATAATTGGTTCCACAGGTGCACCGAGCCAAACAAAATTCTCTTATTTTATTTCAACAGTAGAACGGCAAGTTGATGAATAAAATTACAGTAAACAATAACAGGCCACAAATAAAATTCCATATATCTGAGTTGAAAAGGGAAGCCAAACCCTGTGAACAGAAGGGCGGCATTAGCATGGGTCAGAACATCAGTCCAGAGAGAAAACATTGCTTTAGGTTGATTTCATGTTGGATTGAAACGCATTGACGGTCATTCCTCCATCGACTGAAACAACCTGTCCATTGATGTAGGATGCGGCAGGTAGGCAAAGGAAAGCCACCAAGGATGACACTTCATGTGCTTCTGCTATTCTCTTTACTGGCGTTCGAGCTAGGATATCATTCATAAACTCTCTGTCTTCAAGTAACTATTATCAAATATTAGCAACCAGTGTTATTGCTGAAGTTTATTTTCGTCTAAAAGTTATACATACAACGTACATTTATGAAGCGGCTTCAAGTGTTTCAATCAGCTTTTCCAACGAAAAATGAGATGGAGGAAAAAAATTTTGGACGACCCAATCATGTGATGACCAAAGTGGAGGAAAATTGTCATGTTTTTGTTGAGGAACTTGATAGAAAACACATAAAAACCATATTATTAAGTCCTGTTAGTAATCACTCCCTACTTTTGTTGACTAGACTATTTTGTCATGTAGCTCAGACGTAAACCCTTGAAACAAGTAAAATAAGTGGAAGCAAAAGGAGGACAAGTAATGCATCCCCTGAAATTTAACCTGAAACTAATCCATCCCTCAGTTCAGATTTTGTTTAACTGTTATTGGTATTTTCAATTATTACTACCCCCAATCTTTAATATAAAAGCTAATCTAACATTTAATTTGATTCTAAAAGAGTGTTTGGGTAACCCAATAAACACTTTTTAGAAACACTTTTCCGCAAATCGAAACAAACTCCTCCACATATTTATTTCATATACCGTAAACGCACTTCTGAAACCATAGTTTTGATCTTATCCAAACATTTCCTAAATATAAGACTCTAATTCAATTTATCTTTAATATTTATCTATTTTGCCCCTAGGCAATCCCTATAATAGTTGCATATATTAAAAAATTACTATCAATGGATAATTCAAGCACACATGATTAATAAGAGTATTTTAGGAAAGACAACATCTATTTGCTACGCATAACTAAGATAACTAACTTCCTTAATCTCCCCAAGTTAGTCAACTAGCTCTTATAGTAAAAATCCAAGATAGTATTTTACCCAATTGTTTATATTTATTCCATGTTGTCTCAACTATAATTATGCTTCGCGGTCTCAAGCATACACATGACAAACATCTTGTGCATGGAAATCACTAGATTCGAAATAAAATAACATAGATAAATGAAGTGGAGGCAGTGCATGCAACAAGAGAAGCAAAACAGAGTAACAGACCACAACGTAGCCAAAATGCAGAATGCATACAAGTTATCTCCACGTGTACTCAATATATTTCATATCAAGAAATCTAAAGGGTTTACAGGGTCTTGAGAATAGTGTTAGATACTCTTCTAATCTCAAACATTAGTACGTTCCGAATGATCCTAATATAGAACAGGAGCGTAAAAAATAACAAAGATATGTTGATTTTCTTTTTTTCTTTTCTTTTTTTTTTTTCCACCAAGACATGACGGATGAAGATAGTAAAGACAACATTAACAAGACAAAAGCATACATGCTATCAGCAGTCAACATTGAATTAAACAATAAGTCAATGATAAATTAACAGCTTTGTCTTGCTTTCGTTTTTTTAGGACAAACGGCAGATTTCTTGCTCAAGACAACTTCACTTCTCAATTTATCAATGTACTTCTGCTTTAACCAAATTTCACATCAAGGTTCAACGATCCGTCTTAAAATAAAACAGAAGCAACAAGGCGTTGGAGCAGAAACCAAACCACATAGAATAGACAGGGTGTAAGAGCATTACATGTTCCACAAGTGACGTTTTTGTATACCACGGTGCAACACAGTTGCTCCTTATATTGTCTTTTGCCCATTCACAAGCAAGACATTTTGTAAGCTGATTGATTGCAGCTGTAAAATGAAGCATATTAAGCCCCTTAAGGAATCTCTTTCAACATAGTTTATAAGAATTCTTTTTTAAGCAAATGATGACACCAAATTATAACATCAACTCACCTTTACCTGCGGCGTAAATGGTTCCACTCCCTATACTTGACAGACCTGCAACGGAGGAAATGAACACGATGCTTCCATTCCCAGATGCTTTGAGAAGGGAATATGCAAGTTGGCATAGATGGTACGCCGAGTCGAAGTTAGTGTTCATCAACTTCATATAATCTTCGGCATTGTAATCAACTGTCGGCTTCCTTATGTTTGTTCCAACGTTGTTTACCTACGCTCAAATGATGCAATTATAACGTATTTCAAATCCAAGTTCACAGAAAAATAGACCTGTCTTAAGAGTGCTGTTCTCCAAATGATGGTATGCTTATAGGGGAAACAAATCAAACTACCTTAAGTATGCCAATTTCTACCAATATGGTTTTTTGGGGTTTTTTTTTATTCCAGAAGGGGGTGTTTGTAGCTAAGTTGGGTTTTTTTTCATTTCGGGGGGTTTTTTTATTGGGCTCCTACCAATTCGGCAGATACTAAAATTTGGCTTCGTAATGCATCGGAGAGAAGGTCTGAATAAAAAGGTCTCATCAACTAAGGGTCTTTTGTAACCTGGGAAGGAACTCACAAGGATGTTTAATTTGCCGTTGAGTTCAGATGCTACGTCTTCTATGAGCTTCTGTCTTTGAGGTCCAAACGACACATCACAAACCGACCCATAAACCGTAAAGCCTCGATCTCGCCACTCCTTCAAGCATTTATCGAGCTCCTCCTCGTTCCTGGAACAGGTGTACACGGTAGCGCCAAAGTCGGCTAGTTCCTCCACCACGGCATGCCTGAACACCATATCCGAAGAACATAATCCAAAGTAAACTCGGAGCGCTTCTATGTAGAAAAGACATGATTCCACGCTAGAGCGAGAGTACGAAGAAAATTGACATGTCGCTAAAAAGAAAAGGAGAAGAAATCGAACCCAATTCCACGAGTACCACCAGTGACGAGAGCAGTCATTCCCTTGAGTGACCATCTGGAGCCTCTGACGCTACTTTCCGGCTTCGCCATTGGCTTCGGGCTTTGGCACTCTGAACCTAGTTCCCTTTTCTCTCCTTTTTACCCTTTGAACCGGGGGTGGGATTGGATATCAAATCAATCTAGATACCAGTGAGGTGGCGGCCAGTCGCTTGTTGCAGATGTGGCTTTTTTTTGACCAGGCAGCTGTGGCTTTTAAACAAAATGGAATTGCAATCAACTCCCACGAAAAAAAAAATACTCCTCCGGTCCTTATTATAAGATCCTATTTGACTTTTTATTTGGTTTTAATTATAAGACCCCAATCCATTTTGTCTCTTATATTTATGCATTTTTTTCAAGATAATCCTTCTAATAATGATAGTTTTAGCCAATATACTTAATTAGCAAGGATATTTTAGGAATGACAACACTTATTTATTATAAATAACCAATTTAACTTACTTCCTTAATCTCCTCAAATAAGTCAATTGCGTCTTATAATTAGGACCGGAGGAGTACTAAAAAATCTCAATAACAACCTTAACAGCTTATAATGATAAGTTTTATAGTGAGAATAACAATCTGTGAGACTTTTTTTTTTAATTATTTTTCTTGTTTGAGACTTCATTGTAATTCTCCCTTTTAAATAAAGGTATAGGTGACTTTGGGGAAAAAAAAACCAAAAAAGGGAGCAATATGGTAAAATACTACTACTAAATATAAGAGTTAGTTCACTGATTTGAGTACATTAAGAAAAAAATTAAATTAGTTATTTATTATAAATAGGTGTTGTCTTTCCTAAAATATCCTTGCCAATTAAGTATATTGGCTAGAGCTACGATTATTACAAGAGTTATCTTGAAAAAATATATATAAATATGAAAGACAAAATAGATTGAGGTCTTATATTAAGGATTAAGATAAAAGTCAAATAAGATCTTATATTAAGCGTCGGAGGTGGTAATATTCACATATCTCTCTTTTTTTTCGCCGGACACAAATCTCAAATTAGAAATAGAGATCAATTCAGATTTAAAATTCGTTGAATTTGTGGACCTGACTTAAAATTAGAATAAGATACGTCTAATACCTCAAAATATTTTTTTAGGTATATCTAGCACTTTAAAGTATTTTGTAGTACGTTCAACAAATATTTTTAAATGCATCTAACACCTCAAAATATTTTTTTGGTCTGTTTAGCATCTTAAAGTATTTTTTTATATGCATCTAACATTTAAAAATATTTTTTTTTGCGTCCAACATCAAGATAAAAAATACTTTAAAGTGCTAGATGCACTACAAAATATTTAGAAGTGGGTGTTAAATAGGATTTGCCCTTGATTTTAGCATAAATTAATAATAATAATAATATTTTTATTTAAATAATTACTTTTTCGGAAAGCGAGTGAGAATGTCACGAAAACTTTTTTTAAGCAGACATCAAATGTTTTATTTGGTAAGAGGGAAAATGTCTTGCAAGAATAGGAATTGGGGGGAAAAAAAAGAACTGGAAAAGAGTGTTTCATCTGTTCAAAACTGGATTCATTGACTTGCAAAGCTTCAATTGAAAACACCTCATCTCATTTCAACTCAAACCGACAGCCCCTTGTTGAAGAAATTAATAACACCTCCGAGTTATGATTAAAAGAGAAAAGAAGGGACGACGACTACCCATATCTAGTAACCCCTGAAATAATATGTACACACACAGCGGGACATGCGTGTTCAATTTACTTAGTTGCATGCCATATTCTTAATAAACTAATTTTTTTTATTTATTATAAAACTTAAAATATCCCACTGATAAATATGACAAAGCCCAGCTTGCATATGCCACAAAATCTCCGCTTACTTTTCACCCCAAAGAAAAAAAATTTGCGTTTACAATAAACCAATTCTCATGTCTCCTGTTTCCTCATAAAGAATTTTCCCCGTTACGTATATGCCTGACAATAACAGACTGTCATCATTTGTGGAAAGAAAACCAGAAAGACCATACTTACAAGAAAATGGAAGCAGATCAGATTGGCAGCAAACGGTAAATCGATCGGCATCACTAAGTAAACAAATTTAAGCTGCCATAGATTTCAAACACAAGGAGACAAAATAAATGGTCAATTGCGCAAATTTTTCTTATTTGTATCTTCAACCGTGTAAAACCGAGTTGATGAATGCAACTCACAAATACGATGAAGAAGAGAAAGGAAAGATGAGAAAATACATCCCACCCCTCTCGGGAAAACAACGAACCTCTATGTTAAATGGAACTGAAGAGTTGACATACGAATTCAGTCTTTTCCTCGTAGTTCACCGACACACACACCAAAAGAAAAAAGAAAAAAAAAAAGCTTAAGCTGAATTCATGTTGAATTGAAAAGAATTGACGGTCATTCCTCCGTCAACAGCAACAATCTGTCCATTGATGTAGGAGGCAGCCGGTAGGCAGAGGAAAGCCACCAAGGATGACACGTCACGTGCTTCTGCTATTCGCTTTATAGGCGTTCGGCTCAGTACTTGCTTCACAAACTTTTCGTCTTCAATCAACTGTGTCATCACGGGGGCAAACAATATAATCAGGAAAAAGAAAACACTAACAAGATGCATTCAGGGGTGAATTAAATTAAAACAATGAATGTAGTTTCTTGAAGCAGAAATTAGTGAAAACATACAAGGAGCGACGGATTTAAGGCAAGAGCATTACATGTGCCACGAGTGGCGTTTTTGTACACCAGGGTGAAACACAGTTGCTCCTTATATTGTCTTTTGCCCATTCACAAGCAAGGTTTTTGGTAAGCTGATTGATTGCAGCTGTAAGAAGAAGCACGATGAGTGTGTTTCAGCATATAAAGTTTTTGTGAACCACGATCATCCGAGACCGAATGGTAACACGACGTCACCTTTAGCCGCTGCATAGATGGTTCCAGTACCCAGACTGGTCAGGCCCGCAAGAGAGGAAATGAACACAATGCTCCCGTTGCCAGATGCTTTTAGGGCAGAATATGCCAGTTGGCACAGATGATATGCAGATTCGAAGTTAGTAGTCATCATCATGGAATAATCGTCGGGAGTATACTCCACTGTTGGCTTCCTCACATTTATTCCCACATTGTTCACCTGTGTATATACGCCTCACAACACAAGATATTTCATATAATTCATTGGACTGGGGGGGGGGGGGGACAAATTAAAACTGTGCTGCAAAAAACTCACAAGAATGTTCAAGCGGCCGTTGAATTTAGAAGCCACTTGTTCAATGAGCTTCTGCCTTTGGGGCGGCGAAGACACGTCACAAACCGACCCGTAAACCGTAAAGCCCTTGTCCCGCCACTCCTGTAAGCATCTGTTGAGCTCCGCTTCGGTCCTAGAGCAGGTGTACACAGAGGCGCCAAACTGGGCCAAATCCTCCACCACAGCATGCCTGAAAGCGGAAACTCAGAGAGATTGAACGCTGTAAGTATGTTGTCCGGAGCACCAACTGCGATTGATTAGAAGCAAATTAAAAGACATAAAGGAAAAGGACAGGGGACGGATGCTGAACCCGATTCCACGAGTGCCGCCGGTGACAAGAGCCGTCATGTCCCGGAGAGACCATCTGGAGCCCATCATGCCCTCGCCGCCGTTACTGATGATCCCAGATCTCATCTACCCCCTCCCAACTCTCCAGCTCCCTCTATTCTTCCTTTTCCCCTTTCATTTGTTTAAATGCAAAACCATGCGCTCCTTGTGATTTTATTCCTTTTTTTTTTTGCCCTCTCAACCGTCGCTGTTTGGGATGAGTGTTTTTTTTTTCTCACATGTCTCAAAAACATGTTTTTTTTTTTAACCTGCTATCTGATTTCCCTGGGAAACATCAGTTCTTTTTTTTTTTTTTTAAAGTTTTACCCGGCAAGCCAGCGGCTTGAGAGAAAAGAAAAAACTAAAACCTAAAACAAGTTTGATTTGACTTTAAGAGATGTTCTCCTTGTCCATTCTCAAAAGGTCCCCACACGGCTCTGGTGCCTGAGGCAAAAAGATATCCTCTGTGTCCAGCAAGTGAGCTGATCTGGCCAAGGCATCTGCACATAGTTGGCTTTCCCTATAAGTATGGGTGATGACTAGGTTCCAATCAGAGAAAATCAAAGCTCCAGTCTCCTGAACAATATCAAATAACGAGTGGGAAGAACCACATTCCATGAATAATAGGTGAAGGGCTTCCGCCGAGTCGGTGAATAACTTGATCTCTCGCAGACCCAGACGTTGGCATATTTGAAGGCCTCTCAGGACTGCTGCGATTTCTGCTCCAGTAATTGATTGAAAGCCCAGTCATCATCATTCCCCATCAGAGTTACGTAAAAGACCGCCACATGTCGCCAACCCCTGCGAATTCCTTGAGCCATCCACATCGCCCCGAACCACTCCTGGTGGCAGTGGTGTCCACCTTGTTTCCTCTTGGTTCATCATTTGCCAAAACTCATGTTTATATCTACCTTGCTCGGTGCCTTTAACCAGATAATAGTAGCATCTTTGAACAATGCTACGATAATGGTCACTAGTTCCTTCAAATGCTCTCTTACATCGGTTCTTCCACAACAACCAGCATACAATTCCAAGGATTTGTTGCCATGGCCATTTTTGCACCATCCTCTTGCCCATGCTTTCTTTGGAGTTTCTGTTGAGCCATACCTGCAAATTTTCATCAAAGAAGAAGACAGAATAATATAGTGGGTTAATTAAACAACACCACACACGCTTCGCTGTATCACAGTCTCTCAAGGCATGTATTAGATTTTCCTCACAACTGCACTCAAAAGGACATATATTTGTGACGTACTGCACTCAAAAAGACTTGGGGTAGCTCCTCCTCGTTTATTTGAGGGATCCAGGATCGCATTAAAATCACCCAACACTAACCAGGCTGAGCTAACTCTATTGGCATAGGAGCAAAGAGACCTCCAGAGTTCCCTCCTCTGGCTCATGTTCGGATGGCCATACACAAAGGAGATCAAAAAAGGAACGTTAGTATTCGGTGGGGTACGTCTACAATGTAGGACTTGCTCAGTTGATCCAATATATTCTATGGCTACCTCACGATCATTCCACAACACCCAGATACCCCCCGCATAACCAGTAGCTTCCACACGCAACCAATTCTCGAAACCCAACTTGCAAACTATCTTGTCAGCTTTCGGTCCACTCGCTCTTGTTTCAAGTAATCCCATAACCTTAATTTGGTATTTCCCTATAATCTCCCTCGTGATTCGTGGGAACGTTTTGCTGTTCGTTCCCCGACAATTCCAAACAGAGATGTTCATGGTCAAACAAAGAAGATAGAAAGAGGGGGGGAAAACACTCATAGGCCTGGTGGATTTTCTTCCCATATTGGGCTTAATGATTGAGTTCGGTCTATGATTCGCAACACGCTTGTCTTGCTCGACCCTGGATCCCCTCTATCCGTCAATGGGGGCCGTACCATTTTATTTGTCAACCCCACTTGGTCTCCTACTCCCTCTCTTAGATTTACTAGGACTTGGTCCTCCTTTCGTACCTCCGTCTTACCTTGGGATTCCTCCTCCATAATATCTCCTTGATCTGTCGGGCTTTGAATAATTACCGACCCTTTACTCCTTATGTCTCTTGCTACTACTATATGGTCTCGATGGCCCATCAGCTTCTTCTCTTGGCCCAATGAAGCCTCCTTCTGTTTTCATGTCTGCATTTTGGACTCTCGTGCCACTACTTGGGCTTTCCCCTGACCCCCCTCTGAGTTTAGTCTGACATTCTCTTTTCCCTTCTGATTTGTCCCCACCTTACTTCTAGAGATATCTCTTTTTTTCTGCTTCATTTGTATCTTTGGGCATCCCGCCTCTTCTCTGGTCAATCTTTCTTCCATCATACACCACAATTGCAGACTCTCCCCCGGACATTCGGCTAGCTTCACCCGATATTTCAAATGGTGCCTCATAATTTTCCCTCTCCCTTTCATCATCTGCAGCTAGTGTAGCAAATCTAGAGGATAGCCCCCTATTAATCTTCCTGCATCTGCCTTAGGTAGGCTTGCTTTTGACTCAGACCTGTCATTTCTATTATCTTTTCTGGGAAAATGTGATTTCATTGGTCTTTAGACTAACATTCATGGACCAAACCTTTCCTCTTTCGTCGGGAGAGAAGTCTCCGGTGACATTCTAGGTGGTGTTGGAGTTGGTTTCTCCGGTATTGGGCTAGATTTCGGATTGGGCTCACTGCACTTTTTCCAGGGCATTCTTCTCTCCCGTGTCCGTATCTTCCACATTCAAAACAGATATGTCTCGACCCTTCATATTTCTACATTGAACAAAGCAGACGTAGATATGATCCTGGGAACCAACCTCTTCTGCAAATCGAGTTCCATGCAAATTCGGGCATATCTCCCCCTTTCAACTTTTGCCTCCTTGTCCTCAATATTTGCTATTGTATTCATATCCACTTTTAACATATTCCCTATTCTGTCTCCTAAACGCCATATAAATCGTTTATTATAACAAAGGAGAGGGATACGAGGAATCCTTACCCAGACCGCAACCCTTCCCAAGGGATTATGGAATGGATCAAAATAAGGAGACCAGCGCTGGACCAAGATGGTATGTTTCGCAATAACCCACGATCCTTCAAATAGGATTCTCTTGTAGTGAATTGCCCATTTTTCTTTACTTCTCAGATGAACCACATAATAGTTGTTTGGTAAATCTATCAACTCAAATTAATTAAACTGCCAGGCTCTAGCCAGATGTTCTTTCAACCTGTAAATATTGAATCTTGCCCCCAGAACTGTTACAATCAACGCATTATTCCATGGCCGGCACCACTCATTGAATTCCTCCTCTGTGATGGGAACCACTGGATAGATCTTCATCAAGCGCTTTAATTCTTCTGACGGTTCTGGAAGTTGCCATGTCTGTTCCAAGATATCTGATATGAGGGGGTCGTCCTCCATGTCCGAGCTACCAAATGCCACACCATTGAAGTCATTTCCTGTAAACCCCAGCAGAGAGTCCTTGTAAGAAAGTTGGGTTCGAGCAGAATTTTGCGTCGCTGTTTCCTCCTCCCTGTTCCTCCTGAGTATCTTATCAGTCATGATATCATCCTCCTTTGTTTCCTTCTTTGACTTCTTTGCTCTCCCCTCCACGTCTTTTTCCGGCATGCTATCCAGTGGGGTCTTCCGAGCTCCAGGTTCTTCCATACGAGCAAGTTGAGAAGGCGCGTTTCCCAAGAGAGAGAAAATCGATTTTGAAAGTTGAAACATCAATTCTCCAAGAGCACCCCCGCACCAGCACAAGCGAGCGCCCGTGCTACTCACCACCATCAATAATATTTTCTCCATTTTTTTATAGACTTTAAATAATTAATTTATGAATAACAAACAGTTTGTTAAAATTAATTAAAAATAATATATTTTTATTTTTAAATATGTCCTTATAATAAGTAAAAAAAAGAAAGAAAATATGTGGAAAAATGTAATATGAGAAAAATAATTAAGAGTAATATTTAAAAAATTATTAAATATTAAAACAAACTCAAATTGAAACTTATAAAATAAATTTTTTTAAAATTTAAAACTTATGAACAGAATAGAAGGAGGACACTACTAGGCTACTAGCTATTACTCACCAGCTGGAAGCAACACTAATTCTCCAAAGTCGAAACTACGAAGCAGAATGATACGTTGCTGAAGTAGATAAACATATACAAGGTCTCAGGTAATCGTTAGTTCTCCGCGCACGGATAGAAGGTGCCGCATGTCATGAGATGCCGAAGGGGCCTCGGTTTCGCAGCATGTGGGAAAGCGCATGCCCCTCCTAGCTCGCCAACACTAAAAGCAAATTAAAGATGCGTTCATTAATAAAGCCGATCGATGATGTGATGGAACCAGTTTCGTCCTTGCTCATTATAACAGTGACAAGCATCAAAACCACTTCTTAGTAACCTACAATGAAATATCTCCCTCTGTGATTCCTGTTTTAACTTGCAATGGGCTCAACGGTAGTTGAGGAAGATCGAGCTAGCAAATATACAATGGAAGTTATTACACGGTGGGTTTTTGAAACAAACTTGAATATTACTCGTCTTCCTTGGCGCTTTAATTTGGAAACCCTAATAACTCAAAGCTTCTTTAATTTCCATTTTATTATTTTCCGACAAGTGTATTCCTCCATCGGGTTCATAATCTAATTTGATGATGAGTGTAAGTACTCGGGTATTCTATTTTCTTCCTTTAAATTTTTATACCTTCAATAAAGTAACTATGGTGCACCGGTTATATCTGCTAATAATTCAATGTTCACATATACAGCGGACACAATTGCTTATTTATGCTTCAGAAACAAGAGACAAAATTACTTCCAAATTTCAAGCACTTGCGCCGAATAGCATCAATTTAGGGGTGTTTGGAACATCCAAAGCTATTTTTATAGGATATTTTTTGTAAATTAAGCAGACTTTTTCACATATTTATTTCTTTTAAAATTATTATTTGGTTTTTATCTAAACATCTCCTTGATCTATTTAATTCAAGTTAGAAAACAAACGATAATTAGTAAATAAGAAATAATTGAAAGCAACGGTGACGATTACACCCTCTGCATGTACTGAGTATACCCTCACGTCTTCTGCAAGAGCTGGTTATAATCTCTTCGCTCCCGATTTGTTTTTTCCCCGCTCTTGAAGGGCAGGGAAAATTTCGTTCATTCAGAAAAGCGCACAGCAGTATTTACAAGGCGTAAAGCTAAAGCCGGGAAGACAAAAAAGCGTGAAGCAACGGTTCAAAAAGTTATGTTACACGAGGAACAAAGCAACGCACAACAGAGACGATATCCCGAAGCATTCACAGAGTGGAAAATGTCAGACGGAGGTCTTCTGGGTTTGGGAAGAATTAATATCATCCAAAATCCAGAGCGTCCGCAAGAAAAGAACAAGACAGGCCCTAGCCAAACAAATTAATTCGTTTCAAACACCATATTGTGAAGCCCGATCGAGAGCTGCGGTAGAAGGGAGCAGAGAATTTTCTTTTATTTATTTAGGTGTTCGTAGGGATTTTGCGAATTAGAGGTAATAAGTTGAGTGATTACGAGGTTCCCATATATTGTACTCCCTTAGTCTCGTTCTGGCGAGGCTTAGATATCATCTGGGAATAAAGTGCATTCAAAAATAATTTTTCCAGATACATTAAACATCTTAAAATATTTTGTAATACATCTAATATTTTAAAATAATTTTTTATATATGTCTAACACTATAAAATATTTTTTAATATGTTTAATACCTCAAAATTTTTTTGAAATATATTCAGTATTTAAAAATACTTTTTTATAATGAATTCAACACTAAAAAAATGCTGCTTCAAACTGCTGAACGCAGCTAAAAATACTCTTGAACACAGGACAGGACGCGACACAGTTAAGGAGGCGGCCAGCGTGAAATGCAGGGAAGGTGGGGGTATGGCCACCTCGTAAAAGCAAGCAAATCCACGTGGTGCGCAGGTGGAGTTCCGTGTTTCTCACAGCCAATAAATTAAAGTGATGGCGCGTACTTCACACTCCCGTTTCCGACCCCCCAATCTTAAGCTCGTTATTTTTTTCCCCCTAAGTGAAAATTCATTTAATTATCCTTATCAAATGTCGATTCAATAATTCATCCATCATGTTTGTTTGGTCGGAGTGGCCACTGCCTTCCAACTTCCATCCAACCACTCTTGCCTGCTCGCCTGCTTCTTTAAGCCGCCTCCTCTAATTGCTTGCATGTATTTGAAAAGAATAAATACATGGATACCTGCTACAGTATTGCTAATTAATAAATCCTTTTCATCTATTTTCTGAGATATCTTTAAAGCCTATTCCTCTAGTGAGAAGTAGCCGAGCCGATCAGATCAGATCAGATGGCCTAATCCCCATGACGTTTCATTTGAACAGTGATGGCCACGACGTGGTATTCCAACAATATGTAGCCATGTACGTATCATTTTGCCAGATTTGTATCCTAATGGCAATTGTCATTACTGATTCATTAGACATGACTCCCTTTCATTTTAATAAAAGATTATTTGAACGTGACTAGCACGCGCAAATTTGGAAAAACCATCCCGTGGTTTTTCCCGGCACCGTGGTGCGAGTGGTTGTGCTTCTTATTCTCAAGAGCGAATGAGCAGAGGATCTGTGGGTGGATTCTAACTTATGGCTCACATTTAAAGGTGGAAAAACAGAGGAAAAAGGGGAACCCAAAAAAAAATATGAAAAAAGAAAAAGGAACGTGGGCATCATTAGCGGTGAGAAGTTGCTCGCCGTTAATTGTTCAATTTCAAGGTAAAGTGGCAGTTCGGCGATCCCTGTAATGCCATGCTCACACTCGCCCCACTTCTGCTGATGGACTGGGCCGAAAAATCTGTGTACGCATTTTCCTCCTCCTCCTCTTTTTCTGCCCCTTCCACCTCTGCTTTGCCAAGATTTTTGCCTTCACCGTTTTTCCTTACTTCTCTTCTCTCTATTTTTTTGTCCGCCATTTCCTAGTGAATAAAGCTACAAGGAATTGCAGTTGAAGGTATCACTGCTCCTATGCCCAAAACGGTAATAGAAATCTAATCCCAACATTCGTTTCTTCTAATCTGATAGTAATCTTGAGGTAAGATGTGCTACTTCAATTATTTCAAGTTGTTTTTTTTTTCCCCCCAAAAACAAAAGAGTTGCCGTATTCGTGGAAATCTATTTCTCTGCATCTGTTTAGCTTATGCCCTTTTTATTTCATTTTCTTTAAAATTCTGCTAAGCTTCATAGGGCTTCTGCACTGGCTGCATGGCCTTTTTTTTGTTTTTAAAAATCCAGCGTGACAATCCAAAAAGCATAGACTAGCCTGATTATTTCGTGCACATTGAAACTCTGATTTGGCTTGTGAGCCTTTTCACCTGAAAAACGTTTTTTCCCCTTCCTCTGTGGCATGTATTGTTCTTGAATATGCAGCTTTTTTGAGCACTTCCAGAGTTCCAGTAAATTCCCAAATTTTCAATTGTACTTCGGGGAATTTGTTGAAGCTGGAATCTGTTTTCGGTGTGTGCGTGTGTGTCTCTGCTTGCCATACTATTTCCTCATTCCTAACTCCCGTTTTTAGTTTATAGTTCTTCACCTGCCCTTTAGGCCAAGAACAAAGTAAAGCCTATCATTAGTCTTCCTAAACTTGTGTCTTTGGGTTAAACATAAATTCGTCAGTTTTACATCGGTGATCAAGCACGATTGGACGCGCGGTTTGCGAATCCATAGTTGGACTGATTTAGTTTGGAACCCACATTTACAGTTCTGATCTGAGGAAGTGCATTTGTTGTGATGATGAAAAGGCCAACATTATTTTGTCTCTTGGATATTACATACAAAAGAAATAATAGGCAAAGTAAAATGATAACTAGCGGGTTTTATTTCAACCCGTGCTAACTGAATAAGCAAACTCAGGACATTTTCCATTTGGATGATCGGTTCTTCTGGTGTGCAAAGAGGTTCCTTCAGTACTCGAGCAAGCCGGACTCTTCAAAAGCACGGGGCTATAATGTAAGGACATTGTTTTCTATGGTCACTTTCATAAATTAAAAGATGTATAAAGAACCCTACATATTAAATACCTTTTATTGTGTTGGATTATGAACCAATATATGGTTGTGATTTTTATTTAATAAGGTATTAGACATCTTTTCAAGGCATCATTCCATGGGCTATATAAACCTCTCACCATCATTTCATTTGCACACAACACAAATACAAACACGCCAAGAGCAAACTCATTGCCTTTGTTTTTGAGTGTACGCAGAGATAGAGTCAAATTAAAAGTGTTTTTGTCTTTGCAAAGGCCATTGTTGTCTTGGCTTGAATTCTAAAAGTGCAATGCATATTTAAGGGCCTTCATTGTATCCTGAAAGAAATTCACCAGTTAACTCAACTTGCATCTTATAAGATAGGAATATGGGGGTGAATTAAGCCTAAAAGAAAATGCTACCCATGTCTTGAAGACATGTAACACTTTCTTCTTAATCTCTTCTTATACTTTTCAGAGAACCATTTCCCCCAATGTGTCTGAAATCTTAAATCAATTTTACAGGGACAAGATTAATCATGATCGCTTGAAGTCTTCTCAAGACGCTGTTAAAGCATCCAAATTCCTTTTTCTTCCTGAAAAACTAGGAGATATATTCTTAGTCTTGATAAGAATTGGCGTACTCGTCTGCCTCATAGCATCTGTTTCACTTGCTCTTCACTCGTCATTTTCTAAACCGGCCGGGTGGTTCCCATTACCAGACCATTTACATGCCTTCCAGAATTCTACAGACATGGATAGTGGACCCACTAACATTTCACATATTTTATTTGGCATTGGTGGTTCGGCTAAGACATGGCATAGCCGTAGCTGTTACAGTAGTCTTTGGTGGAACCCAAACACTTTTAGAGGTTTTGTCTGGCTTGACAAGAAACCTGGCTATGATGATTTGCACCCTGAAATGTTAATCCCATATCAAATCTCGAAGGGCTGGAACCAATTCAAGTACTTGCACTCACAGTCCGCAGTTAGGATAGCTCGGATAGTTTATGAAAGCTTTAAACTTGGATTGCCAAATGTGAGGTGGTTCGTAATGGGAGATGACGATACAGTGTTTTTCACAGAGAACTTAGTTACAGTGTTAGGAAAATATGATCATAATCAAATGTATTATATTGGTGGCAATTCTGAGAGTGTGGAACAAGATGTGATGCATGCATATGACATGGCTTTTGGTGGTGGGGGGTTTGCAATTAGTTATGCATTAGCGGCTCAACTAGCAAAAATATTGGATGGTTGTCTAAACAGATACTACTATTTCTATGGTTCTGATCAAAGGATCTGGGCTTGTGTGAGCGAAATTGGTGTGCCTCTCACAAAGGAAAGGGGGTTCCATCAGGTACACTCTATCTCCACTTTTTGCCTATGTATTAATTGGCACGCATACACGCGCATATAGTTTGAACCCCCCCCCCCCAAAAAAAAAAGAATATTATGTTTTAATTTTTAATTTGATAAGTTGGAATGGTTTCTTTATGCCTCCATGTTGAGATCGGTAGAGATGCAAGTCAGAGGTGAAATTTATGTAAGCACTCTCGCTGAGAGAATGAAGAGGACTATGCAATGGCTTACCTTTTTATGCTTTATCATTAGCCTTTCCCCCCATGCAAAATCTTTTGGAAGCAGGAAAGTTCGAGAGAAAATATTTATCTATGTTTGGACCATTAGGAATGTTCTTACACTGCTAGCTCTATGCCTTGGAGCAACTTTAGATGAGGATGTTATGATAGGTAGTTATAATAAATTACTAAGTTGAAGTGATGAAGCACTGAGGATGTTCTGTTGCATGCTGAAAAACAGAACCAGCAAGATTGTAGCTGGCATGGTTGAAATACGAAAATGCTCTTAAATGTCTTGTAAAAACTTTGTTTCTCATGGAGTAGTTGCACAAAGCTTTGTTTAAGAAGTGAATAGTATATTCTTCATTATGAAGGTACTAAATTTGAAGTTCTATGTGCTTCTTTGTGCTTGAAATTGGGATCATTATGGAAAGCAGGGGCCCGCCTGCTCAATGGACCATGCATTTGTTTAGTGCTTAATTATTGGCGCTAATGAACTAATATGTATCACCTTTCCTCATATTGGATCCAGTCAGTGAAAGGTTAAAACAGGATTACTCACTATGCGAAGGTTGGTTGTCATGATACTGAATAGTACATTTCATGCTCACTATATATGCCTGGCGGCTAGGTCAAGGACAATGTTTCTTTTCCATCGTCCCTGTTACTTTGGAAATAGGTTTCTGAGATATCTTTTGGTTGCTGCTTGTGTGCATCTACAAGAAATTAACTTTGTTGCCTTATCTTTTTCCTTTCAGCTTGACATAAGAGGGGACCCGTATGGCCTTTTAGCAGCACACCCGATGGCACCACTAGTGTCTCTTCACCACCTTGACTCCTTAAGTCCATTGTTTCCCAACCGGACTCGGAGAGATTCATTGGAGAAACTCATTCGGGCATACCGCATTGACCCGGCTCGGATGCTACAGCAAATTTTTTGCTATGATCATAAACGAAAATGGTCAATATCCATTTCGTGGGGTTACACGGTACAAATTTACCCAACAATGTTGACCCCTAAGGATTTGCAGACACCATTACAGACGTTTCGGACATGGCGAAGTTGGAGTGAGGGTCCCTTCACTTTCAACACTCGACCAATGAGCTCTGACCCATGCCAAGAGCCAATTAGGTTTTTCCTGGATCAGATTGAAGAGGTTGGTAGAAGTGGGAGTTTCGCTAGCTATAAGAGATTTGCAGACAAGGACCGCAAGTGCTTGAAACCAAATAAGGATAATCTGGAAGTTCAGAGAATCAGAGTTTCTGCCTTGAAGCTGGACCCAGAATATTGGAAAAATGTACACATCTCGCTCTCTCGCTCGCTCACACGCACACAAAACACGCCCTTAAAACCTCCATCACTTCCACTTGTAGATCATCATCAAGTTATTCATAATGCTGTCAGTAATATATTTGTTTGACTGTTAAACTCTTCATATCTTTTTTGGTTTGTCACGCGTTTAAACTAAGGATGGTGTTTTTGCTGTATTGAAGCAGGCTCCAAGAAGGCAGTGCTGTCAAATTATGGATGGTGGAAGCGTAAAGGATGATGGTATGAGAATCAGGATAAGGAAGTGCAGGCCTCGAGAGATAATTACTTTTTAAGGATCCTCTGCTTTTTTCTGGTGGGTATCGTAAAAAGATCATTGTGATCTCGTTCCTGTAGGCCTGCCACCGACATCTTCTTCTATGTAAATACTAACTACGTAATTCTTCTTAAAATAATAATTGCGTCTGCGCTATTTATTTTGTGAAATAAGGAAGAATCCCATGATGTGCATGTCCGCAAAACTGTGAACCGCAAAAAGGATAAAAAAAAAAGAAAAAAGAAATACGTCCTCCGTTCCTTATCATGAAGGAATACATAATAATTTTACATAAATTAATAACATTAATTAAAATTAGTTATTTTCTGTAAGATATCAAAATTATCTATAGTAAAAATTATAAGCTACGGAAGTTTGGTTGATTATTGAAAATTCTAATTAGTTATGGGTTGAAGGTAGAAAAATTAGTGCTCTAATCAGAACATAGTGCTTTAATCAGAACATGTTTTATTATGAAACATGTTGCCTTATAAAAAGAACTAGAAGGAGTGCGGTTATAAAAATTTGTTCAGCATGTGTATTTGAATAATGAAATAAAAATTTTAAAATATGAGCTCAAAATCAAGATATCTCTAATTTTGAAAAAATAATTTTGCATGAATAAAAAAAATTAAAATAAAAGAAAGGGGAGTCAAAAGAAGACATCCGCGGATTTCATCTGCTAGTCAATGCCCGATTCATGAATGTGAGAAAATCAGAGTCAACAGCAGCCGATCGAATCGGTCTTACACCCGTCAAAACTCCTCCCTCCTTCCTAGCCAACGTCATTCCCCCCCCCCCCCCAATTTGAACTTATGTTTCTAAGCTATTATTTATATATATATTTGTACATAATAAGTCTTGAAAAAGGAAGAAAAATTAGCAAATAATAAGAAATATGTTTGTGTAAATTCTAAGATCAGAAATTTTAAATGATGTACATACATGGGATGAAAATTATGATGCGTTGACAATTCTTGCTAAACTATTTGGACTATTGGACCGGCTACTGAATCAGCAGACAATGATTCACAAGTTAATGGGAGGACCGTGTCGAATCGCTCATGATTAATTTAATACATTATACTAACTTCTGTTCTTAATATAAAAACTAATTGACTAATTTGAATAGATTAAAAAAATAAATTAAGTTAGTTATTTATAATAAATAGGTGTTGTTTTTCCTAAAATATCCTTACTAATCAAGTTTATTGGCTATAATTACCATTACCATAAGGACTACATTGGAAAAAAAATGAATAAATATGATAAATAAAGTAAATTGGGTTTTATATGTAAGACCTAAATAAAAATCAAACAATTTTATATTAAGGACCAGAGGTAGTATATTACTATCATATTTCATATATTCACAACCTCTCTTACTCTTCTCCATAGAGGTAATATTTTATAAGAAGAGTTACAACTTTATCCCTGATCTTAGTTTTAAGAGTAATTTTATTAATTTTTTCTTTGATCTTAAATCAGACTAAAATCAAGTCAAATTTTAAAAATTAGAATCAAAATCAAAAAGAGATAAAATTTCAGAGACTAAAAACGTTATTGGTCCATTAAATTTATTACTATATAAAAATTGGAAGGCAGGAAAGTGAGAGATCGCTTTCTCTTCAATTTATCAAAATGTTATTATTGGGCTTCAAAATATAATTTAAGAAAAATTAATAAATATTTTACAGCTTATAAACATAATTTATTTTTTTAAAAAAATTCTTGACTGGTTCTCGATTCACCGTTTTACAAGTTTTTTGCCAGTTTGACTATATCGAAAAGTAGGCCAATTCATATTTTAAAGTATTGATAAATTGAAGTTCAGATTTTTGACAACTTATTCTTTTAATATTTGAAATTTGAAATTTTGTCCTTTCAGTGATTGTTGAGTATTGACAACTTGCTTTTTAAATTATTGATAAATTGTAGTTTGGATTTTGTCAAGGTTGTTTATGTGGTTTTTGGATATTACGAAATTGTTCTTTGAATATTGACAAATTGTTTTTAAAATTTTAATAACTTTATTATAGGGAATTAACAACAATTATTTCAAAATTAAAAAATTTTATTAAAAAAGATCTTTGAAACTAAATTTACAATATATTTTTGTTGCCAACAAATTTACAATATATATGTGCACGTATATTATTCTGCTATAATAATTAGAAGGCAACCTCAGCTCAATGGCCGCTCGTCTAGATAAGAATTTCATATTCTTTTGGACCTAAAATGAGATTCTGCCAAAAATAATGTTTTATTTAATAATAAATTAAAACAATAGCTCCTTCTAAATTAATTTTATCTCATGGAAAAATGTAATGTATTTCTTATCAACAAAAGCTAGCACTCATTTGTAATGGCCATCACTGAATGGGGAATGATGGAGTTGCCAGTGCTTAATATCCGCTCTAACGAAATTAATTTAACTCTCAAATTGCATAATTATGCAATCAGAGAAAGAATGACATTAAAAACATCAAAATCTGCATCTAATTCATTTGTTCTCTTCATAATTCATTCCTTTTCTTTTACGAATAATGAAACTGCAAGGCCTAAATATCAGAGGATGAGCAAATTAATTTAACCCTGAAATTACGTAGTTATGCATTCTGAGAAGGAAAAGACATAAAAACATCAAAATCTGAATCTAATTTGTTCTCTTTGTAACTCATTCCTTTTCTTTTATCTCTGCTCGATATGATTATATTGTGTCATTTATGTATTAAGAGAATTCCATACTGAATACTGATAGTTGAACCAACTCGTGAGATATCATTGTGAAGCTCAAAGGAAGAAAATCAAATGAATGAAATCTGCAAGTCCTTGGGTATTCAAATCTATACTTGTGATACTTCGAATACATTTGTTGTTTGCATCATACCGCTTAAAATACATCTCGCATCTAAAGAGAAGAAACTCAAGTTCTGTACAATTTAGCAAAGAGAATAATTCTAGAAATTTGCAGTTCACTGGCCCAGGGTGGACCCATTGGGACAAGAGGGGTTCTCTATAAGCACCTTACAACCAGTGAGCGTTCTAATGGTTCTCAAGCTACAGCACATATATTCCATCAAAAATTACACCACTACCTAGCATCCTGTGGCAAATAAGAGTAGGAGAGAATGCCAAGCCCAACACCCTACCAACAAATCTGTTCTACCGCATTCTGCATAATCAACATGAGATTCAGCAATACCAAACTCTAACCAGAAGTCTGATCTATCATATTTTGCATCATTAATCTGAGAACCCAGACACCCTCCAAGAAGAAAACTATGAAGGGCTGAGATCATGGTTTCATAGGAACATATAGCAAAACCAAATTCAAGTAACCACAGCACTGCAACAATAATTAACCAATACCAGCACCATCTTGACCAGTGGTTTCTTTAGAAGGTATGGAAACATTTTCACCAGGCCTCAAATCTCCAGCTGTTTCACCCTTTCTGGGCTGCAAATGCTCTGAATCCTGCTCAGGGAACACCTCAGACTGTAAAGTTGGATCAATATTATTCACGTGCTGCCATGTCAGTTCCCACAAACTATTGCCACTCAAGACACTGCTTTGCACTAGTAAGCCCCCTGATTTCATAACAAGCAAAGTATTTTTGAGAAGCTCAGGCACAAGTTCTTGAAGCTTCTCGCTTCTCCTTCCCCTAATTTTTACCTTCACATATTTTTCCATCCGGCCAAGTACAGCCAACCACAGCTTGGTGAAGGCAGTTGACTGTGATAAATCTCGGAATAACTGGAGGAAAACCTTAGACAATAGCTTCAAGGCAAGAATAAGCGTGCCTTCCATGTTCCTGTAGTCCTTTTGGGACTGTGCCTGTGCAATTTCAAGCAGGTCATCAAGAACAGGGAAGATCACTAGATCAAAACATTGTAACCACAGACCATGAGTAAGATCAATGTCAACAGCTCCACTCAAGCATTTCTGCAAAGAAAATAAAGCATGATTTCTAACTTCCTCTCTCTGCTCTAAGCATAATTTTTTCAGTCCCTGGACCAGCCTCAGCCACATGTCCCCAATATCCTGCAACATCTTTGACACTTGCTCTTCCTGCATTGCTTGTTTAGCATCACCGGTCCACTTTGCTAAACAATTGACAGAAGCTGACATAAGATCAAGGGCCCGTATAGATCTCTCAGACTGTCCAACACGTGATTCAGCAAACTGCCTGGCAGCATCTACGCATAGAACATAATTAGCAGGAAGCAAATGGGCTCCGTCAGACATTATGAACAATAATGCATCAAACCCAGCCTCAGATGCTTCTGGATGCCTGGCTGTGATGGATAGGAGTGATGCAATTGTACGCCATCCTAACTGAGATCTGATATGAGAAGCGTTTGACTTCACAAGGCGACCAACTTCCTGAGTAATCTGCTCACAGTAGGCATCAGCAACCCGAGCATCAAGCTTCAAGACAAGTTGCAATGACCTCAGGAGTTCATCAGCAATATTCTCTTTGTATGGAAGCAATCGCTGGCAAATCCTTAGAAGTCCAAAAACTGCCTTCTCAACCAGTGCGCAAGGCATCACACTCGACTGTACAATGGCTGATATGTGCTCATAAACACCTTGCCAAAGAAGTCCAATTCTATCCCTGTTATTCAGAGTGATAGCAACCAATAAATCCAGGCAGAAAACTGCAGTATCTTCATCATCAGATGTGTTGTTCCCTTTCTGAGGTCTCCCTGTAGCACTAATGAGAGCTTTTGTGAGTTGCAACAGAGATTCAGCTTGTAGAAATTTACTCTCAGTGAATATGCTATCAATGTGACATTTCTGGATTGTCTCTAGGCTATGCTGATGAGCAATAAGTTGCTCTTCAGTTGGTTCTGATTTCGGCTCTTCAGCCCCAAGATATAACAGTTGACTAAACCTGCTCATCAATCCTGAGGATCTCTTTGGTGTGCTAGATGGCAGGTGAGTTGACAATAAAGAATTTGCATTAGGCTTTGCAAGCCCCATTTCTGCAGAAAGCTCCTCTGCTGCATCACTAGCCATATGTGCAGGAAGAAGGCCTAACTTGTGCAGCCGTAAGATACAATCAAGAATATTCCGCCATCCAGTACGAACAAAATCACCATACCTGTTTGCAATGGTAAAAACTGTCTCAGTTGCCATTCTTGCTTTAATGTCGTCTCCAAAGGCCAGGACTGGTTCATCATCCAATGATGGATCCAGGATAGTGATGAACTTACAGAGAGACACAACCAGATTATCCAGTACATTGTCAAGATGATAGTAAGCTGAAATCTTGGCAACAATTAAAAATCCATCCTTACACGTCTGGTACACCTCTTCATGTTCAGCATTATCAAATACCACAGAAAGGGCAGCAATTGTTGGGCCAGATAATATAGCAAACATGTCATGATCAAGATATGATCTTGAATCAGACATAATGAATGGTGCAGTTTTTCTTGACTTTTGCATTAGATAAATCCAACGGCTTGGGGTCATTTCAGGAAATCCAACACCTTGTTCAGGGGTTGTGCGAATCTCATTCTTACAAATTGCATGGTAAAGATCAGATAGGAATTCTCGGGGTAGATCATTACCACCATTTATTCGCCTATTATTCCGAATAAAATCCTCTTCTGTCATCTTCTTTTTGACTTGTACATTGTGTTGATCTGTATTGAGCATAATGATTGAATATGATAACAAGAGAGCAGCATCCTTGTTAGCAAGGATCTGTGGCGACTGCTCATAATATCTCTCAGAGAAAGCTTCGAGAACTCTTTGTATTTTCTGTGATTCTCCAGGCAGTCTGAAAGTTTCCAAAAATAGACGCAGGGCATTGTCTAAAGTCATGTCTTCGAAATCAAATGTTCTAGCAAATTCGTGAAGAACCTGAACACAGAATTCATCATGATTTCCCAGAAAATCACCGATGAGATTCTTGTCTAGCCCAGTGGTGTATCTGAAAAAGCAAGCAACACTCTGAGGATCAAGTTTGTCCGGTAAAAGCTTTGTTCCTTGGAGAAACTCTAAGCCTTTCTTAGGATCACGATTAAAGTGGTCAGCTCCTATCATCAATTTTCTCTTCAAGTACTTTCTTCGGCGGACAAAAGAAACCCAATGGTTAGGATTACTGAAATTGTCACACTTCTCTGTCCAGAATGGAGTATACTCTTTAAGATTCAACTGAGAACTTTCTAAACTAAGAGACCCAATGCCTATTCTTTCGGCCATTCCCTGCATAACAGCAATAAGACCATCCAAAGCAAGAATATGCATGGAAGATAGTGGAGTGTTTACAGGAAATGCAGTTTTTGACAACAAATTAGCTATATCTTCAAAGACATTACTGCAAGTAATGTCACAGTCAAAGTTAGCATACATCTCCATCGTGAATGATTTTTGCCTGCAGAAGTCAACAAGGGCCTCCAAGACAACCTCCTGCTGCTGATATGAAGCTCCATATCTGCTTTGCGCAAGCCTTAAAATGACACAAGAAAAGAAAGCTTCTAGTTGTAATTTGAGTTCAGTTCGAAGATGGTGATACAGGTTGAGAACAATGCTGCACACCATTGAAAGTACCAGGGGACTCATTGACAAACCAAATTGCATTAGATTACGAAATAACTCATCCTGAATCAGGCTCAGCAATCTGGGATGATGACAGAAGGAATGCCCTCCCAATTCTATGGCTGAATTTATCAAGGTTAAGGCAAAAAGTGGCACATCCTCATCAAATGCTATTGTGTTTGATCTAGGACTCATTCCCATATGCTCAACAACATTTAACAATGAACATAAGAAGTGAAATATCTCCACCATGCAGGGAACCCCATACCGCTCAGACATGGGATGCAATTCATGCAGAACAGTCTCCTTGCCACCGGTAGCAATAGTTGGGTTTTCATCAGCATTGGAAGTAATGCAGGCAGATAATGATTGGTTATCATTTGCAGCATTAAAGTTCCCATTTCTCAATTGCCTAGTCTGCAAAATATATAAAAAGATATTCACACTTTTGCATGTCCTAACCTTCTAACTTAAGTTTTTGCACTAGGTAAACCTTTTATTCCGGCATGACAACTGGCACATTCTCTTTAATACGTATGCAAATTTATCTTTCTTAGTGTTTGTAATAAATCCACAAAGACAAGCATTACCCCTAAATTTCAATTATGGAGCTAGTGCAGATTCTTTCCTTTTATTTTATTGGAGGAGGGAGAAAGGAAGTTAGAGAGGGGAGGTCTAAATTCACATTAGCGATGTCAAATTTTTGTGAGAACAACATTTTTAATTAAACAAGATAAATATCATTAGCAGTATGACAAAAGTGATTGGCCAAAACAGTAAGCAAAGAATTAAAAAAGTCCAGGAAGTTTTCCACTTAAATGGTTTATTATTTAGTAGGCTAAGACTAATAAATGATAGAAAATCAACAGTTATAGCAAGTATGAGACCCTCCCCCTGGCTATTCTTTCTACTCCGCAGAAACTGGTTATTCTTTCATGCTAACACATGAAAGCAGCAACCATTGTAACCAAAAGGGACCAGAGAACTGTTAAGCTGATACCTCTTGAGTCATAGCTGTGCTCCCATTAAGCAATGCATGGTCTGTGCTGCCAACATCTTGAAGATGAGAGAAAATACACCTAACAAGTTCATGCATTGTGTAGCGTGCTATTCGCTGCAACAACTCGCCTTTGGTTCCTGCTTGATGAACTATACGGAAACAAGTATTCACTATGGTGCAAATATGCTGGTTGCTCAGCACTACTGATGCTTTGCTTTTCACACATGCCAGGAGAACTTGTAGTATCTTCATTAATACCACTTCTTCTGATGCAGGATCAGTCACCTCAAACCTGCAACTTGTAACAGCATCAACCACCAAGTGCATGGTATCCCCAACATTGACAGTGTTTTGATCAATCACATCCAGGGTTAATATCTTGTAAACAGATGACAAAGCAACACCAGTAATTGGTGCACCAGTTTCATCTGATCGAATTACATCCAGGAAAGGCTGGAGATACAAGGCAGGGTTGATGGCATGCCACTGATTCCGCCACATAAAGATTTGCCTCCTCAATACCTTCAAAGACTGAACAAGAGAGTGCTCCAACTGATTGTCATCCGACATGTAATGGACCCCCCATCTAACATTTCTTCTCATGACCGCCAAAACAGCACCAATTTCTGCATTGATCATGCATGCTACAGTAGTTCTATTAGGATATCCAGCATCATATTGTTTAGGTTCCTCCTCTATTGCACTGATAGCAGCTTGAGCTTGCAACTTTAAATGCCCCATTTTGACAAACAGATCGGGCTGACATTTACCAACAAAAAGTTCATATGAAATCAATCATCAGGAAGAACATGGCTGGAAAAACTAAAAACCAATAAAATGCAATTGAAGCTTCCTCATATTAATAACTTTAATGAAGGAGTAAAAATAAACATTCAACTTGAATACAGTCAAAAACATGAAAAGGATAAACTACAACTCAGAATTAAGAAAACAGCATATAAACGTTGAATACAATGGTACAACAGCATATAAACAATAAACACACATAACCATGCATGAGTATACATGGGAAGATAAGCCTATTCCAAATTTGTACACACATAACACAAGTGATACCAGATTCATCATTGACGCCTTGGAAATTTTACGTAAGTCCAACTACATGTAAATATGTAAAGTAACAAGACTATGCATTTTCTGTTCAGTAGCTATATTACAACTTTCAAGCCCATCACATTCCAGCCATCTCGAATGAGCTTTTCTTGAGGTTATTAACCCATTGTCATTCTCCCACAATCCAGCACCCAAAAGAAAATATAAATATGGGCACATCAAATTAGTAACATATGAGTAAAAGTAATTAGTTGTTAAGAGTCTAGTACAATCTATTGTAATATTGTTTTTTATACCTTAATTAGTAATATTGATCATTTTTAATACAAAAGAAGTACCATGAGTAGCCAGGGACACTGCTACTTTAGCGTAATAAAGTTGCCAAAAATTGGGGCCATATATATATATATATATATATATATATCCTGTGACTAGAATTCCTATTCAAGGAAAATTAGCATGATTTGAATTATACCACGATCTCTGTCACCCTTGATCCAGAGAGTTAAATTGCTAAACAGCATTTTCATGCCTTGCCCTTAACGTTGACACAAAATGTCTTTGCCACAGAAGTCATCAATGGCTAAGAATAAAAATAAATACTCCTCCGGTCATAAATATAAGACGAGGAGTATCATTTTTCACATCAAGCAAGCTTAGCCTCCACCATCAGGCAAAACCCAGCTTTTCCATTACTATGTTTGTTATAGCGTCGAATCAAAAAGGGAGGATTTAAGCTGGACAATCACTGATGTAGATTTTGGATATCAAATGAAACTGCTCAATAACCACTGCAAATCCGATAGGCTGAAAATCATTTAAAAGCTCATTTTCTGACCATTAAATGGCATTGGAGAAGGAATTTGCACATTCGAAAAATAGACATAGGCGGACCTATATTACAAACAGTCAAGGCAGATGCCCGGAGTGATACCTTTCAAATATGGATAGCTGATATATCCTTTTATTTTTTATTTTTTATTTTTTTTTGGGCCAGAGGGATGAGAAATTAACTCAAGCTTTTCAATTTTAGACCCAACTCGAGCCAAGTAATTAACCAGATCATGCATCACAAATACCTTGAGAATTTTCTAAATAGATGATAATATACAGATTAATAAACAGAATGCCAATACACAACAAATCCAACATTGCACAACTAAACAATCGAAAGCAAATGAGTAGCTGGAAATCAAAATGAAGAAGGCAGAAGTGTAATAGCCGATTCCACACCGCTGGAGCAAAAGCTAGCAAGAAAAGTTTTCTTCTAAAAAAAAAATTGTGTAAGCTCAATCTTTATTCAGAAGCGTCAATGTTCAAACGATTACACGACCGGATTTAGAGCCAAATTAAAACTAGAATTTTAAAATGGAGCAAGAAACGGTGCGACGGCCTCCAGCATAAGGTTGAAAACCACGGAGGGAGCAGATGCCGCGGGGAATAAATTCAAATCTAGATTCAAACCAATCAATCTCACCGGATTTTGGGAGTCAAAAAAGCCCTAGGTTTCTAACATTCTTCAATATTTGCCCGAGAACAACCACGCAGGGCTGAGAACGGAGGACAGTGTCCAACGGCGAGCTCGACCAAGCGGGGAATGCGTGTTCGTCGACGAAGAAAAAATGGATCTCTCCTTCCAGCCGGACAAGAGGGGTTATAATAGTTTATGATTAATTACAGGGAGAATCAGGCCATCCCAAATAATAAAATTTATTGCTAAAAGTATTATTCTCTTTTTAATGTTTTTATATTTTTTATAAGAATAATTCTTCCGTTAAGTTTTTTATATTTATTATGTAAAATTTTTTAATTACATGTAACCATATTTCTCATTTTTAAAATATTAATATTTAATTATAATTATAAATTTATATTAAATAAATAAAAAATAATAGCCATGTGTAATTTAAGAACTTAACATAATAGATATAAACACGTTAACCCTAGATCTTTTTTATGGACAATGTTTATATCAAGTTATTTATATATATTATGTTAAGTTCTTTAATCATATATAATCATGTCGTATTTTTAAAATATTAATATTTAATTATAAATTTATATTAATAATTAAAAAAAAAAAGAAACATGATTACTTGTGATCAGAAAATTTAACACAATTCACGCATTTCATCTGCCTCTCCGTCCAGTATTGGAGCCTCCTGGTCTTCGGGGGCCAAATCACGTTCATGATGCGACACAGTAATCAAAGGCTTGGACATAAGAAATGAGAAATAAGTTCAGATTAATTCCAATTGATTCAACTCAACATAGCCCATAAATTGTACATGTCTATGGGAGCATTTGGTTTATCCCAAAAAAATATTTTAAAAATGTGTTTTTACTTTTCTCACATATATTATAAAATCATTTTTAAAATTATTGTTTGGCTTTTACCAAAACACCCCTCACAACTTACCCAGAAAAAAAGGCCCCAAAAAAAACACATAGAGAGACGATAATAACATGAGAAGTCGAAAAATTATGCAAAAATATAATTAAACTACTGTAGGTGAAGAAAAAGCAAAATTCCTCTCTTGCTTGGAGTGGAGTCTTTGATGTGTGGCAGAAATTTAAAACTGTAGTAAGAAAAAAGACTGGGAATGGTACTTCTTCCTACCTCTGGCATGAAAACTAGTCTGAGATGAATGTCCTCCTTGTTAACCTTGTCCCAGGCTATGAAGATTTCATTGATAAATATGAAAGGATGGCGGATTATGTTAATAGACAGGGATGTTGGGATGCTGCAAAATTACCTCTTTAGTTTCCTCAATCTGTGATTACCAATTTTCTGACCGTTTACCAATTCCAATTTACAGGTACACAGAGACCGGTGGATAAGTTTTGGAGTCACTTATAATGATGGCATATACCGGAGAAGATGAAGACTTTTATGTGGCTGCTCTACCACAAACGAGTATGCAGTTCAAATCTTATAGCAAGACGAGGTATAACAGATTGAAATTGTTGCCTGTTTGGTTTTGCATAGGTGGAAGACTCAGTGCGTATGATTAGGGACTATGCAAACGCAACAAATCCATGGAAATCTACTGTCTATCTAGAGATGTGGCCCAACTTTGCACCTTTTCAGGGAATGGGACGGCTGAAATGGAACTTGATGGCCGATGCAGGACAACAGTATGCCAAAAAGGTTCATTGGGTGAGACTTTTTGAATATATTTGCTAGGATATTTGGGTAGATTGCTGTGACAAACTTTTCAATTCAACCACTATAGGAAGGACAGGTAGTGTTCACGACAGTTTTTTCAGAACTGGGACTTTCTGGCAAGGAAGACTCTTTAGTTCTTTACAGGGAGATTGAAAACAACGAAACAGTCAAGATGAGTACAAAATGATTACATCATTTTAGAAGTGGATGGATTGGTCATAAGAGATAGTAGAAGTGGACGTGGGGTGTAATCAGGGGTGCTGCAAGCAAGTGGATCCCACTGATGATTGCTGAGCTACTGTGCATTTTAAATGGCCTTAATCCTTGCTGGTCCAAGGGATACAGGAAAATTGATCTTTACAGTGATTGTATTAAAACTATTAGTATTATTTTGAGGGGCTGTGATGATAACCACCCTTTAGGAACATTATTGATGACATTAGGCTTTTGTCATAGAAAGACTGGCAAGTAAACATATATCAGGTAAATAGGAAAAAATTTAAACTGGCTGATAAGAAAACAAGATTATTTCATAGTCTAAAAAATAAGTGCTGTATCTTTCATCGACCACCACCTCTTGTACACTGATGAACGAAGGTAGATTTTTTCTCTTGATTTTCTTGTCTTGTAATTGTTGACATTCAGGTTTTACTCAAATAACAAAAAAATCCAATGCTCCTTTCGCTCGTAAGGCGGGACTCAGACCAGGGATTTTGTTTTTTCTTTTGGGGGGTTTGCCAATCAGACCAGTGGAGTTACGGAATGGAATCTTCGACTACGTAGGCCAGAAGAGACGAACGGATGAGGGATTATGGGATTTGGCACTGGACGGTTTGGATTAGCCAAAATATTTGAACGGGTCAGATTTTATTATACTACTTCCGGTCTTTGATATAAAACCCCATTTGACTTTTAGTTTAGTCCTAATTATAAGACCCCAATCTATTCTGTCTCTCATATTTATGCATTTTTTTCCAAGATAATCCTTGTAATAATGATAGTTCTATCCAATACACTTAATTAGTAAGGATATTTTAGGAATGACAACACTTATTTATTACAAATAACTAACTTAACTTACTTTCTTAATCTCCTCAAATTAGTCAACTGAGTCTTATAATTAGGACCGGATGTAGTATTAAATAAAGTGTTAATACAAACCCCAGTTCTTTAAATTTACTTTTATTTTGGTTTTTGTCTCTCAAATTTTAAATCATGGGTTTTGATTCCTCAAATTTCTTTTTATTTCAAATATTGGTTCCTGTAATATAATAAAACTTGAACCATTTTGCCTCTTGATGAACCAAAACTTATAGTTTGAAATTTGAGAGACCAAAACCAAAATGAGGATAAATTTGAGATACCAAAAATTACGTAACCCTCAAATAAAACTAAGGGTCTGTTGCATCTCGATGCAAGAGTGCACGCAAACGTTCATACATGACACATATTTCTACTTTTCAAAATATTTATATCTAATTGCATTACAAAACATAATTTCTTATGAGCTATGGTGTATCCAATATCTCGAAATATTTTTTTCGAGTACATCAAGTGCCCTCAAATATTTTGTGATGCATTTAACGCTCTGAAATATCTTTTTTATGTGCATCAAGTACCTTAAAAAAAAAAATTTGGCATATAACACCATAAAGTATTTTTTTTAGATGCTTCTAGTACTCAAAAATATTTTTTGGTACAGGAAGCACTAAGGCAAAAAAATATTTTAAGGTGTTGGATGTACCTAAAGATATTTCAGGAGTTGGATGCACCTAAAAAATATCTTAAAATGCTGGATACATTATAAAATATTTCGGATTACTGAATGTACCTCTCTTAACCCTTTTCTTATTGATGGTTACAGAGATTGAAAATAAAATTAAACACATCAAAAGGAGAGCATTTCGACGTTATGATTTTCAGAATATATGATTTTATTTGTATTAATCAAACTAATTTAAAAGACTTGAGCAAGATACTAAAATGATTTTCTCATTTGGTAAGCATAATCTCTTCACTCGTTCTTTACTCGTCGAGTTGTTTTGAATCTTCTAGTTTGCATGGTATAATTGAGAAATTCTTAGATACTCTGAGAGTGCCACCTCACATAAACTCTGACCAATAAAAATGCAACACTTAAACTGATTTTCATCCAAGCTGTCACCTTTCTTTTCGAAACTAGCATCACACTCCCTGGAACCTACGCCCAGGCCCTTGACATTCAAGCACTCCTGCACTCCTTCACCCTCTCTCCTCCAACATTTTTAACTTTTACTTTATTTTCGGTGCAAATTGGGTTTTAACTTTTAAGTTCTATACTTCCACTTCTTTCCAATTTTTTTATTTCAAGATTCTTAATTTCTGATTAACAAAAATTATATAATAATTTTAGCTGTTACAAAAGTTCAATCGCTTACCATTTAAATATGTTATAATTTATCTTGTATTATATAAAAATTATATTTTTATTTAAATATTTAACTTTTATTAAATTAAATTTGAGTTTCATCATATTTAGATGAAAAAAGTCTATCCGTTTTTATTTACAAGTTAATTTTTCGTAAAAAAATTTCAATTTAATTAAATGAATGATCTAAAGCATCCCCACTCCATCTAATCATCATAGGTAAAATTCAGATGAATTTAGAAAATTGACCTAGGAGGGCAGTAACACTTTTTTAATTCTGTTTACAAGATAGAAATAAAATATTTTTTTATCCTATTTATAAATCATATTATTAAAATTTTTCATATAAATGAAAAATTCTATTCTTTATTTATTATTATGTAGGTTTTTTTCTTTAGATAGAATGTATATTATTTGGAGAAAATCCCACAAAAAGAATATTAAATAATTAATATTAATTAGGAATTAAGAATTTTGGTATAAAAAAATGGAAAGAAATGAGGAGGGGGGAACGCGTAGAAACCGAGGGTAGGGAGGGTGAAGGGGTATGGGGTGCTTCACGCCTCTCTGCCAGCGCGTCGGTCTAGAAAAACGTGATGCCAGTGTCAAAAAAGAAGCTGACAGCTTGGATTCAAATTAGCCCAGGTGTTGTATTTTCATTGATCAGAGTTTACATGAGTTGGCACTCCCAGAGTATGTAAGAATTTCTCGGTATAATTGGCATGGAGAGGGAGGTTTGGTACTTCTCCGGTCCTAAACATAACCTTATTTTATAAAAATAAGTGTTATGTTTAGAATAGAATGAAGTGAGAATGATGAGCAAAACTTAACATCCAAATTTTTTTGTAACTCCTTCCTAAATACTATTCCTGATCCTTAATATAAGACTTTATTTGATTTTTATTTTGATTATAAATATAAGATCCTAATCCATTTTGTCTCTTATATTTATATTTTTTTAAGATAGTGTTTTTAATAATGCTAATTCTAGGCAATATATCTGATTAGCAAAGATATTTTAAGAAATATAACACTTATGTATAACAAATAACTAACCTAACTTGTTTCTTTAATCTCTTCAAATTAGTCAATTAACTCTTATATTTAAGATTGAGATTGTATATATAAAATAAAAGATATATTTGAGAAATTATATGTATAATAACTAATATGACATAAATACTTATTAGTCAAATCCATCCAAAGATGATTCTGTGAGAAACTTCAACTACATGGAAAATTTAACTTTTTTATTGACCTTTTTTAATTTTAAGTCTTCACATTTTTCAAGACATGCTTCTCCGTTTGAAAAGGCACCACTTCACATTTTTTTATCATTTTTTTATGGGAAAACTAATCTAGCCGTCCTCATAGTTTTATTAGACTTTGAATTAGGTCCCTCAAGTTATTTTTCATTTTATTGAATCCTCCTATTTCACTGTATTTAAGGGGTTAGTCCTTCTGTTAGTAAATGCTCCAAACACCGTTAGTGCGCTCAGTGCTTTCTCTCTCGGTAAAAGCTGTGGTTCTCTCTCATCTTTGGTTCAATAATGCTGAAATGAGGAAGAAGTCTCCTTCAACTTGTTTCACTTCTCCATCAACATCTCATCTTTGATGTTGAACATTCCGGCAATTGGCAATGTTATGACAGTAAGCTTCATAATCTCCTTGTTGGCAATGACGAATCGACCCCATTGTTGCCTCACTAAGATTGTGAAAAACAGGGCTGCTAGGCCTCAACCCACAGCGCAGAACATAGACACAATCATGGGAATGCAGGCTTTTACCGGCTGATGCGCGACTAGTTTGTTACGCACCCTTGTGAACACCAAAGAGGTTGTTTGGATGAGGATTCCCGTGGAAGCAATGGTCGCTTTCAAATTCACCGGAAGCCCGCACAACATAATCATCAACTCATACCACCACCACTCAGACCAAACAAAGAAGCATGTTAGAATTCCCATCCCTTGGGACCATTCATGCTTGGCGAAATCCAATAATCTTTTACTAGGCGGGAGAGTAAGTATTGGACAATGGACAGGCAGCTTCTTCAATATGCCACTTCGCCTTCTATCAGTATACACTAACAGCGTTTGTAGCATTGACTAACAGAAGGACTAACCCCTTGAACATAGTGAAATAGGAGGATTCAATAAAACGAAAAATAACTTGAGGGACCTAATTCAAAACCTAATAAAATTATCAGGATTGCCAGATTGGTTTTCCCTTTTTTTATTATTCAATCTTTTCACGTCATATATGGGACGGGCTAGGCATTCACATGTTGCGGTAGTTTTCTCTCTTATTCTCATTGTTCTCTCTCTTTCATTTTTTTTTTCCTTCATTCAAATGTTCCCCTCTTCTTTCTTTCATTTTCATACCTCCATGCTCCCTTCTGGTAAAAAAAAAAAAAAAAAACCTCCATGCTCCCCTGCCTTCGGTTAGATGGAGCTAGAGGGATGAAAATAAATTTTATTTTTATTTACAGAGCGAACTTGCAAAATGAGAGGGATTGAAGAAAATGGTCATCTTTCTTTTATTTGTGTTTTTTTCCTTTTTCATTCAATATTTTTTGTTCGTGTGTGTGAAACAGTCTCAAGTTCTTCTTTTTTCTTCAAACAACTTGGCTAAACCACCTAAACTAGCGGGTTGGTCGGTTTGACATGTTCTGGTTTGATTTTTCTCCGATTTTTTTGCTAAATTAGATCGGATCACTAACCCTTTCATTGGAAGGCTGGTTCAGTCTTTTTTTTTTGTAATTATTATTGGTTATAGGGAGAATCCAAAATTAAATGTCAAACCATGTTTGTTACTAATATTTTAATAAATAACTGGACTTATAACTAACAATATAATTTGTTTTAGTGAGATTCTCTCTCTGTTTTTTTAAATTAGTAATCCAAATTCATTTAATTATTAAGAGAGTGTTAAGTAAAAATTAATTATACGATTTCTTATATTATTTATTCTTCGCCTCCAAGCTGTGAGCCAACAGTGCAAGGACACTAACCGGCTTGGCCGCTTACTTCGATCTCAAATGCGCCAGCCAGGGTCTGGCCTAAGGGTAGGGGACATAAATGGCAAGTTCATGTCTTCTTCTTCGCAAGTTGGTCTGTCTGACGTTGAATGAGAAAGAGCAGGTGGCACACCAAGTGGGACGCCTCTGGCAGCTTCGGAAGTCGAAATCTTTGAACTTTGAACACGACCCCCTAACCAGAGCCGCTCGCCATCAGCGGCGTGGTCACAGGGCAAGCTCATCCAGAGAGTACGTGATAGCGGCAGAATAAACCCTTCACTCCAAATTGGAGGCTGCCATTCGTCCTCCATCCTACAATTCTCCGATACGCACTGTCTGGTATGTAATACCACTTGTGGCACCCAATACAGATTTGACACATATAACGGTGGAAGCATACTTCTTTTGGTGTTCCTCCGCTCTGTGGATTTTGGCACCTGGGCTTTTCTTCGCAGGAGCAGTGAACTTCGACAATGGTCTTTCTGCAGTTTGGCGTGCGATTCTTCTGATCCATCCTTTTCTGGTTTGTGCGGAAGCGGGTTTTCTGTCATATTCTTAATTAGTTGCATGTGACTTGTCTAATCCAGACGAATTTGAAATATGTGTGGCTAGGGTTTACATGCAGAACAAGCTAAACCCATGTACTTGATGTCTGATTCATCCAGTATGGTTGGCAGGGAAAGTGTGCATTTTTTCTTTATTTAAGGGCAACTTTATTAAAGAAGATAAGGCTTTTGGATTGTATCTGTCAGACTTCGCGGTTCAACTCCATAGACCTGAACCTAACAGAGAAGGAATCGAGAGGTACAGATCAGGAAAGCTTTCGATACATGTCTATTTAAGTCTTTTTCGCTGCATTCAAGCTTACCCCTTGTATCGGTTTTGTCGTTTTTCATTTCATCAAAGCATCCTAGAGGAAGCTAAGCAATATTTCTCACTATCCATAGCTTTCCAAAATATGGCGAATCGGTGGTGGGCTGGAAACCTGGCAATGAGACCCGCCTACCCAATATCATCTTCTCCGTTGCTCCAGCTCAGAAACCAAAAAGATGACGCCAGCGGATTGAATCGTCTCGGGCGTAGACGAGAAAAAGAATTCATGGACAACGCCGATACCAAGACTAACAACAACGCCACCTCAACCAATAGCAGCAACACAGACCCAAACGTCCAAAACACCATAGACAGCGATAGCTGCCAAGCCAATGACCAAAATCCCGGAAGCCACGAAACGGTTGAAGCCGGCAGTAGTGGCCGCCGACCAAGGGGCCGCCCATCGGGGTCCAAAAACAAGCCCAAGCCCCCTATCGTTGTAACCAAAGAAACCCCGAACGCGCTTCGAAGCCATATGCTGGAAATTGGAAGCGGCAGCGACGTGGCTGAGAGCATAGCGACCTTCGCGAACCGCCGACACCTAGGAGTATCAGTGCTTAGCGGAAGCGGCATTGTGACCAATGTCACGCTCCGGCGACCGGGCGCACCTGGTGGGGTGATCACGTTTGATGGAAGGTTTGAGATATTGTCTTTGTCCGGGGCATTCTTACCGGCGGCTTCACCGCCGCGGGGCCCCGGGTTAACAGTGTATTTAGCGGGGGGACAAGGGCAGGTAGTTGGCGGTACGGTGGAGGGATCTCTGGTGGCTTCGGGGCCTGTGATGGTGATTGCGGCCACATTTGGTAGTGCTACTTATGAAAGGCTACCTTTAGAGGAAGAGGCGCGCGGCGAGCAATCAACAAGAACAGGAACTGCGTCATCGCAAGGTTTGGGTGGACAAGCTTCAATGCCCATGTACGATTTAGCTCCAATTTTGCTATCGAATGATCAAATGCCTCATGACCTGTTTTGGGGCTCTCCGCCGCCCCCATCTTACTGACTATACCTGCCAATGATCGTATTTGTTCTATGTACGCTGTATGTTCAATCGGTTTGCAGGCAAGGTTAGAGCTTTTTGTTTTGATTTTCTGAATACAATAATGCTGGGAGAAAATGTTACTTGTTTGGTATCTCTTTCCGTTTACGTAATGATTAGGCAGAGGATCCAGAAATATGATGCGGAGCTTGATTTCCTGCCTGGTTTCTGAATTTGTGCTGATTACAGTTGCAATCGGATTCGGATGAAGTGAGGCAGGGGCGTAAAGGCGGGAGGGTCAATTCATCTCCCCTTGCCCCACCGCATCATATTCATGTTGCTTAGTCTGCATTGTACCTGACGAGGTTGTTTAGGATTTCGTGTGTTTTGGTTATATTACAAATTGAAGAGAGTCAAAACTAATGTCATTAGTATTAACTGCAAGGTGGAGGAAATGGTATCAATTTGCCTGCCCAAATTGCAACCGGGCACGAGGAGTAATATTGCTGCATAATATTGATGAAACAAATCAAATTGAGTATAGAAGAGTGGTTGTACTCCTCCGGCCCTTAATATAGGACCCAATTAGTGAGTTGGTTTTGGTCCTAAATATAAGATCCATTTCTCATATTTATCAGTTTTCTCTAAATTATCCCTATGGATACTTTCTCAACTATAATCAAGTAAAAGAGGAAGATGTGGTATTAAGAAAGATGATTATGATATTTTAGGAAAAACGTGTCACATTTTTTATAATTAACTAACTTACCTAACTTTCTTAATCTAATAAAATTAGTTAAATGGGTCTTATATTAAGGACCGGAAGAGTATTGTAATGCATGTGAGATTGGGCAGAAAGGGACTTGGCTTGAGACTTGAGCGATGTCAAAGAATTGGGTCATGTGGATGGGTCGGAGATTGGTTGTGAAGTGCATATTTACTCGTATGGGTATGGCCCACATGGGATGCTCATGATACTTTGATGTCTCCGGTTATAATTTTTTCTGGGTAAAAATCTTGATTTATAACATAAATTAAAATTAATTCATATGAAAATTCACACATAATTTTGCTTTCTAATTTCTTGTTCATAGCTCTTCCCAATGTGAATTATGTCCTTGCGTCGTACAGGAGATTTCCTTTTTCTTGGGCTTATTATTATAACGAACCCCTTTTTTCCGGTTTGCCTCCTACTCAACAACATTATTTCCAATTAGAAGGCTATGTTTTTCCGGATAAAAATATCAATCTAAATTAACAAAATAAAGAGAAATAAGTGGCAGCGAAAAACTTCCCATTACACGGCAAGGGGAGGGGGTTTTACAAGGTCAAAGTGCAATAGATTTCATGTAGTTTGGCCATTAGTGGGAGAAGAGTGCGCAGTTCATTTATGAAACTTGGGGCTAGTTTGGACGTTGATGACTGAGAAGAGTTGTGCTTTCTGTCCTATAATAATTGTCGCTGTTTTGAGCTAGTTGCTTTTTATTTGTTTCTTCTGAATAGTGAATAGAGTGAAGGGGACCCAACGCTTTAATTTGCCGGCCGACCCTGCTCTGCTTACGTTGATTCAAAGCATATGTTGAAGCTTATGTACATATATAAGCTAAAATCAACAAACCATCTGCTCAGCTTGAGACTATGGGGTAGAGATCAAAATCAACTGGACAACTTACGACGTCGACCTCTATTTTGAACCTTGATGGTTATAATTAAGAATTCCAGCGAGCAGCATCTCCAATGAATTATTCTAAATTTTAGTTTACCTGTTCATCGTTCGAACTTAGCAGTTTCATTTAGTTTTTAATAAACTCCTAATTCCAATGGCGCCACTTTAAAAGTTATAATATGACATTTACGTGCAAATACACTAAAAATATCATACTACCTCCAATCCTTAATATAATACTTAAATTAATCAACTAATTTTTATATTAAACCCTGAAGGTAGTATTAATTATGAGCTGTTTAGTACATAAAATCATTAGATATGAAAAAGAAATTAACGGGACTGTGATCCAAGAACTCCTATAACCCACCGTGGCTCAAAGGTGATGAAATGCACTTGCAATAAGATCCCAGGTGGAAGTGGTGGGTATGAAAGCAGGGCAAGGACAAAACACGAGCACACTCAATGCAATAGGACACTGAAACGCCAGTAATAAAGAAAGAGAGCCCGAATAGTCGTATTTTTCAAACGATATCCGCGGGTATTAGGCGGCTCAGAATCTTTCATCTTCTCTTTCCCATCCTCTCTTTTTTTTTTAACTGTTAGATTAATATTTTAACAGTTTAGATTTAAATCTTTTTAAAACTGTTATTAAAATATTAAATTATAAATTATAAAATAAATAAATAATAAATTGAAAATTATATTAAAAATTGATTCTAATGGTTTGCAAATACACTAAATATTTTAAAAAAATTTTTATAAATAGTTTATAAAAGACTAAAATCTAAATCCTTAAAATATGTTAATCTAATGATTATAAGGTAAAAAAAAAAAAGAGAAGGAAAGAGTATGGAAAAGGAAGAGGAGAGGTTTCAAACCGGGCACTAGGCAACATCTTCCCAGGCAATGCTTCCTTGTTGAGCCTTCCAACAGCATACACATAGAATCAGGTGGGAGAAGAGAGGGGTTTGGGATTTTGGGATTGGGGGATGCTCGCTAAGAGGGTAATATTATACTTTTGCAAGTATTATCTCCGATCCTAATTATAAAATCTTATTTATAGTTTATAAACGAGATCTTATAATTAGGATCGGAGGTAGTATTAATTAGTGGAATACAACTGAGAGAGGGGAAAAAAGTCATGTTGAGATTTGACCCCCATAAGCTGAAACACTACGCTCATCCTTTAACTAAACCCAGATATCTAGGAATTCCCATCATAGAATAAACGCGCTGTGTCTCAATAATGGGTATTAATTAGTGAAATACAACAGAAAGGTAACATGTCATTTTGTGTAAAGCAATAAATCTTTATCAAATTCATCGAACGGTTTAAATTAATTGCCACGAAAAAAGACTAATTTTAGCAAATCTATAACTCGTCCCCCTATTTGACAAGGAATTCATAACTTCGCAAATGTGCAACATTAAATAACACATGCCTTTTAATTACCAAATATAATAGTAGAATTAAAGTATAAATTTATCCTGAAAAGTGCTAACATCAAAAGATTTTTTTAGATGCAAATTTGCTTTGAAATTTTAAAATCATAACAATTTTGTCCCATATAGTTAAAAATTTAATTTAGTGAGTTTTTACACAATGAACTAATTTGTAATATATATTATACTATGAATTAAATCTTATATTTAGAACCAGGAGTATCAAGCAAAAGAAAAAGAACCGAAGGTAATACTACTGATTCTAAATTTTTACACCAAAAGCCAAATTGCAGCAAAAATATTTTATTTAAAGAGTAACGAAGTTATCACAATTCAGATCATTCTGTTCATCGTTATCCCAATCAGTATCCGAAAAGGTACAACATAGTTGAGCCTAATCCTTAAAATGAACAAAACAAGCCTAATTGAGGTAAAGTAAGGCACACAAGACTGAAAACACCGGTGGAAAAAATGAGGGGTTGTGAAATTTCTCAAAAGAAAAAAACTTTCAGACTTTTTACATTTTTATATATCTTTATTAATATCAATAGTTCATAAAAACAATAAATATTTGGATTTATATTTTTGAAATATCATCACTAACTAAAGCTAACTACCACCCGTTCTCCTTTCCTTCAAATAAATTGATAAAAGGTGGGAATTCAAACACAATAGGGCCCACATTAACGTCTTAGCTGCTCCCTTCTTACCAATTGGCCTTGCTTTCGCATCTACAATAAGCATCACAGGTCAAACCTTGTCATCAAGAATATGCTCAGCCAGAGATGACACACCACCTGTACAGAATACTACTTACACAACGAATAAAATGCTTTAAAAAATTCTATGCCCAACCATGCGAGTAGTAAACCACAACCGTAATACCCAATATCTAAACCCTAAATTCACATAAAATCCAGAACACAGGAAGAATATTGTCAGATTCATAAGCTTGCACCAAATGCAATTTGCGGCGTACGAGTATCCAAAGGAAAAATTAAAGAACATGACATAAAACTTATCCAATAAGAAAACCACCAAAGCAACTATCAAAATTTCAATTGCTGTTGTTTCTACGTCAAAAAAGATATGCAAAGCATTCAACTCAGATGAGGCTGGAACTTTAAACTTGCATAACAAGTAACAACAACGTATTTACTCCTCCGGTCCTTAATATAAGACTCATTTAGCTAATTTGAATAGATTAAGGAAGTTAGGTAAGTTAGTTAATTATAAGAAATGTAACATGTTTTTCCTAAAACACCATAATCATCTTTCTTAATACCCCATCTCCCTCTTCTACTTAATTATAGTTGAAGGAGTATCTATAGGAGTAATTTAGAGAAAATTAATAAATATGAGAAATAGGTCTTATATTTAGAATCGAAACCAACTTAACAATTGGGTCCTATATTAAGGACCGGAGGAGTATATATCAGAATCCCAAATCTAATACTCTGCTCACATGACCAATACAGATGTCAGCCTCTAATTTAAGGCAACTAAACACACCAAGTATCCAGAAAGTGTGTGCAACTGAGTAACAAAAGCATTGAATAAAGTGAGAAATATGGGACAATGAAGGAACAAAAGAGTAATAACTGACAGAAATGCCCTAAGTTTACAAGGAAAACCTGCACTGAAAAACATTTGCTGTGGAGAAAATGACACTCAAATACGATCATAAGATGAACTTTGTAAATAATGAATAAAAACTAATAAACCTTTATTTGCCTCAATTGGAGTGATTTATTTTCAGTTTTCAGTTTGCAAGAGCTGTACAATAAGTACATTAAAGCTACCATGAAAGAAGAGTTTACTGTACTTGAACGTGGTGAGTTCAGGCACGTAATATCCGATGATGAAAAGGATATGGTCTTTTTGGCACACCTGCCCAACAAGCCCTCCCCAGAGTTCCTCACAATTTAGTTTTGAAAACAATTTCTGCTTATTTTTCACTGCATTTGGTAACAATGTAGGAGGGCGCCAGCATGGGTTTTGCAGATTTGGTTCTCCTATCCATTTGTTAATGGCCTACAAACTTGTCTCCGGTATTTTCACTATCCCCATCTTTCATACCATTGAAAATCTCAATATCATCAAAGCCTACAAGTAGACAGAAAGCGTGTTAATTATAATAAAACAAATTCATCAGTGTCAATTCTATATGCAGTAAGATAAATTAGTTACCTTCACCCAGTTCTTCAGTTTCATCATTTAGAGGTCTTAACAACATTGTGTTAACAGAAGATGGATCCAATGCCATCCAATCTGAGTTCCCATACTCCTCTAAGTGCATATCCTTTGCCTTAATCCAGTCATCAACGTTACTAATGTTTTCAAATGATAGGGGATCACAAAAATCCTGTTCTTTACTCATACATCTGCAAGAAAATCAAACAACATATTAGTTACCCCCTTTAGTTACCACCAGCATTAACACAAAGTAAAATTCATAAATATCCAAGGATTCTTGCTCACTTTTGTCTTAATCGTAAATTATAATGAACAAAGACAAGATCAGTAAGATGTTGGCGCTCTATGTGATTCCTTGTATTCATGATTTGTTCAAAAGGAATCTGGTTTCTCTTGCATACCATCGCACTGCAGGTTTGACTGAGAATATGAACAGCTAAACGTGCCAAGTTAGGGCAACCTCCACCATATGTTGACCACCATTCAGCTAGAAAAATATCATGTACAAGTGAAAGAGTCAGTTGGAGAGTTGGGCATCTAAGAAAAGAGATACTCCAATAAAATGTCTTCATTATCACCGATCTTAAAAATCATTTAAAGGAATCGCATTTGACAAACTTAAACTGTTACTTCTGTAAGTTTAGCTGGGTTAAGAAACAGTGTCCATCCACCGTCGCAAGGACTTCAAAAAGTGGGAAAAGGCTAATAGTCATATCAAATTCAAAGTGGTAGTCACTTGTGTGTAATCTCAACTTGAACTCGAAAGATTGGTCTTCATGTCAAAGCATAAGCTTTCTACACCAGGCAGTAGTTTTCTTCTTTCCATGCATCAAATTTTACATCTCCACTCCTTTCTATTTTGAATAAATACTATTCATACATTTTATTCTCTTATTTCAAAAAAAAGGGTAAATTGCAACATAGTGGCTAAAGAAATCAATCCTGTTTAATAAAATGGCTCTCACCAGGAAGCAAATTGTCTCTAGCTCTAACAGCCATCTTTCTCCCAAAATCTCCTGCAGCAGTTTTGTATGAGTTTATCTCCCTGATAATTTTATCTTGAATTCTTGTATCAGGGACCAACCTCTCTATGCAATCAAACATGCCTGAGAGAATCTCACTATGCATGTCCCCTTGAATACTATAGAAGAACTTTGGATTAAGGTAGAATCCTGCAGCATGAAGAGGATGATGCCACAGCCGCTCCCACCTGTGATGTATAATACTCCAGTACACCATATAATCTTCTCTCTTGACAAATTCTTTCTTAATTGCTTCTTTTGCCCGGTACATTCCAGCATAAACATATCCCATTGCTGGTCTCTTCTCACTTGCAGTTATTCTCAGAACTCGCAAGAGAGGAACTGTCAAACGAACAATCAAATCACATGAAGACCAAAACGTCTGATTACTTATGCAATCTAGCATTTCCAGTCCAGATGTTTGCTTTGAATATGGACAGTCCATCCACTCTTGAGAAGTAACCATAGCCTGTAAATTGTGTTTAAGATCAACCATTCGTTTCAATGTTGTAAAGTTTGTCACAAAGCGTGAGAAAAAGGGATCCACAATATCATTCCCTAAAGTGTACCTTCTAAGCATATTCAAGACTGCACTATAATTGTAGACAAATCTTGTTATAGATTTAGCTTGCTCAATCACAGCACCAATCCACTCAATATTTCCAAAATCCTCAAGTATCAAATCAATACAATAGGCAGCAGAAGGACTCCAATAGAGGGTAGGAAAAGTGTCAGTCAGCTGTCTCCCCGCAACAGCATATTGTTCTTCACCAGGCGTAATCACTTGCAAGACATTTGTGACTCCGACTTCTTCTACTACTTGTTTTATCAACTCAAATAGAAAATCTGAGGAATTTATAATGTCAGATGCATCAACAGATTTCAGAAAGATTGTACCTTCAGGACAATATGCCAAAAATCTCTGCAATATTCTACCTGTTTCTGTGTTCCACTGGTCCACCAAAATGGAACAACCAGTTCTTGCCCATGTCATCTTGCATCTTTCTATATCACCCTTAACTTCTTCCACAGTATTTTTTAAAATCCAACCCTGAAGATCATGATATGAGGGATGTTCAACACCTGAGCCCCCAGAAGCAATTGCTTCAATCATTTGCTGAAAATAGACTGAGTTCACAACATCAGGAGGTGCGCCAATATCATAGAGAAACCGACCTATAGCCATATGAATGCGATTGTCAACCTTTTTGGGAAACAAAGCATTTTTATCCAAGACAGCAACCTCAGAGTTCGTGTACATTAATGTATCATTCTTGCCTCTTACCCTCTTTCTTCGTTCTAGAGTCCTACTCATTCCTTCATCAGGATTTACTATCAAAGTTGAGTTGTGTTCAACTGGATTTGGAACCGGAAGACACTGAAGACCAGCATTTACATCAACCTGATTGGCAATTGTGCTCGTATCAGTGGACATAGGAGTAACATTCAGAATCTCCTCCTCATTTTTTTGCTTTTTCCTCTTTTTCACCACAACACCATCTAAGCTATGTTGCATTTGAAGTCGAACATCATGTGGAACACGACTGCAAGTAGAGGCATTACCCTTTTGACAAGCAAGATGTTCTTTAATTCTATGAATGCCACCACCCTTGAACATCTTGAGACAATATATACATTTCAGTTGCACCCGATCCCCATTCTTAAACATTTGACAATGCTTCCATGCAGGATCGTGCTTTTGAGACGTAATTGGAATGGGTTCCAAATTTGAAGCCATTCCAATAATTGCATCAAGCAGTGTAATTGGATTATGAATAACTGAAACCAAACACATACAAATTATTCTATGCCAGCTTTTGAATGTGAAAATCGTCCAAATTTATCCATCAAATTTTTTAACTTCAATTTTCAAAACTTTATTGCTCCAACAACAAAATCAAGGTGATGTGAAAAACGAAGGGAGGGAGATAGGGTGAAGAAAAGCTTACTGATTGTTGAGTTTCTGTGAAAGATCATTCAAATCAAAAGCCCCCACCATGCTATAACCAGAACCTCGCCTTGATATAATCTCTATTAGTATATTGACATAAAATGCAACCCTAGAAATAAAAGATAAGGAAAAATAATTGATTTAGTTTTGCATCATTGATGCATATCAGAGTTGTTCTCATGCTCTATATTCATACCAAAGTACCACCAAGAATAACTGACTAGCACTATACTTCAGATTCTGTAAACATAACCCAGAACCTAAGGTATGAATAAGTCAAAATTCATAAGGACAACAAACTGGAAAGGAATTTTACAGAAACAAAGAAACTTCAAACCTCATAATGCACCTAAAATTGTGATCAGCAGAAACCTCAAACAAACAGGATGTATCATATCAGTAGGAGAGCTAGTATAACATGATTCTCCTATCAAAGTAGATTTTATTGCGGCACTATGATTGGGGGGGGGGGGGAACACTTCCCATTTTCTAGTATTGCTTATACGGCAGAGCAGCATCTCTTGCTTCAATGGACTTGCCCAGGGATCTTATTAACCCCGCGGAGACTCTAAATACAGGCCTAGATTGTCTGTACATACAAGCTTTTAGGGTACTAAGATCCGAAATGAAAAGGAAAACGTTCCATATCATAGGCTAAGTTCCCTAAGAAATCACTCAGTGGGATTGAATTGGAGCTGACCCATTTTTTTTAAGAATCAACCACGATTAAAGACAGTTTTCTTCTGGTATTCAGCTACATCAGGGCTACAACTGGCTTTATGTTAAAGGAATTTGTCACATTGCTACCATCAGAAAAAATCCTTCCCACAATAACAGCCATGAATAAGAATCAATCGTAGAGGTTGGTTGGGGGGAGACCAACACAGAGAAGGGGGTGGGGGTCATTGCGACATAGCCGATAGAACATGCATAGCTTCGAAACCAATGTCATTCCAAATCCAAAACAGAACCATAGCAAAAACATTCCCGCAATAATAGACATGGATAAGAATCAATCTTGAAGAGAGAGAGAAAGCAAAAGCATCAAGTCAACATCAGGGAACCAAAATTATCTCCCAACTCCACCAACTCAATCAAAATTTCAGGAAAACCATGAAATTTCAGTAACAGTGATACAAAGGAAACATTTTCTCTCCTAGCTCAAACGGGAAATCATAACGGACCCGGTCCATGAATTAGAATGGTTGAAAGGAAAAAGAGTAGAAAATAAAAGGGAAAACATGGAGTAGGGAAAAAAAGGAAATATTCACCTGATGGTCGAAGCAATGATGGCAACGATGGAGTTTTGGACCTGGTCCTTGTGTCTGTATCATGAGCTGCTGAGAAGAAGGTTCAGTTGGAATGTAATTGGGCTTTGAAATTTGGGGTCTTCTTCTTGGGTGATGCCGAGGCTGAAGGAAGAGGCCAGCCAGCGGCTACGCTGATGAATAACAAGTGGATATGCCAGGGAGATGGCTGCTCGGAGTCGGAAGAGGACCAGACTCCTTCCCTTTCCTGCGTTTCAACAGTGACATGCCAAACAAAAGGGGCAAAAGCGGTAAATAAAACTATCTTTTTGATTTATTAATCGGTCAAAACATACATTTACTCCTTTAGATGGAAAAGAGAGAGAATGACAAAAAAAAAAATTGCTAAAAATTTGTATTCACATTTCCAGTTTATTCTTTTGTCATTTTTCCTAAAAAAACCGTATTTTTAATTTTTAATTCTAAAACTATTAATCTTAAATGATAATTTTTTATAATAATCATAAGCGTTTTGTTAATAATTTTAGGATTTAAGGACTAAAAACATATTTTTAAAATTAATAAATTAAAGTGAAGCCTTACATAAAATTAAAAGATTTAAGGTGTATTTTTGCCTAATAATTTTATCTAATTAATTAATTAATTATCATCAGATTTTGAATTTATCACAAATAAAATAAAAAACATAGAGTGGGCAGCGGAGATTAAATAGGATGACGACAATAAACTTAAAATGTACACTTCAAATAATAATTGAAAGCACTTGAAAAATAATTTAAAAATTAAATATGTTAATTTGTTATTTTGACCCAACAAATTCACATGAGTGTTGAGGCCAAAAATATATATTATACATAACAAAAACAGATGATTCCCTCATTTGATTCATGGGGTTAAAAAATTTATAATATTGTGTTCTTAAAATCGTTAATAAAAATAAATGATATAATATCTATTATGTTATTAATGAGCTTTTAATATCGCCATTATCATATGAATGGGGGTCTGTGAGAGTAAAAACCTCAATGCTGAGTGCAACTTACTATTTATTTGCAAGAGATGAATTCATTAATAATTTAAAGGGAATATAAGTAATTGTCAACTTTTGAATTGTGAGCACACAATTGAATCCAGGGTTAAAAGAAAATGAAATTGCTGATGCATGTCCTATGGTATTTGTCATTTCTCTGTCTCGTACTTCTGATATTTCTATGTGAATGCATGTCCTATGGTATTTGTTCTGAGCTTTCAGTCCATTAAATCAGTCCAACTTGGAAAGAATGTGCGGCAGCGTAGTCGCCGTCATCTGCTAATAAATATGTTTTCAGCCCCTTGGAGTTTGGAAGGGCACATTCCGAACTACACAGACACCAGAGCCTACAAAGAGAACAGAAGGCCATTTAAATAAGAACTCATCCCTCAGGCCGGCAAAAAGGACCGGATCCCCAGCGGCTCACCCCATTGAGCCTGATGAGGAATCGACGCTATGGACTATATAAGTCGTGGCAAATCATGAGGGTTACCGTTTCTTCCGATGCTTCATTCTTCCAACGGACGACGAGTTTATCTCTTATGTTCAAAATATCAAGTCATGCCTCCATACGGACCTTCTTCCTTATTTTTCAATAATAAAATTGGATCGTCTGTAATATTTTTTTTCTTTAAGGAATAATGCCAGTGAGATACGCTTGTAAATTTTGAAACTCACTTGAGCATCTTCCAAGTTCCAACGGAAATAATTAGAGGGAGCATGAAGGGGAGTATGGGGCTAATGCGATGAGGACGAGGGCAGCAAAAGAAGCCGAAAATGGAGGGAACCACTCCCACTCCCCAGCGTCCCCCTTTAAGACCACCCAACCCCGCCACGCTCCTCCTCATCTCTCTCTCTCTCTCTCTCTCCAAAATGCCTTCTTCCGCACCTTTCTCCCCCACCCACACTTTCTTCCTCTCTCTTCTTGCAGGTGCCGGAGCCGGTGCCACCCAACTCATCCTCCTCAACAACTGCATGCACGACATATGGCCCGCACTTCTCGGCAGCGCCGGTCACCCAACCCCCCGAGACGGCGGCTTCCTCCTTCCTACCGGACAAGAGACCCTTCTCCATGTCCCTCAAGGTTGGTCCGGCAGGATTTGGGCCCGACAAGGCTGCTTCTTCGATCACCACACTGGAAGAGGCTTCTGCCAGACAGGAGACTGCGCTGGCCTCCTCAAATGCGGCGGCCTCGGAGGCCTCCCTCCCGCCACCCTCGTTGAGATCACCCTCGGAACCTCCCAATCACCATTACATTTCTACGACGTCAGTCTGGTTGACGGCTTTAACCTCCCCGTCTCCATCAAGCCCGAGAGTGCCGCCCTGCGCTGCGGCCTGGCGTCCTGTGAGGCGGACTTGAATGCTTTTTGTCCGCCGGCGCTGTCCGTGCAGGAAAGGGGCAAGGTGGTGGCCTGTAAGAGTGCTTGTCTGGCTTCCCAATCCCAAAAATATTGCTGCACCGGCGACTATGCTGACCCCAAAAAGTGTAGGCCTACGGTGTTTGCTCGTCTCTTCAAGCTCATCTGCCCTTCGGCTTACAGCTATGCTTACGACGATTCCGCGGCGCTCCAGACTTGCAACGCCACTCGTTATGTCATCACCTTTTGCCCTCCCATTCCTAAATGATGCCCTCCCCCCTTCATGGGCCTGCTCTTTCTTTTAGTCTTCACATTTTCAAGATTCCTATAATTCAGCTGTACGTCATTGCATCTCTGATGCTTGCTTTATTATGTCCATGGAGTCTCTTACTGCAATGAAGCTTTCCAATATTTGCCGCCGTCGGTTTAGAGCAAACGAACACATATATTTATATATTACGTGTTTCTTGGCTACCCAGTATAGGCTATAAATGCTTCTTACTGATAGCATCCTGTCTTTAATAATATAAACACATCTTAATTCGTGATCTAGAGCTAGTCACGCGCACGTACGTACTCCAAAATGCCTTGCTTAATTAATTGAATTAACGGTCGGCTTTACCCCCAATTCAATATAAAAATGTCCATGCAGCATTGGCCGACGTAGTAAAGGGATTGCTGCCCATCCTGGATAGATGCCGCTGCACAGCCCCCTCTCCCTATGTCCCCCCTTCCCATTCTTCTTTCTCCTCTCATCTTTTTCTTCCTCCTCCTCTTCTTCTCCCCTCTTGCCACTTAAAACCTTAACGCTCCCGCCGCCAGCCTTCATCACTTTGTTTCGCCACGCAAGCTCTCTTACTACCACAACCTCACCTTAACCGTCTCACTCTACTACGTTGGCTCACCCCCTCAGAGTGTTACCACGTTTCTTGATAGTTGATACCGGCAGTGAACTTTCATGGCTTCACTGTATAAATTAAAATCCCCCAATTTCAACTCCATTTTTAGCCCCCTGCTTTCTCTTCTCCATATCCCCCCAGTGCTCCTCGCCCCTCCACGCCTCCCGGACCCGAGATTTCCAGATACTCGCTGTGAGCTTGAGAGTGCACGCCTCGGCCTCACTTCCTAGAACTGGCCGGCTCATCCCATTTAGCGGTGGCAGGGGTCGGTACTAGTTGCCTGGGTACAGGAGAACTTCCACCTGCGTTGTCTCGGGACTTCCCCCTGTTAACACAGGTCATCTGGTTCCGTTTCCGTACACCCATTTCTTTCCATTTATTTTCTTGATCTGCTGTCAACTGTGCGCGGTGGCTTTATCTCAGATCTCGCGAAATACTGCTACTTATAACCAAAAAAACAAAAAAACAAAAAACACCCTACTCACAAGAATTAATATTAATAAATGAATATATTACTTTTGCTCTCTAATCTTTGTTTCAATTATAAATTTTGATACAGCAATTCAATTTCTGGGGTATTCTAACTTAAAATAACTCAATTCTTATAATTTACTACTTCCGGTCCTTAATATAAGATCCTGTTTGACTTTTATTTTGATCCTAAATATAAGACTCCAATCTCTTTTGTCTTTTATATTTATCTATTTTTTTTTAAAATAGCCCTTCTAACAATGATAGTTCTAGTCAATACATTTGATTAGTAATGACATTTTAGAAAAAACAATACCTATTTAAGACAAATAACTAACTCAATTTACTTTCTTAATCTTCTCAAATTAGTCAACTTACTCTTATAACCGGAAGTAGTATAATTAGACTGCAGAGTGGTGCCCGGGGAGACAAAAGATCAGTGCCACTGCCAACTTCAAGCGATGCGGGCTAATAATGATTTTATAAATTATAACTATAAAATTTTCTCGCAAACAGTTTTTTGGGAAAGCAAAATATGCGGAGAAGGAAAAAAAAATCCTAAATTAAACGAGACACATTTCTCAAATTTTTTAAGTGTAAAGCTGTAAATTCAAATTTTTTTGCAGAGTATAATAAATATGTGAGAGCTCAATATAAACTGAGTTTTCCTGTTAGTCGTTTATTCTGTTATTGTCAAGTCATGCGCCCTTTTATGCAATTGAAATAAAATTACTTGTTAATTTATTTTTTTTAAAAAAAACAAATCAGTTCCAAAGACGTATCTGTTCCAAGTCAGATTTTCGTTGTGGGCTTGGCAGCCGAAATTATCGTCTTCATCGAATGGAGACATGGTTAACGCCTACATAACGATTTGTTTTGATGGAAACACCGCTTCCGATCACCGCTTAAATCCGTCGTTCCTGATCCAAACTTGTAAGCCTGTATCTCAGATTCTGATTCCCACTTACAAACAAGGGTTCCTGATGTTTGATGTAGTTATGGAGGAATATAGGAATTTTTCTAGGATTTTTAAAAAAAAGAAATCTTATGTCTCCCACGGTTATTATATTATTTCATCTCCTGAGTCATCTTCTGGGAATGAGCATACTTAATCTGATTTTCATTTTCGACTCGTCGAGGAAGAGACATAAAGGGTTTTTTATTGGTTAGCACCATTAAAATCTAGCAACAGCGTCATAATTGGTTTGCTTGAATCATGAAATGGTTTGGTGGCAAGGTTCTGGTGGTTCGAATATGCCTAAGGGCTAAGAATGGTCGATTAGGGTCATTAGCACGAAACAATCCGGTAGCTCGCAATTGAGTCTTCAGTTCCGCCAGTTTGTGGAAATGATTATTAGAGATGGTAGATGATATGTGCTAAATAATGGGGTTGAGTTTCTTGGAGAAAATGGCTACAACAATAGAATAGAGGAAGCATATTTTGTAAGTTGTCGTGGGATGATGAATTTTTACTCAGTCCCAGGCAAGATGGTAGATGTTTGAGAATACTTAAAAATATATCTGAGGAGTGTAGTATACTCGAAACAATTGTATAAATTAAGAATTTCTATAATTCAATGTGTTCTCTTTTATGGTTGATCATGATAAAAGGTTTATAGTTTCGTATTATCTGTATGATTATGTGATTTGTCGCTGCTATTGTTACTGAATTTTAAATGTCAGTCTCAAGAAGCTCTGGAGAAAGTAAGAGTTTGATCTGTTATTCTCAGAAGCTGGGACAATCAGACTTGGTCATTGATTAGGTGGGTCACTAGCTTTTGGATGCCTTTGGCAGTTATCATACTATAGTTAGATTACTCAATGCGTATTAATCTTGTTGCCTATCCAGATGGAGTTACCAATATTGGAGGACCCTAAATGGGGGTTCTTTACCTGTTGGATCCTCTTCCTTACATTCTGTAGAAGTGGCAAATGAAGAAGAGATCGAAATTTTAAATGGACATATGTGCAGTGTGCTAAAGAGTGGTACAGTAGATGTAGTTTTCATTGCAATGCTTTCTCCGTTGTTGCAGCATTTCTGAATGTATATGGCATTGAACCAAAGGCATCGGTTGTCATAGTGCCGTGTGGTTGGTCTTTGCACATGATGAAATGCATTCAAAATGAAAGAAAGGCACAAGTTTTGTTAGCTCGATGATAGGGATACGTTGAGATTATTATTTTATGTTGGTAATAGTACTGTTTAGCAGGGGAAATGCCCAGTTTCAACTGTTGCAACCTTCTGGATAATAAGGATCAAGAAGAAAGATTTAGCAGTGAGATAGGGAGATGAAAAAAACAACACCTCTCCGGTGTTCTCACATGTAGGTGTTCATAGCATTAGCTGAAATCAATCAGTTAATTTTTCTAATGAGATGTATTTAGCTTTGTGGTTGACTTGAAGTATTTATGATCTGTCATGCTTAAATTAGTTCCTAATAAATTATAGGCAAATCTGACCTTTCATTCCTTCTCCCGCCCCCTCATTTCTGCCAATATTTGATGTTTAGGAATTGTTGCTGGTAAAAGGTTGTGAGATGCTAAAATATTGTGAACTAGTGGGGGAGCTTTAGGGATAATGCCCGCTGGGTCAAAATTTCTAATGTGGAATTTCCATTGAATAAGCACCTAGTATTTGAGATTGTTTTACCTTGCCCTCTTTGCCTTCTGTGTGAATGCTATTAAACTTGTACTCAAGCAATGCTTTAAAATACTGAAAATGTTTTGATTGTTCATTCTGATGTAGTTGACCTGTGAAGCTTCAATTATATTCTTGCAATATATAGAGCCATGAGTTTTGTCTTTCGAGGAAGCAGGGCAGATATTGAAAATGGATTTTCAGGATTTAGACCTGAGAGGCGGATACAGGTATGAATTATGAACTTTTTGTTTCATTTATCATTATTAGTGTTAAAGTCGAGCTGATACCTATGATGATTTTTTTTTTTTTTTTTTGTGTTTTTCTCCCTTGATCCATAAAGTTGATTTTATTTTTCCTTCAGCATGTTCTTGGAGAGCGACGTCGTAATTCTAGTTCACTCACTTTTCTTGTCACAGGTACTAACCTTCTTGACTTTTTTTTTTTTTTTGGAATATCAATTATACTTATTTCTCTTCAATGTCTTAATCACATGTTGCTTTTCATTTATTGCAGTCCTCTTGCTATTTATGGTATTAAACTCTCACCAGATGTCACCAAATTTTCTGGTAGGGTCGTTTTGGCGTGTAAACATGGAATGCCAGATACATAATTGAGCAATGATGTTTTAGACTGTTAAAGTGATTCATAGGGTCTTCTTTAATTAATGCCTGTAGCTCTGGCTGGTGCTTGGTGTCTTCTTGACGGCTACATTGTTAAGAATGTATGCAACTTGTCAACAGCTTCAAGCACAGGCCCAAGCTCATGCAGCAGGAGCCAGTGACCTTTTTGACCACTCTGAACTGCGTTTGCACATGCCGCCTTCGATAGCACTGCAAGGTCTCAGACTTCAGCTTGCACTTCTTGATCGGGAGTTTGATGAGATAGGTTTGCAGTTCTATTTTTGATCTGGACTTTAATTTTGATATTTGCTTTTTATGAATAAATTTGAATATCAGTTTTATGGAAGTTAATTTACGTGTTCATATTGTGTGCAATCTAATTTGACAAATATACATTCTTAATTTTCAGATTATGAAACTTTAAGAGCTCTGGATTCAGATTACGTTCCTAGTGCACCTTCCATGACTGAGGAAGAGATCAGTGCTCTTCCCGTCCACAAATACAAGGTTTCTGGTACTAAAGAGTAAGTCATCACTCAAATCAGTTATACTCTTTTGATCGGATTTTGGAAGTTTTAAACCTATATAATTTCTTTATTTGTCAGTAGAATATGAAAACTAAGTAATGTGAGCTCTATATATAATAACTGAAACATGTATAATGGAAATTCATATCTAAACTGTTACATCCAGCATTATGATAATCAGATATAAGAAATATTCTCAAATTATTGAGGATTAAAAATAATAAGGAAAAGTCAAAGGATTTTGGTGAAAAATAATTACAGTAATTTTCCAAGCCAATTATAGGAAATTGACTAATTAAAGAAAATTGGTCAAATGTAAATAAGGAAAAATATTTCTGAGCTTTGGAAAATTAAGGAAAAATAAGGATAATATCTTTTGAGAGTTATATGAAATTATAAAGTTGGTTTTATGACCAAATTACCCTTAGAGAAATTATGAGAGAATTAAAGGGTGATTTAGGCTAATTAAGGGATTTTATTTGGAAAATTCCAAATAAATATTTTTAAGGGGAATAAAATTCCAAGAAAATTCCTATGAGATCCTAAGGAATTATAAGGAATTATGCAATTAAATGGAGACCCTCAAGTGTTCAAGATTTTTCCAAATAATGATGAAAAGTGGAAAAATCCCTAAAGAGAAGGAAATTAATTTTCCTTTTTATTTAAATATTAGGAAATTAATTTTGAGACAAAGAGGGCAATTTGGGAAGATAATAATAAGGAGAATAAATTAAGGATCTGATAGAAAATAATTACAGAGGCTAAGCTACTGTAATTATAGAAAAGAAGTTAAATTCAGAGCCTAAAGTATACTGATAAAACAAGATTGGTGTCTTACAAATCCAAGGGATCCTAATGAGCCAAGTGTTAAGCTCTTGAAGGAGAATATTTGAATTAGCCAAGTGTCATTCTATAAATGGAGAGGATTTTGATTTTAGTAAATAATTTCATTTGGAATTATGTTAATTAGGAAAGAGGAATCAAGACTTAGTAGGGTAATGACACTTGGATTATCATTAAAGAAGGTGGTTGAGATATTTTGAACCAATAATCAGCTTATTCCTCCCCCATTTTCAAATGTCCATTTCGTCCAAAAGAGAGAGCAAGAGAAAAGAGAGAGCTTGAGAGGAAACAAGAAGAAAAGGAAACACCTTTGGTCATTCAAGCAAGCTTTCAAGGTAGATCTTGGTACTAGAGGTGTTCTTACTTTGTTTTCTTTCATTTTTATGGTTTAAAATCTGTCTCTTCCCTCTCTTGTGCTGGCCTAACTGGTTGTTAAAAAGGGGGAAAGGAGTTTTGACTATTACACTTGCTAAGACACAACAACACAAGCTAGATCCTAGTGTTTGCAAGTAAGTTTAAGTTGTTTTAAAGCATTTTTTCATGGTTGTTGTTGGAGTGATCATTTCGGCCAAGAGGTAAACTGAACCCTAGGATGAGTTTTTCATTGTTTTAAGGCTTCCATGATGCTTAAAATGAGGAATGGTGTAGGGTAAACCAAAGGAAACAAGGGTTGAAGTTTTAAAGCAAAGTTGTGACTTTTGGTTAAAAATCCCTAGTGGTTCGGTCAACATGAAACTGAAGGAGGCCATTTTATTTTGCTAGATCTGAGCATATATTTGAGTTCTACATGAAAAACCATGTAGGGTTAGGTCAAGGTGTGATTTTTAGGGTTAAAGAGAACCAAATCCAAAAAGTAGTGAACCAAGGTTGAAACTTTATGGTTCAAGAGTTGTTTTAATTTGTGTTCTTGCTTTTTCATGGTTGAAAAATGATTATGGCTGCCCTTTTTGTTGGATCACATGGTTAGGGTTCGATATTTGTCAAGGGAAAGAGGAGAAAGAAGAAAAGCTAAGACTTTTGGAGCAAGGTAGTAAGTTAAACCTAACTACTACCACTAACTAGCATTGTTGATTATTGTATGGTTAATTACTGTTATTGTGATTGAGCTTTCTTGATTGTTATGTGGCTGCTCTTTATAGTATCTTGCTTTGGCCTTTGCATGTTTGAGTTTGCCAAATGATAAGCATGTTAGTTCACCAATAGTAGCTAATATGATCATGCACAATAATGATGCTTGCTTGGTGTTATAGTTGGTTAATTTGCTATTAGGATTTTCAAAAATCTCATTCCCAAAAATAATGTAACATTTTAGGACCTGAATCCTCCAAGGGGAAGCTGCAGATTGAAGGCTAATTTGTGGGGTTTAGCCACAAAAATTTGTGAGCTCATTTTGGTTATGTAAATATTAAACTAATAGTGCTGGAAGCACACTGACACTGACTGGTTCACGCGACTTTTTGATTATGCTCCCAAACGCGTTTAATCCTACAATTTGGCATGATGAAAGTTAACGTCCTGAGTTTCAAATTGATAGCTAATACGTTAAAAATGGACAAGTATACGATTTTTGGTGAATTTCCAAAGTTAAAGGAAAGAATCTGGGAAAAAGAAATTTTGGCACTAGACAGAGTGGTGTTCCACAAAAATCTGACGCGTTTTCATAAAGAATTGGTCCTTGAGATTATTTTTCCTTGAAAGAGGACTTAAAAAGCTTTAAGTAGGATTTTGAATCACCCCAATTGGAATTTTGTAGAATAAGTTATGAATTTTTGAAGTTGGGCCATAAAAACTGGGTTTTTACCCGATGAACAGTAAAAATCCGAAAATTAACGTTTTTTGTGGTAAAAAGAGAGCCTAAGACCATCCAATGTGGTCTAAAATGATTTTGAAAGGAACCTAAGTCAATACAATAGTAAGGTGTGACATAAACCACTTTGAAAATAGTTTAATTAATATTACCATTGTAGCATATGAAATGCTAATAATATGATAGATTATTTAAAGAAAAATTTTGACACAACCAATTCGCTACTTTGGTCTCTAGAAAGCAATAAATCAATCTTATGCTGTAGTTATCTGGATCTGGAAAGTAGTATTGCCCTTCATTTTCTCATCCCGAGGAACTTATGAAAGCACGTTTCCTTGTTTTTTCTTCTTTTGAGCTCTGTCTCGTTATTCTCCATAGGCTGTCATTTCTCAGTTGAACTGGTTAATTTTTATGTACTATTGGTTGCCAACTTCGTTGCAAATTCACGTGTACTTAGAGCTTAAAATAAATGGGTCTTCTGCTGGATTAAACTTTTGTAAGATCTTTTTAAATTGATTGGTGAAAGGGAACATGCTCCATGATTTACAAAATTGCAATTTTTTATGTGCGCTTTGAGAAATTTCAGTATCGATTATCTGAGAAGAATATGCTTTCCTTTACAGCAGTGATTCCTTAAGTCAACAGGCCTCATCTTCTACATCTCCTGAGGTATCAAGCATATCCATGCTCCTAAATTCTTTGTTTTTCACCTGGCCTTAAGAACAAGCGAACTTTGCAGTAGCTCATGAGAATTTCAATAATTCTATTTTGTATTCTCATTTTGTACGCCTGACTTATATAGTAAAGTTCTTATATTATTCCTCAAGCTCTCTTATTTGAGCGAACTTTTGGCATGCCGTGAGAGGTGAGACACTGATTTCTTAAATTTTATCTTATCATGGTCATCTACTCATATTTGTGTGTGTGTGGATTTTATTCTCTCAATTAGTTGGTGATTTGTGTTCCGTCCCTATTTTAATTTCCTTGGGTATCAAGCTCGGAATAAAAGGCCACCAAGCTCCCAAAACATGTATACATAGATTTATCCCTACTGTCACTGTTTTCTTTATAACTTTACTATGGCAGAGGCATAAGTTACTGCTATCTTTTCTGGCAGAAGAAGCAAGATCCCTCAAATGCAGCTGGGAGCATGAAAGCTCCTGATGATGAGCTGACTTGCAGTGTCTGTCTGGAGCAAGTAAATGTTGGAGATCTGCTCCGTAGCTTGCCTTGCTTGCACCAGGTTCATAATTTCATAGCTTTACTAGAGAGTAGTTTTTTATTTCCAATCGGTTTAAACTTTGAATGTTATGTCCTGCAAGTCCACATGATGCAGAACAGGGGGAAGGGGAGAGAGAAAGGAGGATTTGAGAAGAAACAGGGAGAAAATAGAAAGTTGAGGTAGAGATAAATATGGCAAAATTGTCCGAGTATTAATCACTAGGACAAAGTGACTACAGACAAAGAGTCTAGGGCATACTGGGCCTAAATACTTATCCTAGTGAAACTAAATAATCCCAAGATAGTCTTTATTCAAATAAAGATAAATCTAATCTCAAACTAAATCCTAAACTTTAAGTTAAAGAAAAAAATAAAAGATAGTTCTTAATAAATCCTAATCCAAATAGAATCCTAATAAATCTAGATAAATCTTAGATTCCAGATGTTCATATTTTCATCACCACACTGCAAACTATCGTCCAAGTCATTCAAGCCTTTAATATGATAAATTAATATCATGTTGCCTTGAACTTCAATGAAAGGAAGAGTTTGCATGCAATTTTAAATCCTAGGAGTGTGTCACTTTCTATTCTTGCCACAATTATGAATATGATTGGCAGCCTGTCAAATGCTACGGCCCAGTTTAAACTGGACATGCTGGGGATATTATTTCCAGGTGAACCTCGCTTTGTTGCTACGTATTCTCCCTTATAAGATGAGTCATTTGTCATGAATGCACTTAGGTAGCTCTAATGAGGCCTGTTTGGGATTTTCAAGGACTCAGACCTCTCCATTGACTTGAGGAGACAGAGTAGAGGGAAAAAAAATAAAATAAAATAATAAAGAGAAGCATAATATTCATCTGTCAGTGTGGGTCTCACCTGCCCTTCACCCTCCTGTCACTAGGAGAAATCTATCTTTGATCTATCATGTACTGGGTTTATGTGCAGCACGCATATTTGATGATCAATTTTGTTTCACGGGAGCATTATTTTACCAAATAAATGCCTAAAACTCCAGTGACTCTGAAGATACATACTAAAATTTGATGTTGATATTCTCTTACTCATCTTTTTCCCGACATAATACTCCTTGGTTTATGGTCTTAGCAGTTTCATGCTAATTGCATTGATCCCTGGCTCCGGCAGCAAGGAACATGCCCCATCTGTAAATTTAGAGCTAGATCTGGATGGCAAGAATCTAGAGCTAATGAAGCCAGCAGTACATCAGATTTGGTTTGAAGAATACCTGCGCATATGTATGTGTAAACATCTGAGTTACGTGTAATAAAATAAGTAGATCATCGCTAGAATTATCGTAATTACCCAGACATAGGCATCTCAGGAGTAGGATGCTACTTAGCTGGTTAACAACTGCATTCCAAATTGTGCAATTTTTGGTTCCCATTAAGATTGTTTAGTTTCCCCCGGGGGGGAGGGGTGTTCCCTTCTTTTTCTTCCGGGAAAGAAAAATATAAGTTGAAACTAACGATCGAAAGGAGCGATTACAAAGTGTTTCTATCAAAGTTCCTTTGCCTGTTATCATCCGAAACCTTCGTGCAATAAGTTGGGGTTTAATCAGAGGTACAGAAATTATCAACCATGCTATGAGAGTATTTAGCTTAAGCATAGCTAATTTTCCCTCTGTGAAACTCAAAGGAAATTACCCGCTGTTAAACTGTAAGCATCCTAGCTTATTCAAGGATGTCACGATTCGGATGGTCTTTTCTAAAGTCCCCAGTGATCTTGTTAACTGCCTGTGCGCAGTCGGTAATCGCCTTGACATGCCTACAACCTTGGTTCTAGCAAGTCTCTGGTCCCTTTATAATTCCTTTGATTTCAGCTATAGCTGCTGGACAAGGTTCCAACCTGTGATAGAAGCCCAAAATCCATTCAGCTTTGGCTCTGTTTGGATTAAGGATTGGAAAAGCTGTTTATTAAAAAAATAGTTGATAGATAAGTAAAGTTGGATAAAAATTAAATTGGATAAGTTGAATTGTGTTTGGATTGGAGTTCAAAAAAGCTAGTTTGTAAAAGTGAGATTGGTAAAAGGTTATTTGGATTATAGTTGAGTAAAAGTAAGTTTGATAGTAAAATGATCAAAATGAGTATGAGTTTTAATAAATAATAAAAAATGATTAAAAAATAATTTCACATAATACAATGAAATTAAAATAATTTAATGTGAAGAAGTCAAATTTAACAAGTGAATTAAATTTTAAAATTTTGGAAAAATCATAAAAAATATTTAAATATAAAGTGAAAGATGAAAAAAAAATGAATTGAGATGATATAATGAAGTGAAATTTAATGAGTGAATGAAAATTAAAAACTTTAGAGAAATCATAAGAAATATTTAAAATATAAAATGAAACATGATAAAAAAAATGAATTGACATAATACAATAAATTTAAATTAATTTAATATGAAGAAGTGAAATTGATAAGTGAATTAAATTTGAAAGCATCAGAGAAATAAAAAAAATATATTACAACTATAAAGCTAAACATAATTTGAAAAAAGATAAACAAAATGAGCTTTTTGGTCTTTAATAGTGCCATTAGCCGATTACTCACGTAATGAATAGGAAACTGAAAACGAGCCAGAGAAAAATAACCCTTTGACACATCCCAACAGTAAATAAGCTCTTAAAGTGATCCAATAAGCCAGAAAATCTAGCTTCTCTCTGAATATACGTTTGCCAGCTTAAAATACATAAAATTTTTTTGGATTTAAGCTCAACCAAACAAGCTGAAATATTACAATCGGGCTTATAGCAAAAATAAACTCTTTTTCAGCCCATAAAAGCCTTGCCAAACAGACCTTTTATCTATTCCCTTCATGGAAGGCTTTTGAACGTATCTCAAAGTCCAGTTTTCACTCTGGGTTTCCCTCTTTCTACAGAATTTTGATAATCTCAGATCGCGTGCACGCCCTCTTCCCAAACTGCCCGGTACGTACATTGTTGTGGCATAACAGCCATATAAAAGATCTGACCTTTTCAGGCATAACATGTCTCCAGATATCTTTCCGCACACTGTTGTCGCTCCCCGAGTATACTCAGATTTACAGTGAAAATGTCATATGGGGACAGCTGCCAAGTACGTTCATCTAGGCCTGCACACAAAACCAGTAGTCTATGTAGTTTGGTCCTGTCCAGCAACGACCCGGTCCAACCCAATCTAGGTAAAAGGCAACCGGATGCAAAGACAAGACCAACAAGACCAGCCTTGATGATCAAGTGAGACCGGGTTCCAGATTGAGTGGTCTGGTCCAACTCGAGATATATATATATATATATAATTTTTAAAAGGAGCCACCTGGCACCTGGTTTCTCGCGTTCTTCATTTTTCCCTCAGTAGGCGGCCGCTTTCTTTCCTCTTGTCAATTCTTCATTTCTTATCAATCCGTACAAGCCTTCCCTTGCATCACTATCGTAACTGATTTTGACTGCTCCGTTGCTGGTGATTCCCTTGTGTCTCTTAGTTTTCAGTTCATCATCGATCTTTTTCCTCCCTCTTCAGTTCGCAGCACCATCTTCAATCTCTCCCTTTTCAGTTCGTTGATCTCAGCACCATCATCAATCTCTCCCTCTTCACTTTGCAGCACCATCTTCAATCTCTCCCTTTTCAGTTCGTTGATCTCAGCACCATTATCTATCTCTCCCTCTTCACTTTGCAGCACCATCTTCAATCTCTCCCTTTTCAGTTCGTTGATCTCAGCACCATCATCAATCTCTCCCTCTTTAGTCTGTAGATGTGGATTTGCATCTCATAGCTTTTAGATCGGGTTTGCATCAATCCTTGCTTCTTTTTCATCCTTTTGTTTCTCTTTAGCATTTTGGTTTAGCTTTCATGTTTACCCTTTTCTCTTTTGTTGGTTTTTTGGACACAGTCCTTCTCTTGTTTTGTATGAACTTCTTTGATGGTTTAAAAAAAAAAAAAGTAGGCTTTACTGACTGAATGATTGCAGCAAAATAAAAAACCAAAACCTGGATTCTCTAGACTAGTCCACCAGTCAAGTGTGATCTGACTCGACCATGGGTTCATTGTGAACCAACCTAGACCACGCGCTATATTATTCAGCCCGAGGTCTTACCCATTCCCCATTTGTAAGTACAAAGTCTACAACTTTCTCATTAACTAATACTCCCCCTATTCTTAATATAAGATTTTGTTAGATTTTTATTTTAATTCTAAATATAAGATTTCAATTTATTTTGTCTCTCATATTTATATATATATTTTTAAGATAATTCTAACCAATATAGTTGATTAGTAAAGATATTTTAAAAAAGACAACACCTATTTATTACAAATAACTAATTTAACTTATTTTTTTATTTTCAAATTAGTTAAATTAGTTAATTAAGTTTTATAACTAATACCGGAGGTAGTATTAAAATCCTGTTCTTTTCTTTCCATTTCAGAAGAAAAAACATAATATTAAAATCAGGCAGAGGAACATTGTGGCTTGACCAGGCATCCAACCAAAATGACGTGTGCTGACCTGAAGCAACTCTTCCGAAACATTTCTTAAAATTATCCCCCACATTTGAAATACCCCATTCTCCCAAAAGTGCTTTTATTTTATTTATCTGCTTTTTAAAAATTGAAGACTACATCAATTACCGTTTTTTCAGATTCCCCAACGTCCTAATCTTCGCTAATTATGTTACGCACTTTATACTAAAATTATGTGGCAATAAATGAAGGGTATATCACTTTGATTCTTTAACTCTAAAATTGTTAATTTTAAGTGATAATTTTTTGTAACAATTATAATTATTTTGAAAATTAAACTTAATATATTAGTATTTGGTAATATGTAATCAACATTAAAAAACTCAATATCATCATTTTTCATTAATAATTGTAGGATTACAAGATTAAAAATTTATTTTTTAAAGTTAAAAGATTAAAATAAAATCTTATATAAAGATAAAGGATTAAAAATATATTTTAACCAACATTATTTAGATCTAATTATTTTTGTGAATCATTATATTTGTCAGTGTGGGGACGATTACAAAGAAAGAGGAACCGCAAGGGGCAGGTGGGTGTCGATGGGATTTTAAGTGGAATACACTTTTGACAGAGACACTGTGTTGACAGTTCCCTCGTGAAATGGGCCCCACTTTGAGATTTGTTGAATTGAAACTGGAAAACATTACAAAAGAGCCAAAAAAACAAAGCAGTTCAACCCTTCCTCCTTGTTCAAATAGGTGGAGGGTGGTCAAAAATACAGAAAGGATTGTGTAGAGTATGAGACATTTTAGCCAAAAGATTAGCTAAAAGAATTTCTTCCCTAGGAGAAAAGGTAAGTAGGACCCTCCAGTCGTAATTGAAGAGTATCCTAGTGTCCTCAATGATGTCTTGAAAAGGGTGATTCTGAGAACAGCCTCTCAAAATGAGATTAAGAGCTTTAGTACAATCATAATAAAGAATGATGCTTCGAAAACCTCTTGACTAGCAAAGCTTTAGGCCTTGAATCATGGCTAAGACTTCAATAATAGTTGAGGGAACCAAACTGATTTTACAACTAAAACCACATATCCAAGCTCCTTCATTGTTCCGTATGACTCCTCCACATCCACTGCGTCCTTCCTGTGTAACTGAACCGTCTACCTCCAAGCTAACGTGCTCTCCTTGTAGGCTTTGGTAACCTTTTCTGGTCCTGCTCCCTATCGTGTAAAAGGAACAATTGGTTACCATGTCTTGGCCCCAACATGCTTTGAAGAAACTTGGTAGGGCATTAGTCTCCTCCGTCGTAACATTATGATCAAACAGTTGGTTACATCTTGTCACCCAAGTGTCCAAGCAAATATACCCAAACAGGGTTGGCCAACTAATCTTTTTCGTGAAGTCTTTGCCTACTTCCCTGCTAAGGTTCCATTTGATCCAATCTACTCCTTGGAGGGAAGTAAACTAAGACCAAAAGGAGGGATCTACCACCGATTGCCAGCGCTCCAGCCCCCTCTGTCGTTGAAGGCTTGTTGTGTGAGCTCTTCTATGTGCAAATATCCATAGGAATGATTTAATCTTTTTTGGTACCTGCAAATGCCAAATCTTTTTCCAAATGCTGTCAGCTTGCTATTATGTACCTGCATGAAGAAATTTATAAGTGGAATTAACTGAAAAGCGACCATCCGTGGATGGTCTCCAAACATGTTTATCCTCTCCTCTCTCCTCATAGGGTGGGTGTGTACACACAATGCGATCAACATACTCCGAGGGAAGGACTGCTGCTAATTTATTCCTACTCTATTGGCCCCATTCGTCCACGTAATCAGCCACCATATCTGAAGGGTTCACCAAGTGTTCAAATCCCGGAATTAACTCAATTAAGGAACAATTTGCTTCTGACCAGTTATCAAACCGAAAGTAAGTGGATTTCCCGTTGCTAATCTTTCTCCCAAACCCTTTTGTGAAGTTCTTCCAAACCCCTCTTATACCTTTCTACGTGAGGGATTCACTTGACTTTTTATTGATATGCAA